CCAAAACATCTTCCAAAAGATCAAAGTCACCAGTATTAAGATGTACGATAACTTCAGCTATTCAAAAGAAAAATTTGTGAAAAGAATCGACAAATTACAGAACGAAATACTCAATCTCGAGCAGAAATACACTCCTTACATTGAAGCAATCTTCCCCAAGAATGTTTCAGCCAGATTCCAATCGATGGAAGAAGATAATTCAAAAGAATGGGATGAAATCGCCGAATTACTCGACCAAAAGCTAAGTGCAACGACGGAGGGCACATCAGAGAACATAGATCTCTCAAGTGCTGCCGTCATGCTCCCTCAACTTCGCGACATGCGAGATGAAATTTTCCAAAACTGCGTAAAGGCCACAGAGAAAGCCCGTACGTGGTTCTATTCACAACAAGCCAATTTCAGCGCTATTGCAGATAGTACGAAAGCAACAGTTCAAATCGAAGAACTTCAAAATGAATATCGCGAATTACAGAAACTCCAACAGATTTACTTACATTTCGGCGATTCATACCGTTCCTTATCCATCGAAAAGATATGCCAGAACATCATACAAGCCAACCAGCAGCTAATAATTCTCGCGACAAGCTCATTAGACATTCCGGCCGATACTATACAGATTCCGCCTGCGGAAGACGTGGAAGCTGAGTACGCTCAGCTCTGCGCCGAAGAGGCAGCCCTGGACGAGGAAATCGCGAAAATCGATAGCCAAGTCAGGGAAGCGGAAGAGAGGAGGTTCGTCATTGCCAAAGAGAGAGACATGTTCAAGGACATGTTCACTGCGAGAATGGATAGATTCGACGAAAGAGAATACGAGAATGCAAAGAAAATACTCGATTGTCCAGTTTGCAAAGAAGCGAAAAGGAACGTTTACTTGTCGCCGTGCATGCACGCGGTCTGTAGCGACTGCTTGCAGAAATCTGGCGAAGTATGTCCTGTTTGCGGTCACCAGGTCAAAGAAACTCATCCACTTTACTTCCAGATTTGATTTACTTTATATTTAATAAATTCTGTTTATTTTAATAAAAAAAAATACAATTTTATATAAAAATATAACTTTATTTTTATGGTCAAATGAGTGATTTTCAAGTACTTATACTCATATTGACTTGGCCAAAGCACAGTCATTCAAAGATAAAACATAATTTTCAAGATTTTATATCATTCTATTTTATTGGATATCTTATATAATCAAAAGGCGAAACATATATTATTTCTTAAAAGATATATGAGATCTTCTCCTACTTCACTATATTAGTCTGATATTCGGAAATTTTTATTTTGATTTGGCTATTATTTATATTTTGCTTAATAAAATAGACAAATTTTAGATCATGCTAATAAATTCAATATATATGAAGCAATGCTAAGTAAATAATTTTGAGATGATCCTAAAATTCCTTATAACTCATGCATCTATCACTTTAAACAAGTCTTTAGTTTAAAGGATATCTCGACAGAAACTCAATAGACCACTTGAATGTGAAATTGAGATTTGATTTTTCTCATAATTTTATTAAAAATTGATCCAGAATAAATACATATATCCATTTTATAAATCAAGGGGTAAAATGAACATTTTATTTTGATGAATTATGGCTGAGGTGCTTCTTCGACCTCAGCATTTTCTTCTTCACCATCTTCATCATCCTCTTCTTCGTCATCATCATCTTCTCCTTTATGATGATGGTGGTGATGGTGATGATTATGTTTCTTCTTGTAAAGAACAAAGCAAACGATGAATACGACAAGAAGGCATCCAACGATGACAAAGACCATCCAAACTCTGAGAGGACCAACTTTCTTCATGAAGAATCCTTCTGTTTGGTTTGTGGGCTGGCCATCGGTCTGTGCAGTGACATTTTCTGTTGATGCGTGATTTCCATCATTGTTTCCTGTGCTTCCTGTGTTTCCATTATTGTTTCCATTGGAATTTGTGTTACCATCTGGATTGTATGCAACAATGGCCTTGATCTTTTCTGTTGCATATAAAATCATTTCGTAAGGCTTCTTTGAAGTAATCATATACTTCTGGATTGAAACTTTGCCACCCTGCATAGCTGAGTTATCAACATAGCAGTTATTAATGATAACATCAGCCGTTCTTGAATAAATAAGTGGGATGTTAGTGTACTTGTTTCCATAGAAGATAGTGTCCTTTATAGAAATCGGGTTTGATTTCTCACAGACGATTACACCCCATCCATCAATTTGATTGCCAACAAAGTTGCAATGGTTGATGGTAGTGTCTCCTGCAGTGGAAGCGTTGTAAACGACACCACATGAGGAACGGCATTCTTCGAAATTGCACCAATTTACAACTGGTGATGTACTGGAATGATCAAAAATGACATTACCATAAGCATACATTTGGCCTGCCTGATCAGCGTAGTTTCCGGAAACGTTTAAGTTCTCAAGGTATCTTGGGGTCTGCTCTAATCTTAAGTTTCTTGCTCCACCCTTGTTATCGATGAAAGAAGACATGGTTAGGTTGAAATCACCAGTAGTTGCTATTCTTCCCATAACTCCTTGTGCTCCACTACCGGCAAACCCAAATTTTAGCTAAAAGTGACAGGGGAAAAAAACGTTTAGTATTAAAAAAAAAGACCGATGAGAGCTTCGTTCGAAATATAGAGGGAACTGAGAATGCGCAACCATTCTCAGGGAATATTGGATGCTATTCCCGTTCCCTCTGTATGGAAAATTGAGGTTTTCAAAGGGAGTTAAAATAATATCAAATTTATACTAATTTACTTCAAAATACAAAAGTATTTGACAGCTAAAATTAGTTACTTTAGCAAGCCTATCAATACCCTTTTACGATTATTGCTACTTTTTCGAAATAAAAGTAAAAACAAATTTATACTAATTTACTTCAAAATACAAAAGTATTTGACAGCTAAAATTAGTTACTTTAGCAAGCCTATCAATACCCTTTTACGATTATTGCTACTTTTTCGAAATAAAATAAATTTATTATCAAAAACCTTTTTTTTCTTAGTAAAAATAAACGAAATTTTTTACCTTATGAACTTTTGATGGAAATATGCAAATTTAAAATAATAAAGAAAGCCGCGAGCGAAGCGATCGGCTTAGTTCGAAGATTTTGATTCAAATCTTTGCTGATCTGTAATTCGCGGAAGCCGCGAGCGAATCGAGCGGCTTAGGTCTAAGATTTTGATTCAAATCTTTGCTTATATTCCTTAAATTCTTTATGAAACTCGCAACAGTTCCATAAAAAATTTTAAATTCTCAACTGTCGAAATTACCGATCGGTAATCACACCCTTCACGGGTGTGTCACTTTTAGCTAAAATTACCCCTACTCCTCCACTACCTGGCTTATTTCTGGCATCGGCAACTTTATCAAATTTGAGGAAGAACTTTCCTTCAAAAGCAAATGGACCATTTGTTTGTGCGCTGCATTCAACGAACATAGTTGTAATGACTTCAATTTTATTTCCTAATCCGCCATCTATCCATACTGGAGCATATGCGGACCATCCACCAAGGTTTGCAAAGACGCAATCAACAATTAACAAATTCTCTTTTAGGGTATCCCATAATTTTGATTCGCTATATTTGCCCGTAACAGTCTTACTATAGACGCTCTGAATGAACAAAGAAATCATTTTGACGATATCAAAAATGAACTTTCTTAAGATAAGTATGATGTACTTTTGCATCATAGTTCAGAATTAGTAAACCCTAGATTTTGTTTAAAACGAAGCAAACATACGAAAACAAAATCGTTCTTTTATAATTTTGAGAAAAATATTTTTAACTTTTGATAACATTTTCGCAGAATAAAATTGAATTGAATACACAATTGATTTATATGTGTTGCCATTTATTTATCAGTAATTTTGATGCACATCTCATGTTAACTATAACATATCTATAGTACCTCGTAAAATTCTGAATATGGCTTATGATTTGAATTTGCGTCATTGTTCAAACAGTAGACTAGTCAATGCCATGCATAATTATTCATAAAATTAATATGCTATAATATACACATTAGTATTTGACCTTTAAATATATGATTATCGATTTTTTTGACCCACAAAATATTCAATTTTCATCAATTTTGGTTAATTAAGAATAACTAAGTCAATTTTTAAAATTAAATAATATATCAGACATATTTTATACTTCGTTAGGCCATTTTGAACATTTCTATCAGAAAAAAAATTATTCGTCAAGTCAAAATTTGATTTTTTAAGGTCAACTTTAGTATAATTTTATTATAAATGTTTTAGGTTGATAGACATTCTCATGTGATAAAGATTTTTTTAATTGGAATAATAAAATCTGTTCAACATCCATAACCTATCTAAAATTCATATTCACCTCCAGTCTATCCATTTAAGGAATTATATTTTTATCTCCTTAATCATTCAAAAACAAGTAAGCGATATTTTTGCGATATTTATGTTCCAAGTTCATTTATTTAAAAATATGAACTTTAAATATACATTTCATTTCAAATTGAAATATAATTCAATATGTAAACATTCATAAGCATTATTCAATCAATATAATTTTTGGTTCAATTATGTTTTTTTCATAAAATATTATTATAAACACACTATTTGCAACAAATAGAACACATTCATAATTCAAATCGAGTAATTTAATGATTTTGATTTTTTATTTTATCGTAAAATGGGTAATATTAGACTTATTCCCTTCTTGATAACTGTTTTACAGTTAAGCTATTATAATTTTCTTTGGATAAATTATCATTGTTAACATTTCACCGTTAAAAAAGTAAATTTGAAATGATTGTAATCTCTCAATTTTTGTGAAAAACTATAGTTTTAAAATTATAATCCATATAGCCAATACAGCAACATTTCATTAAGAAATTCTTCTCAATTTTAAAACCATCATGGATTTGAGGAGCAGTTGAGAAAAAATTGAATGTGTCAGATTAGCCAACCCCTTTCAAAAAAATTGAAGGAATTTGCAATAAAAATGGATGTTCATTTTCCCTAATATATGTTCGCTTTTACAAACTCAAAAAATCTCGTACATCACAGATTTACAAAGAGTGATGATGCCAAACTTAAGGAACTTGTCCGAGAATACGGCGAAAATAACTGGAAAACCATTGCCAGTAAAATGGAAGGTCGAAATAAGAGCCAATGCCGTGATAGATGGTTCAGATATTTATCTCCACATGTTAACCATGGCGATTGGACAGAGGAAGAGGAAAAATTATTAATGAATTTAGTTCCATTATTATATCCAAGATGGAGAAAGATCTCAAACTATTTTAACGGAAGAAATGATATACAGATCAAAAACAGATACAAAATGATCAAAAACAGAATTTCCCGAGAGAACCAGAATAATTCTGTTGATACAAAATCCGATCAATGCTCTCCTTCTGAAGTTCAGCCTAATATTCCCCAGCCAATTTCAGTCCAAGATGTTGATGTTAACGAATACAGAAATGAACATGAATGATGACATTGACGATTTTAGCATATTTTGTTCTTTTGAATAATTATTAAATTGTTTGTTTGTTATCATTTATAACTTTTTTTTTGTTTCGAAAAATGATAACAAAGCAGGAATAAAGAACACAACATATCTAATTTAAATTTCTTTTTTAAATCAGTATTATCCCTAGATAACACTATTAAACCTAATATTCATTAGTCATTCAATGTAAATGTAACTAAAATTTGTATTAAATACTCCTAATAAGCTTTTATGAAGTTCTTTCCTCGTCAAAAGGAACTCACTCCCGACCTAAATATATTAAATTCTTCTTAATCATTGCTGAAAACTTTTACTCAATACAATTTAAGAATTATAGCGCGCATCGAATATGAAATATGGTTATTAACCATGAAATCGATTGCCCCAAGGTTTGAAGAATGATCTCAAAATTAAGGGTTCCATACGACCACTTATCTACAGTCAATTTTTTTTTGTCAATTCATTTCCAGTGGATGAAATTGTTATTAAGACCAAAACTTTAAAGAATTAAAACATTATAATAAGGGTTTCGTTTTGCGAAAAAAACGTACAATACGCAATTTCGCTAAAAAAACATTTAGCTAGCAATTTCGACCTTTGACTCCACTCAAGACGTCACTTTTTTAATTTTGCGGTATCATATTTTTGGAAAATCTTTATGAATATTATATAAAAAGTCTCTTTAATATCTATATTTCATATTTTTATCGATTTTTAAAGTTTTTGCGAAAAGTATTCAATTATTTTTTGCTATTTGGTCGGGTAAATGTCAGATTTGCGACATTTTCTGATATGATATTCAGATTCTACGTTGATAATAATGCTTATAGAACCCTCTTGCTATTGTGTCAAAATTGCGAAACCGATAGCAAAAATATCTCGCAATATCAAAATTGAGATATTGAGTGAATTATGCATTATAGAGATTAAAAATCTGATTTGTGAAAACATCTCATCAGTTTCTAGCTAATTCAAAAATCTTTACTATCTTATTCGATTAAAATGAAAAGGGAATAGTTTCATTATGCTTTAAATGACAGCCTTATAATATAATCATAGTTTTCGCTCAATATGCAGCATTTTTTTTTCGAAATCTATGGTCAATATCCTAAATACTGATTGCTTTGCATTCATATCTCTTACATTTTCTATACCCACATCAGTATTCATTGCTATTCCTATCTTTTTCATTTTTGTTTGTTTCTCATAATTTCTCAAAAAACATGATAACTTGATATTTGTAAATATCATACTTTATAACGTAAATAAGAACTTGACCTATTAAGAAAAGCAGTAATGAAAAGAAAATCTGAAATTCATAAAAATTACAAGTTTCTGATGACAATTAGCTTAATTAAACCAGGTACAAGATTATATAATTGTATTTTCTATCCAATTATCCATATAATATCTTATCCAGAAAAAATAACTTGATCAATACCAAATGATTTTTTAACTAGTAAATAAAGTATTTTCTTTACACACACATTGTATATCATAGTTTTTTTTTTTTGGTTTCGCAAAACATCCAAAAACAAATATGCTATAAAAGTGACAATTTTAGCAAAACGAAACCCTTATTTATAACAATAAGAAAACATAAGGTAATGCGTATTGATATTCCAATATTGAGACTTCAATAAAAAATGAAGATGAAATTCGTTTCAAATTTATTATTAGCAGCAAATCAATTGATATTTAATAACAATATATACATACTTGGCAATAATGATGTCACTTTGGGGATACATAATAAATTACATTATTTCAAATACATCTTAAAATTAAAGCATTTTGCAAAATAATTGTTTTTTAAAAGATTGAATATACATTTTAGTCTTTAGCATTATATTAGTATATATTTCATCCATAATTTTTGTAGATTTAAGTCTGGGTAAAAAATTATTTGTTGATCTCAAAATTTGAAACGCATTCAAAATATAAATCTAATTATCTCCCAGTTAATTAGCATCAATAATTGGCAATCTACAAAGAGAGTTGATTATCAAGATATAAAAATTAGATCATTTTCAAAGGACTAATCCACAATTTTGATAAACTTTCTCAATTTGCGATTGGCAGCCTATTCAATTTTTACCCATTCATCAGAAATGTTGTAGACACAAATTAAAATCGAGTGACATTTATACAATGTGTTATAAAGTAAAAAAACAAATGTTGAAATTAAATTGACCTGTTTTCATATAAATTTATTAATTTTTCATTTCATTTTCATGTCTGCCACTCAAGGAATCAGTGTTGTTGAAACATTCAAAGCAAGACATTCAATTCGAACTTATAACGGAAGGTTTGCTCAAGAACATATGACAATTGTCCGCACAATTGTTGATGAGTCGAATAAATTGAAAACTCCATTTGGAACAACAGCAGAAATAGCTGTTACTGAACCAGGAATTAGTAAGTTTGGTCTTGTTTCCGGTGAAGGAGGTTGGATAGTTCTCAAAGTTCCAGAAAACATTGATCAAAAATCTCCAGAATACAAAAAATTCTTGCTTGATTCAGCATTCAAAGGATGCATTGCAGCGATGAAATTGGTACAAAATGGAATTGCAACTAACTGGGTAGGAGGAACATTCGACTCAAAGACCGTCGATGCCAGATTCCCAGGATTTAAGATTGCATGTACAATAGGATTCGGTATTGATTCTGAGAAAAAGAAATTCGCTGACTATGCAGCAAAATGGTTCATGAAAGGAGATAGACTTCCTTATAAAACTCTTTTCTATGATGAGGTTGCTAAGAAGATGATTGAAAAGCTTCCTGAAGGTAAATTAGGAGAAGTTTTAGAATGCGTTAAATGGCTCCCTTCTGCTTTAAGCAAGCAACCATGGAGATTATCATTTAATGCACAAGATAACAAATTCAAGATTTTTGATTCTCAAAATCTTGATGGGTTTAGTCCTTTGGATATTGGCATTATGATTGGAGGCTTCTATTTCTATTCTGAAGGTAAATGCATAATTGATGTTAATAAATTAGATGAAACTTTTCCAAAAGGCGGACAGTACATCTGTTCAATTAAGTTATAAAGTTTATAAATTAATCTTTATGATTTAAATAAATAATTTCAAGAAATACAAATGTCTTTCTAATGATGAGAGAAATCCTGATAATACCAGAGTAATTTGATGCTATTGTGTTTCACCGAAGAGACAACAACAGATGTCCACCGCCTCTACCATCTCGAGAAGAGGAGGACAGACTCCTCTTCCCAGCCATCAACCTAAACGACGCTGTTACAAAGTCCAAGTTCGATAACATCTACGGCTGCCGCCACTCCCTTATCGATGGTATCAACCGTGCTTCCAATGTCATGATCGGCGGCAAGACAGCTCTCGTCATTGGTTACGGCGATGTCGGCAAGGGCTGTGCTCAATCCCTCCGTGGTCAAATCGCTCGCGTTTTCATCACAGAAGTCGACCCAATATGCGCTCTCCAGGCTGCTATGGAAGACTACCAGGTCCGCCGCATCGAGGAAGTCGTCAAGGATGTAGATATCTTCGTTACATGCACAGGAAACTGAATTCAGGATCACAAAATGATACTATTTTTATATAATCCTGATGTTGATGATCTTAGGCCATTCAAGTTCTAATGGGTATGTAATAGAATTTTTAGATAAAGTTCTCGTTGCGATTCCAATTCAATTTTGAGAGATTTTGCAAGGGATATTATACATATTTGACATCAATACAGAACTAAGGACGACAATATAAGTTTATTGATGAATATAGTATTGTTTTCGACTTTACTATTGACACTGTGTCATTTGATATCTAAGGACGTAATTAAAATTCGTAACTGATATCCAAAATCTTTGTGGTTATTATTTTCCATATGTATAACATAGCACCCGTTTAATAATAAAAATTTTATGTCTGATCAAGATCTTCACCCAAATAAATACAGTGAATTGCGAAGTATCTAATAATATTACATCGATTTGTGTAATGCATTGTATCAGCTGAAAACGGAAAATGAAGAAGATTTAATCTCAATTTACAAAATGATCAAAACAGAATTGATTGATTCAAATAAACATCCTCCCCAAATAATTATGAGAGACATTTTGAATATTATTCCGTATAATAATCGCTATAAAAAGTCATATTTATTTCTTGCCAAACTCATATATGATGAATATGATGTTAAAGAAGTCAGAGATATTAATGATTGTACGTACATAATGTTTTATAAAGAATATGATATTAAATTAAGCAATATTTATGATTTGGACAAATTTATATTAGAAAATTTAGAAATTCATACAGAAAATACAATTCACAGAGCAATTATGTATAACGACAAAGAAAGGTTCATCTATTTCATCGAAAGAGAAGGATTTGATAAAAATCAAAAACTTCGGAGCAGTTTTTATCCATATTCTAATAAAGCATATTCATTACTTGAATTGGGCTGCTACCACGGTGCAGTTGATTGTTTCAAGTTGTTAATAACAAAATTTGACTCAAAAATAACTCAAACATGTCTAGAATTATTATTTTTAGGAGGAAATCAAGAGATCATGAGTGAGTGTTTGAAATATCAACAACCAAATAAAAAATGCATGGAATATGCAATCATTTCACACAACATTGATTTTGTTACATTCCTGATGAACGAATACAATATAAAGATCGATTTAGAATATTGCGGAAGATTTAATAATCTTGAATCATTTTTAGTTTATTTCAATCAAACAAATGATTTTAACAAATGCTTTATTTATTCAATGATATTTGGCTTATTATCTCTTTATGAATATTTTATTTCACATGGTGCAAATATCAATGAAAAAGATAAATATGGAGAAACCGCTCTTCATTTTGCTGCAATTTATAATAGTAAAGACACAGTCGAGATTCTTATTTCACATGGTGCAAATATCAATGAAAAAGATGATAATTAGAAAACAGCTCTTCATGTTGCAGCAGAAAATAATAGTAAAGACACAGCCGAGATTCTTATTTCACATGGTGCAAATATCAATGAAAAAGATGATAATTGGGAAACAGCTCTTCATGTTGCAGCAGAATATAATAGTAAAGACACAGCCGAGATTCTTATTTCACATGGTGCAAATATCAATGAAAGAGACAAATATGGAAAAACCGCTCTTCATTTTGCAGCATCTAACAATAATAAAGAAACAGCTGAACTTCTTATTTCACATGGTATAAATATCAATGAAAAAAATAATTTAGGGCAAACCGCTCTACATACTGCAGCAATACATAATAGAAAAGAAACAGCTGAACTTCTTATTTCACATGGTGCAAATATCAATGAAAAAGATAAAGATGAGGAAACTGCTCTTCATATAGCTGCAAAATTTAATAGTAAAGAAACGGCCGAACTTCTTATTTCACATGGTGCAAATATCAATGAAAAAGATAAAAATGGAGCAACTGCCCTTCATATCGCAGAATCTAACAATAGTAAAGAAATATCCGAACTTATTTTACATGGTGCAAATATCAATGAAAAAGATGATTGGGAAAACAGCTCTTGCGAATGATTTTTTTTACAAACAAACTCCCAATCATCTTTAATTTCTTTAATTTTTTTATAACTTTTCTTTAATTTTTAATGAGAGTTAAAATAAATGCACCAAATTTTGACACATGTTTGACGATTTTTCCCATTCTCCAAGATAAATCTGGAGTGATTAAGTTGAATTTTGTTATTCTATTAAGAATTTTGATTTTTGAGGAATTTATGTCACCATAAAAGATATTTCCCAAAAATATATGGTTGTTGGAGCTCAAAAACCTCAGCAATACAAAATTGTTTTTAAATTTTATATAATTATTACATTAACAACAAATCAAATAAACATGTATGTTTACTTATTAACAATAACAATAATATACAAAAAATAAAAATCATTCATGATAATTATTTGCGAATTCTTCATCACTTGAATCCCAACCAAAGTCAGAAGACAAATTATCAGTTCTAGAGTCCTCTTCAGCTATCATCTGGCAGTCTTTTACAGATCTAAGTGGAACTCCGTGTTCAAAGAAGAGTTTTGCGCATTTCTCGTTCTTGTTCCATGTAGCGTTGATATAAGGGGTCATTCCTATAAGGTCGCGAGAGTTTACATTGGCACCGTGGTCCAACAAAATTTTACAAATTTGGTACCTTCCAGTTCCAGCGGCCAAATTCAAGGGCGTCTTGCCGTCGGAGTCACAAGGATCAATAAGAGCTCCTTTTTCAAGCAGTAGTTTCACTGTATCAATCATATTATGAGCAGCAGCAATATGTAAGCAGGAAACTCTTTCTTGTGGGACAACATTAGGGTCGGCACCTCGTTCTAGCAAGTAGTTAGCGATGTCCGAGTCAATTCGCCCGATCGCATTCCATAATGGCGAATAATGGTTATTATCCATGGTATTTATCTCGGCGCCATGCTCTACAAGATATTTTATGACTCGAAAATCGGCATCGGAAACTGCATTTTGTAAAGGTGTCACGTTTTCACTTCCTCTGCAATTTATGTTGACTCCTCTGTCAAGTAACCATTGGATCATGGATGTACCGCATCTCTGGGCCACGTGTAACAGGAGTTCTTCCCCGAAAATGGCCTTTTTTTCGTTGATCGGATCAGATAACTTCACATTACACAAATCAAGGATATAATCTATCATTCTGAACTCATTGTAACCTGCTGCTTGGTTTACGAGGTCGAAAACAACACTGGTACGGTCGATTGGGAAATTTTGTAAAATCCAGAAGCAGATTTGATAATTTCCGACACTGATTGCATGCATGAATGGGCCAGCCTCGGAGTATGGATCAGTGATGGCCGGATTGAACGAACAAATCCAGTCAAATAATCTTATATCTTGAACTGAAGCAGATACGTTCAAATGGACTAAGGGATCGAAGTTAGAACCTTTACTATATACCAATTGCACAACATCGAAGTTTCCAGAGAGAATAGAAAATTCAAATGTATGAGATGTTGGAACAAATCCAAGACTGAATAGGTAATTAAGGCATTTCAATGCTCCATGATAAGCTGCAATGTCTAAAATTGTTTCTGTTGGAGAGTCGAAGCCTTGAAATGAAGTTACTGGAAATGTACAGGTTTGGAGATTAGATATACCCGAAACAGACTTAATAAAGTTATCTACATCATCAAAAACAATATAATATCCTGGAGAATCTTTTACATAACCGTATTCTGTGATATTATAAATTGAGTCAAAATCTTTTTTGTAAATATAGTCTGAAACTTGCTTTAATGAGTATCCGCATTGCTTTTGTAATAGATAATTTGCGCCTAACTGTTCAATAAAAAAAGTTAATGTTATTTCTGGGTCTTTAAGGAAATATATTTGCTCTTTTGGAAGAACTCCAGCTTTATATAAAAGTCTGTGGATTCGTGGTGTCGGTAAATCGAAAAAAACTTCAAAAATTGAATTATCTACTGTTTGACCATACAAAACTATGAAATCTACTATTTCTTTTCGATATTTTATGAACATTTCATACGAGTTTACCATTTCATTTGCAATAATCATGGCATTTTGTTTGTGAAATGTTTCAACTGTTTTTTCAACTAATTCTGGAATATGATCCGGTATTAATTTTGGAATTAATGCTCTATAATCTAGGATCTCCTTAAATTGAGGAGGAATAATTACATCGTCCAGCTTCACTTTCCACTTAGACGAATTCATTATTAAAAGTGACAACAATAAAAGTGACTTCAATCGAAAAGTGACAAATGAATTTTGCTCGCGTATTCTATCCATCGAAAATATACCATAATGATATAAAAATTCTATATTTTCAAAATGGTATGACAATGAGTGAATTTGAAGAAAATTGATCAAAATTTTTGCATCAAATCACAATATTCTTTGATGTAACCATCATAGGAGTCACTTTTATATATTGTTTTTTATCAACTTCTAAAATTACATCTGTTTTGAAATTGAAAATTTTGAAAATTTGGTAAAAAAACTTCTAGCGCTTATGCATTTCATTGACAAATGATGTAGATATTATATGTCGTTTACAAATTAACGTATTGCATGTAAAGATTAAATTGAAAGTTCCTATTGAAAAACTTCATAAACCAATACTACAAGACATACATTTTCCATGTGTGCCATTATATTCCCTATTTGAAGACTTTTTCCGTGTAAAATTTCTAACGGAAAATTTGAGAGAAAAATGCATCAAATTTGTGAACAACAGTTTTCATTTTTTCGTTTGCTTCTAATGTACACGGGAACACACGGAATGGCTTGTATGCTAACCATCCTCTGCCTATTTACAGGACACTGCAGTTGTCAGGCCAATAAGACCATCTCATCCTTAACACTCAAGTCAGTTAACTCAAATTCTCCATACTTTACTTTTTCGAACAAATTTACCAAGAGTAAAGTGTCCTTTGAGAAGCTTTCCATATCCAAACTCACTTCCACATTTGCTTTTTCAGCAATTCCATTAACCTTCAAGGAATCACATTTCTCCAAGTGCCTCTCTCCAATTTTGAAGATGAATTCTCAGAGTATTTCAAATACAGAGATAACATCAAGTTCTGAATCCACTGAATCCATTACATTTACAAGCTGCACTTTCAATATGAACAGTGAGTATGCAGTAAGTGGTGATCCAGATTTCAGTATTACCTTCCTTAAATGCACTTTCAAGGGCCATTATAATTTCCTCTCATATTATTTTGGAGCAATTTATGTAAATGACTCAGCAATGAATGATGTTACATTTGGAATCAGTTTTTCTTCCACTGAAAATGTTGAAGGTAATTATTTTAGGAATAATATCACTAATACAAAAACTGACTCTAACTATGGACTTTTCGCCTTGGCAAACACACAACCTTCAACAGTTATATATAATGTATTTGATCAGGTTGAATCAAAATACATTTTTTCAGCTTATGAGAATTTAAATGTCTATGCAACCACGATTTTGAACACAAAGATCTATAGCCATGATATTTTAGCTCAGTTTTCCTTAGATGTTGCAGATTCAATGTTCTTGTCGGAGCTCCAAAATCAAGATTCTTTCCACATTGAAGCCAAAACATTGAGAGTTCGTAATTGCTGCTTCTCAGGAGGAGAAGAGTCCTGGTTCACAGCAAGAAATCTCATTTATAACTTAACAAATGTTCCAAGCAATCAATGCGACCAAGCAGTTTTAATAAGAGACTTCCCATATAAGGTTCACAAATCAAACGAAGTTATTTTTAAGATGCTCATTAGATATACCAACTATTAAGTATTTTATTTTTTACTTTCCAAATTTGCAAATTAAAAATTAAACTTTTTTAATAGGTTTACTACGAATTTCAATTAAAATACCTCAAGTTTTTAAATATTGATGGCAAATATATTTATTTTTTCATATTCCAACTTGATATGGAGAAAAATTTTTGAAATGACATTATCATCGATCAGGAACTTGTATAATAGAACAATATAGAACACATAATTCATATATGTGATAGTGCACTTTCTGTTAAACAAAGTGCAAAGATAAGAATTTAATTTTATCTAATTATCAAGAAAAGTGAGATCGTTATATGAATATTTGTCTAAGTAGTCAAGATATTTAAGTCCTTGGATGTCTTTTATATCAGTATTTGCTCCATGTGAAGGAGAAGTTCTTTTAAATAATCATTGTGATATATCGAGGAATAATGAAGAGGAGTTCTTCCATATTGATCTGTTGTATTGACATCTGCGCCATGCGAAATTAGTAACTCAGCTATTACATTTATTGAATTATTTGATGCGTAAATAAGAGGAGTACTACCGTGTTTGTCTTTTATATTAACATCCGCACCATTTAAAATTAGAAATTCGGCTATTTCTATTCTAAAACAGATTGTTGCATGATGAAGAGGAGTAAATCCAGATTCATCTTGAGCATTGATTAATGCTCCATGAGAAATTAAAAGTTCCACTATCGATTTATTTTGTTTGGACGCTGCAATATGTAGAGCAGCATAATTATCAATATCAAATAGATTAACATCTGCACCATGGGTTATTAATAATTCTGCTATATCATTATATTCTCTCTCGATTGCATAAAAAACAGCAGTTTTTTGATAGCAATCTTTAGCATCAATTTCAACACCATGTGTAAGAAGAGCTTCAACAACTTTTGTTTTGCAACAAATTGTGGACATATGAAGTATAGTTTTAAAACCAAAAGCATTAGCATTTATATCAGCACCATGTGATAGGAAATATTCGCAAAGAGATGGAATTCCAAAACAAGGCGAGCAAACAAAACATTTATTTATATCTTTTGTTTGATCCAAATAAATAAAGAATGCTTGGAGATTATGGAATTGGGAGCAGAATTCATAACTAATTTCAATATTATATTCATTATTCAAAAAACAAATAAAGTCAAGATTCCGTGAAATAATTGCATGCTTCATTGATATCGCATCCGGCATTCGTTTTTTCAAGCATTCACTTATGATATCTGGTTTCCCGCTCAAAAATGAAAAATCAAGACATTCTTCAGTGATTTTCAAGTTAAATTTTGTTCTTAATAATTTAAAACAATTAACTGCACCATAATAACAACATAACTCAAGTAATGAAACAGGCTCAGGCTCAAATAATCTACTTTTGAGTTTTTGGTCCTTGTCAAATCCTTCTAATTCTGTGAATTTGATTAATGATATTAAATCATCATACATTATTGCCCTATAAATAGTGTTTTCTTCATAAACATCCATTAAAGAACATCTTAGAGTAATTTTTTCAAGTACATTTTCGTATATATTGATATATTCTGTGTTTTCATCATATATCTTTTTACAGATTGATAAATATGACTTATTATAACGATTATTATAGTAGGATGCATATAAAACAGCTTGTAAAACTTCATCAGGTGATAACAAGCCTGTTTGAATTAATTTGCTTTTGATATCATTGTAAATCTTGTTGATTTCTTCTTCATTGCATGTACTTAACTTATATATCTCATCAATTGTATTGCAGTAATCTTTGTATAATTCCATAAGCTCATTGTAACTGCAATTATTCGCCATCAATAATTTTTTATTATTTTTTTCACAACTCAAAACGTTCTCCATATCAAATCGGAGTTCTTAATTGTATTAATGAGTAACAAAATAAATTCAATTGAGCTAAAATGTTAATTATTCACTGAAAAGCATGATCTTTATTCCTCACCAAAAGAATAGATAGCAAATAAACAGATATACAAATAAAAGGCATTTGGATTAGTTAGAAATCTTCAATGTAACAAATTCTAAAACAAATATAAGATTTTTATGAAAGATAATGGAATTATCACCTAGTACCTACAATTACAATGGTTGCTAGAGTATATATATTGAATTCTCGAGTCAATTACAGGATTTTGAGAATGTTATTAAACACAAATGCGATTTTATGAAGAAATTATACAGAAATAATCAAGTTATCGCTCATTTTCAGCTTCTGTGAATGATTAAATGTATAGAAATTTGAGATATCTAATTTCATCCATGAAAATGTCTTTTCATGTGCAAAATTTATGAAAATGTGTCAAATAGTACATTATATTATTGATGTGTAACCATTTTGATCGTTGCTCAATTGAACTTTCAGGTCTCAAAGATTCAATTTTTGAGAAAATGGTTTGAGCATACTAATAAAATCCCATTGGAACCATAAAGCTCAATGACATTAGGTCACTACAGCCAACGGCTAGATGTTTTTCATACATTTTACAATTTCCGATTAGTACCGCAAGGAAAATTTTTTTGTCAAAATTCTATAAATAGCCGGTCAATTTTCCATCAGTATTTTTAATAGTGATTATTTTGCAATGGATAATAACCACCAATTGTTTTGAATACTTTACATTGTTTTTCTGTAATCAAAAAAATATGGCTAACGCGCGTCGTATTGCCTCAGACTATAAGCTAATTACTACACAGCCACCAGATGGTGTTAGACTTATAAGTCAGAAATCCTTGCTCGAATGGGAGGTCGAAATTGATGGTCCTAAAGAAACCATTTGGGAAAATGGCCACTTCCGTCTTACAGTCAATTTCCCATCTGAATACCCATTCAAAGCACCGTCAGTTAAATTCATTACAAAAATATATCATCCGAATATTTCTTCCACAGGAGGCATATGCTTAGATCTTTTAATCGATAAATGGCTTCCATCTTACAACGTCGCATCACTATTAGTTTCAATTAGATCATTCCTTGATGATCCTAATCCAGAACACGGCTTAAATTCAGAAGCTTTAGAAATGTTTAGAAATAATAAGGATGGATACAAGAGGACAGTGCGCCAATATATCAACTCATATGCCAACGGTACTCAATAAATATCTCTTTCTCTTCGATTTTCAAAATTTATCAATTGGTCGATTCCGATCAATCAAAATCTAACCATTTTGATATAATTTTTTAACTTATAAGATGTATGACTTTAATTTGAGTTGAACTTTTTTGTTACTTTTTGGAAAATTAATCCAATTTTGTTGTAAGAGTTTGAATTTTGAAATTTTTAGCTTAAAGATTTGTTAATCTAGTATCATACGCTTTCCATGGCGATGAAAATTCATATAATGTAAAATTTAGTCAATTTCGATTAAATTTTGCTATAATTCATTAAATTAACTTATAGACAATGATAACTATTGTTTGGAGTGTTGATATTTTATATAAAAATTCATTAGTTTTCAATGTTTGCTTTTTTGATTATATCAACTTTTTCATCTGGCAAGGGCAGCAAAGGCAATGATCACGAGGTAATGTACATTCAAGGAAAAGAATTCAAAGGTTCTGCTCCTTTCAGATTCGGAAGCAGCGATTCGGATGATTCAAGTACAGCAGATAATGATCGGGAAGATTACGACAGATACCCAGAAGGAGATGCAGGATATCCAGAAGATGAATTTGATCCTCATTTTCATGATCATCCTGGTGATCACAGGAGAAGAAGATATAAAAAACCAAATTGTACATATCCCAACACTAAACCAGGATACGGCCGAGAATGCATATGCAATGATTCATACATTGGAGATAATCCTGTTCAGCCAAGAGGCTGCTGGAAATGTGAAAATAAATGCCATTCATCAGCAAGCTGCATTTATCCAGGAAATTGCTCATGCAATGGTGGACTCTTAGGTGATGGCGTCAATGAATGCAAAGAACGTCAAGTGAAACCACTTGGAATTCGAGTTACGAAATCTACTAATTTATCATATCCACAAGCTATCATTGAAATAGAAGAAATACCAAATTACGTACCATACAAAGTATATTGCAACTTCAGTGGAACTATTGTAGCAGCAAGAATCGGATCAAAAGAAATCAAATGTTATATTCCAAATGGACAGGTTAATTCAGTTTCTATATCAGTCGACAAAGGTAATTGGTCGGAAACTTTACAATTTAATCCAGAATCGAGAAATGAAAATTATTTCAAGCCAGAAAAAGAAGTTATACTACCAAAACCAGTCAAAGAAGTAAAGGAAGTTGATATCTCAGAGAGTTATTACATCTTTGCTCAGTTAATCAGTTTAATTTCATTTATTGGCCTTTTACTTACAATATTCCTACCTAAGAATGCCTTAACTTTCGGCAAAAAAGCCAAATTATACGAATAATTCTATTTATTTTGTATTTGTTGCGTTTGTTTTTAATAAATATTATTGATTTGTTTAGATAGTTAAAAATCAAGTATATTCTCAACAAGTATGCCTAGAAATGAATAATCTGATCATTAAAATTTTGAAAATCAAAAGATATATTGAGATATAAAAAAAGTTTAAGAAATAATATTCCTAGTAATGAATAAGTATGAGAAACTAAATCCTTGTATTATTTACTTCAAGATATTTTTGGTATAGCTTTTGATTATGTTATTAAAAATAAGAAAGTCTTACGTAGATTTACTTCGAACCGGCAGTTTTGGCTTCTGAGCCAAACTTGTCGATAAGAGATTTCTGTTGAGCTTGGTTGACGCTGTTGGAGCTTTCTTCGAATTCGCTGAACTTCGCGGACATCTGTGTTTTAAGGAATGCAGCATCCTCGTTAGAGAGCGATTCTCCAAGAGATTGTAAGGCAGTAAGAATTTCAACAGCTTTTTCTTCATACATTTGTTTAGTGATTGATTTAAGATGCCAGGCTTCTTTGAGCTTCTCAAGACTATTCTTGAGCTCATCAGTACGACGAGAGCTAAACATACGAATGACTTCTGGTGTTTTGAAGGCTTCATTAATAGCAGCTCTAATTGCAAGACGCATTGCGCTTAATTCTGTCATAAGAGTCATATCACCTGCAAGCATACGATCTAATGAGTCTCTAAATTCACGTAATTCATCCATTGTTTCGGCTTTTGTTTCGGTAATTTCTTCTTCTGTAAGTTGATCTTTCAATTCATCAAGATCTTTGAGCTGGCACAGCAGTCTATGAAGCTGGCTTTCAACCATTTCCTTTAGGCGCTGAGTCTCATCTGTAGGTGCTCCAACTTTCGACATTTTTTTTCACGACTTGGCACTTTTTATATTATGCGTCACTTTTTCAATTCCTCTTTCCGATTTTTTTCTTCAAATTCTCACTATTATATCAATAAATCATGGTATCATCCATAGTGAACTTTCTTAGAAATCGATTTCTTTGCTTGATCATTCATAGTTTCTTTTAAATATCGAGTTTCAATAAATTATTTCTGTAATTCAATCGAAATTATCAAAAGATTAAGAATGGTACGATATTATTACCATGGTTTTATGCAATAATCTAACTGTACTTATAAAATTTCGATATTTCATTAAACTGACATTTTATATTCCATCATTCGCTTATTTCTATTATTACAATGATCATATAAACCAAAGTTAATATATTTTCTTATACATAAACTTACTTATTTCTCATTAATAAAGAAATATTTTTTATATTTTCGTTTTTAAATAACTATCTAAACTTTTTATAATAAACAAAACAAATAATAAACAAAATCTATATATAATATAATATTAAATTGCTTGCCAAACGGAAATCATCTTTGATTCTCCGCCTCCAATTACGAAAGACTGCATAACTGATGCTGTATTGCATTCGAAGCTTGTGTTGAGTGTTTCCACAGTTCCCAAATTCCATGTTGAGAAGAAACTCATTCTACAACCTTCGCAAATTACGCAAAAAACTCCTTGGAAACCAGAAATAGAAATCACAGGATTTCCCAAACTCATAACGAATGAAGGAGAAAATACTTCTCCAACATCAACAACTACACAGTATCCATTGACTGTTCCTATTACTATTGACTTCTTTTCCTTGCAATAAACCATTGAACTGATGTCTCCCCAATCATTGTTAAATTCAACCAAATGAGAATTTCCTGACACAGTGTTTACTACGAACAAATCACCTTTGATTGATGCTACAGCTATATCTTCCGATATCCAGTCAACACAGGTTGGTTTCCCATTCAAATCGAGAGAAATGAAAGGAGTAAGTTGAATTTCAGCGATGTCAAAAACGTAAAACAAAATTTTTTCTCCACAAATAATGGAAAGTTTGTCTCCGTAAGGTGAAAAAGAAGCATCGCTTATTCTATCATTCGATGGGACTTCTATCTTTATATCTGTGACATTTCCTGAGAAGTCAATCAGCAGAACATTTTCGCTTGAAATCGCGATAAAATGGTTGAAAACAGGATGAGGAACTAAATAAAAAACTTCTGCCAAATTTTGTTTGTCTTCAACAATGATTGTGCCCAATTGGCTCAAATGGAGAACAGCAATTTTACTGCCATCTGAGATAGCAGCAACATCTGAATCATGAGGATTCAAACAAAGTGAAGTGATCTGATCAAAAGGTGACATAATTGTATAAGGATTATTCAACATCAACTTTGAGTTCCTAAATATTGCAGGCAAAGGGATTTTCAATTTCGCTCGTTCGTGGGCTTCGTTAAAGTGTCTTGTTGACAACATAAATTCATCTTTGACAATGTCAAATAATGGAATATTTTGCAAAAAGTGACGATCACAATTTGGATTCAATTTTGAAGGAGCCATTTGCGCGATTTGATAAAGTTCCAATGACTTCTGGAGTGATTCAAATCTATCATTTAATAGACGTAAAAATGGTTCATCTGTTGTAAACTTCGATGTCAAATTCAACATCTTTTTGTAGATCAAAAACATCACAACAAATCTTGCTGATTCGATATTTGTTGAGTGGCTGAAATCATCTCTAAGGAAAGACATAACCAAAGAAGGAATAGTGTCAGGGAATCTTGGACTGCCAATGTCTGCATCAAACAAAGAATTCGATTCAGAAATATTGGAACTATCAACTTTTTTGTTGACTTTAAAAGACAACAATTGTTCCAAAAATTGTGGTTCAAATGACCAACAAGCAGCACAAACAGCACCAAAGAATATGGCATATGCATACTTATCTGCATGCATTTTAAGTATATTGTCTAAATCAAATGTCACTTTTTGACCAGAAATGTAAAGAGACAATTCTTCGCAAAGATTTAATATTTTTGATGGAGAAGCAGGAACAAGAGCTGATTTGATGAACATCGAACCACAGAAATCAATGAAATTGGCTAAATGATGCTTCATAAGTTCTTTGTTTGCGTCATTCATCAAAGGAAAGGCAATTTTCCTGAATCCAAATTGTAAAGCATACAAACTTGTATCGTTTGTATCGGTTGACGGTTTTTCAACAAAGAATTTTGTCAGATTGTCAATTTGGAATTGGACAAACTCATCAATTATTTCGAAATTGTTCGTTTTCACAGGAATTTCTTCTTTTGTTTCAATTTCTTCTTCTTTTGGTTCTGATTTTGGTTTTTCTTCTTCATCGTAATCATCATAATCATCTGAGAAATCATCGTCGACCATCTTAGATCCGAAATCAAAATCTTCATCACTGGAAACGGATTCAACTTCAACCTTTGTCACTTTTTGGAAAACATCATCAAAATTTTCAGAATTTTCTGATTTTTCTCCTGAAGAATTTTCGGACTGTATTTTCTCAGTTATATCCAGAGAAACAGATGTCTGGATTTGTCTGTTCTTAGGCAATAAAATCAAGTACTTTGCCAAAGGATATAATCCGTCATTCATTAAATTGAAACAAATCTTTTTGAGAGGTGAAATATCACCTGTCAATCTATGATAAAATTGATACAAAGAAATTCTTCTGTCGCCCATGGAACTCAAGTTTTGGTTGATATTCGTTTCAAGTAAAAGCGGCAAAATCATGTCAGAAATACTGTCACTTTTTCTCAATTTAGAGATCATTATTGGAATTGTTGGATCCGACCATTTAGCCGATTTTAAGAATTTGGTCATTTCACTTCCATTTATTCCGTTTTCGACCAATCTCAGAACTAAGAAAGCCAAAATTGGATCATTCAGTTTGTCAACACAAATCTGACAACATGAAGTGATGTCATTTGCGACCAAAAACAAAGCTGCAGCCATTAGAAAGTTCTGTCTTGAGAGACTCGAATAAGCATTCTTTAAAGCACTTTTTCTCCACTTTTCCTGTGAAAAATCTTTACCAAAGAAATCAGATCTTTGCGTATCTCCAAGTAATTCATACAATTTCTGGATTTGCTTCGTATTTCCAAGCGCTATATATATCAAAGCAACAGGATCAACCTTTTTGGTCGCTGCCCATGTATTTGTCAATGCTTTTCTGCATAAACTTATCAATGTTTTTTGCTCTTCAATTGTTATCGGAAGGAAAAATTTTGTCAAATCATTGACGGTTATTGTAGATTGTAAAATGTCAGAAACAGTTGATTGTTTTGTAGAGAAAGAAAGCCACAAACCTATATAAGGCGATGGCCATGAAGAAGACTTGACACTCGTTAAATATCTCAGACCAAACAAATCTAAATCTTGATTAACAAATGACAAAGAAATTTCACTCAATTTTTTGACTTCATCTGTCACTTTACTTTTGATATTTAATGCGGAACTTGTTGTGTATTGGCCAGGAATAGCGGGAATTTGCTGTGGATTGAGTTCATCGTAATGACCGATGGAAGAAAACTCCAAAAGATGAGAAAATGTCGTATCAACGTGTTTTTTCATTTCGTTTGACGGTTTGATTGAAATCATTGGTGACATCATGAAGTTGTGGGAAATCTTTGATGCCAAAGCAAGCAGGAAATGGGAGTCTTCATTCATATAACCAACATTAAGTGTGACATCCTTTCTATTTGTTATTTCCGAGTATTCGATTTTCTTTATTATATCCGAAATCTTCGAATTCCAACACGGAAACAAACACATCGATGTCTGTGAAATAGCAACAAAATGGCCTAAGAAATTAACAGCAACAGATGTAACATCTTTCATATCTAAGAACGGAATGATCGAATTCTCAATCAAATAAACTCTTTTGTCATCAAAAGTGAAAATTCTTCCACCAATTTTGTTCGTGTCACAAAACAAACCTTTCATGGAACCAAACTCGAATTTGAAGGTCATTTCGAACTTGGAATCAATGTAGTTCCATATTTCAATATATGGATTTGATAAAATGACAAAACTGTTCAAACTAAAAACCGAAATTTTGTCAATTTTTCCTTCTCTCTTTTCTACATCGAGTTTTGAGAAAGAAGGGAATAAGAAGCAATTCACTTGGTCATCTTCTGTCGTTGCAACAAACAAAAAGTTTGTTTTGAACGATTTTGAGAAATCAAATAAAATATAATTTCCAATTTCGAAATTCTCTGTCTTTGTTATGATTTTTGAGCCACAAATCGCATATATCTCATCATTCTGGATGAAAAAGGCAGAACAGTTTGAAATTTCAGGGAAATCAATTTTAATTTCTTTGAAATCCGTGATTTTCAACTTAGAAAACGCGTTTTCTCTCAATAAAACAATTGTTTCTTTGTCGAGCCAAATCGCGTATTCTACATTTGTCGCTGCCTTCCTTGCTGTTGAATATGGATTGTTAAATGGCCAAAAAATCAAAGTTTTCTCTTCATCCCTTGTAAAGAAGTTATCTGAGAACGGAGCAAAGGAACTCTGTATAACAGGTGATCTGTGGAATAAAAATGAGTTCTTGGTGTTCGAATAAACCGAAATTCGGTTATATTTCACGGTTATTGCTTCTGTGCCTTCATTCGTCTTGAATGCAGAGCGCAATCCCATTGCTACAATACCTGGTTGGTTTTGGAGATGGTAAAAGACGCTTTGGGCGTTTTCTGTAATAATTCGACCTTTTCTATCGATTGTGATCTTTATTTTTTGAGCTTCTTTGGTAAGAAAGACTATCTTTGAGTAGTTCTCTGAATGTGAGTGGAAATTGAATAGAGCTGGTGGTCTGACAAATCTTCCTGGAATTGGAACAGATAAAATAGTAGAACAAGTAAAAATTTTGTTGAATTCTTGGTAGTATATACGTAATTTTCCGTCTGAAGTAATAACCATGAACATCGGCTCTGTTGGATGAAATTCAAATTGAGTAACGTTAACTGTATACTTAAAAACCTGTGGAATGAATTTCTTAGTTTGTAGAGTGAAAACTATGAGCGATTTAGAGTAAGAATGTGAAGCAATTCTCGAGCCATCTTCGAAAAATTGACAAAAGACGGATTTCTTAGCTAATTTTGTAGAATTTTGATCAAAGTCGGCTACATTTCCTAAAAATAAGCCGTTTGCGTTCGAATAACATATCAATTGTCTTGCAGCGCACCATGAAATGTCAGTGAGTGGATTTTTTACTTGAATAGTTCTTGTATTTTGCCAGATGGAGTCTTGGTAATGCCAAAACATAATGAAACCTTCTACATCACATGAAACTATATGAAGATTCTTCCTTTCGAATGATAATGTACAAATCTCATGCTGGTGGCCTCTAAGAATAGCTTTTATGTATTTTGCACCTGATAAAACGATAATTAAATTTCCTGATGAGTATGCCATTAACATTCCAACGTGTGAACTTGAAAAAGAAACTGAACGAGGGTATTTAGCGTTCATAGGTAAACTAAATAGCATCGCATCAGGTATTTTAAGAATGGAAGGGATAATACTCCCGCTCATTCTTAATTTTTTATTTTTTCTGAGGAGGAAAAAAAAACGATGACGATATGAAGATCTAATCAACCAAGTATATTATCAATTGTACATCAAGATGGGAATGGGGTAATTCTAAAAATCCAGATTCCAAAGCTCTTAATTCGTTACATTCAAATAATATGATCAAATTCTTTCAGAAGGCTCTCATTCAATTACCAGTTTTGATAAATTATGATTAACTTTCTCAAGTTCTTTTCTTGAAGATTATGATAAACTTTCTCAAGTTCATTTCCTGAAGATTATGATAAATTTATGAAGACAACATTAATTAAGATCATGTGTTACGAATATCATAGATAAAAATAGTAATTCTGCAAGAAACACATTCTAGTTTGAAGATTTACTTAAATTACAACGTGGAAATAAAACAACAATAAAAATATCATGATTTCATTGATGAAATTAAAGATATTTGAGTCCAAAAAACGAGCAAACAATATTAGAATTAAGAATATTTGTAATTATAAAATAATGATCGGATTAGATTACTTGGCTCCAATAGATATTAGATAATCTCTCACTTTATCTTTTGCAACTGAGAGCGCAGTTTTATTGTCATTAGTCTTTGCATATTTATTAGCTCCAACTGAGATAAGACATTTAACAATTTCAAGATAACCATTTAATGATGCAATAATGAGCGGAGTATATCCATCATTATTCTTTGCTTCTTTATCAGCTCCAACTGAGATAAGATATTTAACAAATTCAAGATAACCATTTAATGATGCAATAATGAGTGGAGTATATCCATCATTATTCTTTGCTTCTTTATTAGCTCCAACTGAGATAAGATATTTAACAACTTCAAGATGACCATTTAATGATGCAATAATGAGCGGAGTATATCCATCATTATTCTTTGCTTCTTTATCAGCTCCAACTGAGATAAGATATTTAACAACTTCAAGATGACCATTTAATGATGCAATAATGAGTGGAGTATATCCATCATTATTCTTTGCTTCTTTATTAGCTCCAACTGAGATAAGATATTGAACAACTTCAAGATGACCATTTAATGATGCAATAATGAGCGGAGTATATCCATCATTATTCTTTGCTTCTTTATCAGCTCCAACTGAGATAAGATATTTAACAACTTCAAGATGACCATTTAATGATGCAATAATGAGTGGAGTATATCCATAATTATTCTTTGCTTCTTTATTAGCTCCAACTGAGATAAGATATTTAACAACTTCAAGATGACCATTTAATGATGCAATAATGAGTGGAGTATATCCATAATTATTCTTTGCTTCTTTATTAGCTCCAACTGAGATAAGATATTTAACAACTTCAAGATGACCATTTAATGATGCAATAATGAGTGGAGTATATTCATAATCAGCCTGTGCCTCTTTATCACAGCCACATTCGATAAGAAATCGGACAAGTTTAAGATTTCCTGCTTGGGCTGCTTAATGAAGTACATTATAACTTCTATAACTTGTCTTTTTCCAAAGTCCTTCCTCACAAGCCTTTGATATCAATTCTCGATCACCTTTCGAAGAAAGTTCTTCAAAGAATTTGTAAACATTATCAAAATCTTTGGATTTCTTAAGTTCAGAGATTTTGGTTAAAAACTCTTTCGAAACTTTGTGATTTTCATTATTTTGAGTGTCTGTGGTTTCTTTAGTTGCATTTTGTACTTGATTTTGAAATTTTTTTAATTCTGCTTGAAGTTTTTTAATTTCTTCTGTACAATCATTCATTTCTTTGTCTTTTTGAATGAAAACATTAATGATTCCATCAAATATATTGAATTTCATGTACTTTTTAACAGATTTAAGAATTGAAACAACGTCTTCGAAATTTTGGATAGTAACATTTGCTTTTTGTGTGCAGAAATATAAATTCCTTGCGTTAATAGTTGATGAGGACTGCTTTAGAAGAGTAATGAACTGATCAGCTGTCAATCGTAAATATTTCATGATTGTTTTGATATCTTCTATATCGAATGTATCAAAAAAGTTTTCGTTTTGAATATAATCACTGATATGAGCAGCAATGTATTCGAAATTCAGATTCATGGACTGATTCGATTTTTACGATATCGTAACTTTACAAAAAATCTGAAAAAAACTAGCAATTGCTACTACACCCATTTTATTTACAATTCGATTTTTTTTCCACAATTCAATTTTTTTTCCCACAATTCAATTTTTTTTACAATTTGAAAAATCCAGGATATAATTCGAAGTGATATTGGGCAAAAATAATTAAGGCAATATCAGATACCGTAGCTATGAAGTGCTATGTTGTGGTTTGAAACGATATTATCATATTTTCACTTATTAATTAAGATGGAGCTGAAACAAATCAATATTTTTCATTTCTTAAATGCATAATGCTATTTTTAAAAAAATCAATAGCCTCTTTTCGATAAGAATATTTTTGAAATTTTTATTTTATCGATAAAATATCAAAATTGGGAAATACAATAGCATCAATTTTTCAAATTTAAGGTCTCAGTAAGCTCCAGTTTTAAGGAAACGGATACTTTAAAATTTAAGAAATAAACATATATAGGAAAAAAATAATGTGTTATGGGGGAATATATCAATCAAATTTCGTTTCAAATTTATGATATTTTTAAAACAGAATTATAAGTGTAAGAAAAAAACAACAAAAAGAAAGAAATAATCATATAGCCTACTAAACTTGGTGCTCTGTATCACTTGAAGAGGCGATTTCTTCTACAGTAGCATTTGATTTGTTTGAATCTTGTGAAATTTGAGGAGGAACTTCAGTAAGCGGTTTTCTACAACTTTCAAATCGCTTTTCTAGTTCTTCTATTAGTTTAACATATTTTGCATCTATTGTGGCGCCTTCTTCACGGAATTTTTTAACCTCTATTTCGAAATCATCTTGTTCTTGCTTTAAAGTTTGATTATACTCTTTAATTTGACTTTCGCCTTCCATTTTAATTCTATTTATTTCTTGACGAACTTCTTCTATTTGATTTTGAAGATAACGTATTTTAGCATCTTTACTTGATAAAAGTTTTGTAGAATTTGACTTCCCAGGAGAATACTTGGACGGGGATCTTCTGTTTAATAAGTCTCTAACTTCATCTTCGCGCCTTTTTTGTTTATGAGATAATTTTGTCAGATGATTCTCATCAAACAAAGCAATTTCCGATGCACCGTTCGAAGTAGCCGAACTTACCGATGCATTCATGAAATCATCGCTAATAACCATTGAGCATTTACTATACATTTTTTATTTATTTATGACATGTAAACTATTTAAATACTTATGACAATTTCGATGAATAGAGTTACAGCGAATCTTCAATAAATGCAATAAAAAAGATGAGAATTATCTGAAAAGATTAAAGTAATCATTTGAAGAGAATTAGTAGACAAATTATTCAGATTTAGAGGTTTTTCATATGGCCCAGAATGAAGCCATTGAAGAATTTCTAAAGGAAAGACGGCTCAAAGAAGGCAACAAACATATATCAGTCAATCAATCTAAAATTAAAAAATAACAACTTAAATCTCCCTTCGCTGCTCCGATTTACCCCATACTTAAAATATAGCTTGAGGATGTAGAAGGAAAACCAATTTTGAAGTATCATTAAAGATATGACGGACTTTCAAAAAAATCGTTTGATTACCTTTGAATCTTTGATGCAAGGCATATGTAAAACTTCCATGTTTGATAAACCTTTATTGTACTGCCGTAGGTACTTCTAAATTCTGTAATTCCAATTTTTTTCTTGAAATATATATAAAAAAATTACCAGTAACGGAAATTTCCGCAGTTTACCATCAAGTCAGCCATATCTGGATGGTAATTGCTTTGATGAATAGTTAGATACAATAAAACTTTTATTAACAAATAATTAAATAAAAACATACACTCTATATAGGTTGTTCGTGTTTAAGTGTCCTAACAAGTTCATCTATAATCAAATCTGTTTTTTCTGATCCTTTTCCTCTTTGATCTTCTAGCCATTCAATAAGATCAACATTAATTTCATTTTTTTCCACTTCATTCTTATTTTCTTCACTCTCATGCTCATCATCATGACAACGATCACAAATGTGACCATGTTCTGAGTACCTTATGTCATATCCCTCTTGAAATAATCTTAAAATTGCATAAATAACAAAAAATGAATCTTTTGGATCTGTTAAAGGGCAATTCTCAAATAATATATTATATAAACCTGACTCTTCGACTAAATGGAAGCCTGCAGAAGGCATATAATTAATAATATAAATAGAAAGCCTTAAAATTGCTTTTTGAACCAAGATACTTGTAGTTTCATCTCTAAATATTTCAACAGCCTTATGAATTATCTGACTACTAACGTAATGATTGCAAAGTTCAGGAATATAAATTAATAATTCAGTTAAAACATGAAAAGCATCGGCCAAGACAAATTTATTATCTGAATCTAAATAATGCTCACAAAATTCCATCGCATGTCGTGCTTCTAAGTATTTTGCACATTCTTCACTATTCCTCGCGATTGAAGAGGCCATTAGCAGGACATTCTCTACGTATCCGGGATTGTCGCATGGATAATGTATGAATAGATCAATTAAGTCTTTTATGAGAAAAATTTCTAAAAATAATTTGTTTGAATCTATGTAAAATGAAAATGCGTTGGCAAAACTAATTACCGCGCTTTCATCTTCGCGAGGAATTCTTAGAAATGCTTCAAGTAAATGGTCAAAAATCTCAATAATTTCATCTGTATTGATTGTAACCTCTTTCGTGATCTTCTTTGCCACTAGTTGAGCACATATATCTGCAAGGTATGAGAAATGTATGTCATCATCGGTTTGATCCAAACATTCGATTAATTTATTTTTCAAATCTGTTCCCATGATGTGGAATTTAATCTCGTCGAATTTCTTGAATAGATACAGTAATAATTTTGTGGCAAATAAGCTTGGAAATTGATCTTCTATGTAATCAAAAATTCCGTTTTCTTTTAAATACAAAGCTGAGCCATTTTCATGCTTAATTGCATTAATGAGGACGTAAATAAGTTCGTTATGAAGTTTTTCGTTTTGAATTGATAATAATTCTAAAAGTTTTTCGAGAATTTCTGCGGGATAATCATATTGAAAGTCTTTTGTCACATCATATAACTCGCATAATGCTTCGTATATTATATTTTCATCTTGTTCATGTAGTTTTTGAAAAATTAATTGCATTTCTTCTTCTAAAGGTGCCATTTTTTCATATTGAGGATCTTCGTCGATCTCATCTAATTCCTTTTCTTGAGTGTGATCACTTCTCTCACCTTCTTTGTATTGAGGTATTTCTTCATCAATCATAGTGTCAAATTGTTCGGACAACTATTTGAATTAACTCATAGAATATTTTGCGAAGAGTTTAGGAAAAAAGTTGTGAATATTCATATAGTTGGCCATGGTAGATTTCCGGTGGACACTAAAATTTAAATTTACACTTTTCCGACGTTTTGTCAGATGCGCAAAATAAAACCTTAAACAAGAAATTTGAGAGCGTTTTTAACAAAATATTTTAAGGGTGCACTGTAATCGGTTTGACACTCCCACTTTTTTTCCTTGGTTTCGAGATATTTTTCCATGATTTTTATGGATATGATATATGGTCATATAGTGATATATGATCAATCAAAATATTTAAAAAATATTTACTCAATATGGAAATATAAGAAAAAAAGTTTAGCCTTAAACCCTAATTGATCGAAATTGAGGGCTTTGGCAAACCGACTACAGTGCACCCTTAACACTTTACATGTGACTCGACCCTATTTGAATTCTATCTTCATGACACAGTAAACTTTTCAAAATTGAATGAAAACAATTGTGGCGCCAATATGATGCCGATTTACCCAAGCCCGAAAATTTGAATGCTTGCAAAAGATTTTTAAAAATTTATTTGGAAGTCAGGAATAGTTTAATGCTTATGATGATTTCACAAGTGAGAGTAGGTCAATATTAATTATTTGTTTCTTTATTAGCTCCAATATGTGTAAGATATTGAACAACTTCAAGATGGTCTTCTTCTGATGCATAAATGAGTGAAGTTTTTCCGTCATCATCCTTTGCTTCTGTATTAGCACCAGCAGAGATTAGATATTTAACAACTTCAAGATGACCATTAGCTGATGCACAAATGAGTGGAGTTACTCCATCATCATCATCCTTTGCTTCTTTATTAGCTCCAACTGAGATAAGATATTTAACAACTTCAAGATGACCATTTAATGATGCAATAATGAGCGGAGTATATCCATCATTATTCTTTGCTTCTTTATTAGCTCCAACTGAGATAAGATATTTAACAAATTCAAGATAACCATTTAATGATGCAATAATGAGCGGAGTATATCCATCATTATTCTTTGCTTCTTTATCAGCTCCAACTGAGATAAGATATTTAACAACTTCAAGATGACCATTTAATGATGCAATAATGAGCGGAGTATATCCATCATTATCATTTGCATCTTTATTAGCTCCAACTGAGATAAGATATTGAACAACTTCAAGATGACCATTTAATGATGCAATAATGAGCGGAGTATATCCATCATTATTCTTTGCTTCTTTATCAGCTCCAACTGAGATAAGATATTTAACAACTTCAAGATGACCATTAGCTGATGCACAAATGAGTGGAGTTACTCCATTTATAATCTCTGCTTCTTTATTAGCACCAGCAGAGATTAGATATTTAACAACTTCAAGATGACCATTTAATGATGCCCAAATGAGTGGAGTTACTCCATTTATAATCTCTGCTTCTTTATTAGCACCAGCAGAGATTAGATATTTAACAACTTCAAGATGACCATTTAATGATGCACAAATGAGTGGAGTTACTCCATTTATAATCTCTGCTTCTTTATTAGCACCAGCAGAGATTAGATATTTAACAACTTCAAGATGACCATTAGCTGATGCACAAATGAGTGGAGTTACTCCATCATCATCATCCTTTGCTTCTTTATTAGCTCCAACTGAGATAAGATATTTAACAACTTCAAGATGACCATTTAATGATGCAATAATGAGCGGAGTATATCCATCATTATCATTTGCATCTTTATTAGCTCCAACTGAGATAAGATATTGAACAACTTCAAGATGACCATTTAATGATGCAATAATGAGCGGAGTATATCCATCATTATTCTTTGCTTCTTTATCAGCTCCAACTGAGATAAGATATTTAACAACTTCAAGATGACCATTTAATGATGCAATAATGAGTGGAGTATATTCATAATTATTCTTTGCTTCTTTATTAGCACCAGCAGAGATTAGATATTTAACAACTTCAAGATGACCATTAGCTGATGCAATAATGAGTGGAGTTTTTCCATCATTATTCTTTGCTTCTTTATCAGCTCCAACTGAGATAAGATATTTAACAACTTCAAGATGACCTTCTTCTGATGCCCAAATGAGTGGAGTTTTTCCATCATAATCCTCTTCTTCTTTATCAGCTCCAATAGAAATAAGATACTTAACAACTTCAAGATGACCATATCTTGATGCAACAATAAGTGGTGTTTTTCCATCCTTATTTTTTGTTTCTTTATCTGCTCCAACAGAGACAAGATATTTAACAACTTCAAGATGGCCTCCTATTGATGCATAGATTAGTGGAGAACATTTATGATTATCATTAATATCTTTATTACAGCCACTATCTATGAGTGATTTAACAAGGTTGAGATTTCCTTTTTCGCACGCTATATGAAGTATATTTCTTTCATTACCAAGCACTGTATTTTTAAAAGGTACGATTTTCCAAAGATCTTCTTTGCAAGCTTTTGAAATCATTCTTTGATTTCCTTGAGATGAAAGTTCATCGAAGAAATTGTAGACGTGTTTAATATCATCAAGTTTCCTAAGTTCTCGAATTTTTGATAGAATTTCTCCTTCACTGTTTTCTTTAATTGATTCCAGATTAGAATTTGGGATTTGCTTAGCCAAAGTAGGCAATCCTTTTTCCAACTGTATCAAAATGTCAATAGCTCCATCAAGTATTCTCATTTTCATGAATTCTCCGACTGATTTAAGAAGTTCAATGACTTCTCCAAGGTTTTGTGCGGTAATATTTGCATTTCGAGTGGAAAAATATAGTTTTTTTGCATTGACTGTAGAATGAGCTTGTTTTAGCAGATTAACAAAGTCATTTGTTGATAAATTTGCGAATCTCATGATCTGATTGATGTCTTCGACTTCGAATATAGTAAATAACTTATTGTCATCAGTGTAATCTTTGATGTGAGACCCAATGTATTCAAAATTAAGTTGAACCCCTTTTCTCATTAAAAAATTTAATTTATCGTAACTTAACAAAAATTTTATTCAAAATTCAATTTTTTTTCCACAATTCAATTTTTTTCCCCGAAAAAATCCATGATATAATTCGAAGTGATATTGGGTAAAATATGTGATATATTCTTGATCGCATTTAACAAAGTTATTTTGGGACTTTAATTTTCAAAATTATATGAATAGATGGTTTTTGGCCTGAAAGAAAGGCAAACATAGTGCTTTTGGGGAAAAAGAAATGCTTTTCATTTAAAGATCGCAAGACTCCAGAGTTCTTTCAATTATTGAAAGGCAAAGATAATATAATTGATACAAAAGTTGTTTGTATAACAAAAATTCATGAGGGGTTTAAATTCAGTGTGAGAAACATTTATTGAATTTATTGAAATAAAGGTAACTAAACTCCTTTCGCCGATCCGATTTGCCCCATATTTAAAATATAGCTTGCATATGTAGAAGAAAAGCTAATTTTGAAGTACGCCCCAAATCCACCAACAGGATTTCGAGCTACTAAAAAGGTACTTTTAAATGTGATTTTTTTTATAAAAAATTAAATTTATTTTAAGATCAGACTAAAAACTAATTTTATGGAAAATCTATATCGACAAATTTATTACTTATTGGGTATATAGATTTTTTGATTATGGCGATTATGTCTGATATGCTTCCTATAAGCCAAAACACATTTCATACTGATTTCTATAAAAGGTATCTTTATTATAGAAGTGTAAGCTATATCTGTTTGTTTTTTTATTATAACAAATTCAAAATTCTCTTATAAGGACTAGATGAAATCTGTATTATTAAATCATTAGCTAAATGAAGGTTCAAATAGAAAGTAAATATCAATTTATATGATACTGAAACCAAATAGTTCTTTTAATAAAAGATAACACGCTGAAAATTATTGAGTATTTGCAAATCTCAAAAATCTATTGGTGAATTTGGCTCAACTTTTAAAATTATAACATCCATATCAAATCATAAAAGCAGACAAAAATTAAAGCCAAACCTATCGGCCAATTTTTTTTGATATTTTGATTTTTGAGGTATACTTTTAAAAGTGGATTTAAAGCACTGATGAAAAAACATTAACTTATGTCGTTATGATTATTGATTTAGACAATAATGATTTTAATCTTTGATTATCAAAACACTAAAGTCATCTTTTTAACATTTGCTTGGTAGCATTAACTCAAGTCTAAAGTACTATTTTATGTGGCACTCTTAGAATTTTTGTATTCATTGTACACGCTGAAATAGTACCATTAAAGTTATGGCGGACTTTCAAAAAATAGTTTGGTCACCTTTATTGAAATCCAAAATTATAATTTTTTTCAATCTGAGTTGCATCATTATAAAACTCTATCTACACTATGATCATTCATATATTTTCGATTTAATGAAATCCTTTCTTTCGATCTAAAAATGTCGAAATAAAACCAAAATGTTTTTTTGACATTTTATTGTTTTACTTGACAGCCAAAAAGTGTTAGTCAAATCAAGTTCTGAAACATCTAATGGCATTGAAACTCACTTTATTACAATGATCAATTTCAGATAAGGTTTTTATTTGAGAGACTTTTATGATAGTTTTGAGAAAAAAAAATTGTGCGTTTCCAATGTCGAAGAAACTTAAAGCCCTTCATAAGAGATATGATGAGGAAGGGACGATATTGGTTAAGGATACACAATTTGTGAAAGAGTACGCAACAGAATTTAAAGAATGGGTTCAAGAATTCGTTGGAAAACCGGTGAAATGGACATACCCATCACCAAAAATATATGTATCCAAATTCTTGCATCTGTTATGTCGTCTTCAATCCATTGATCCTACAATTGCTTCGACATACGTTGACATTTTACAAATGGTTGTTATGCCTGGCAATGATCCGCAAATTCGCTATCAAGGAGTGTGCGCATCGTATAATGTCATCTCTTTAATGTATGAGTTTATGATTGGAATGTATTGGATTGACAATATTTTTGTTTTTATTTTCTCTCGCGATCCAGTTAAATACGCAGAAAGAGTCTTAGGCATTGGCGAGCTTCGAGCACCAACTGGTGATGATATGATTGAATACGCAAATGTAATTATTAAAGAATTAAATCCAGAATTACCGGAACACTTTCAATTTTGGTGGTCGATGCTTAGCAAATGTTTCATTCCTCATGTATTTAAGAGTAACATTTCAGGAAATCCAAAAGCAATTAATGATTTGAAAATAACATTGGCCGAAGCATTTTTCAAGAATCTAACGATCTACAAATCACGCGTACTTATCGGTGTTAGTCTTGAAGAACGAATTCCGATTAAATATCAAGACGATCCGCTCATTATTTCCACATTTCACGCAAATATGCTTTTAATTCAATATACAATCAACGTAGCGAAAGAACAAACCAACGATAAGAAACATTACTTAGAGAGATTGCAATTTTTCTTTGAACAAGTTTTCAAAGTTGAAGTTTATCTCAAAGATACGCTAGTTACAAACAGAGTATTCGATAAAATATATGCAGATTATCCATTCAAATGCAAAGCCGCTATATTTACAGATTTAAAGCCAGCAGATAATAAAATAATCGAATATATTATTAATACGATCAAAAAAGAGAAAGCATCGATGGCCCTTAAGGAATTTATGATCAACTGTTACGAAGGATATCGTCTGGAGTTCAAACAGCTCATTAGAAAACAAAATTTAGCAGATAATCAAATAAAATCTCAATTATCCATTATTATGCCTTTATTCTATACCGCGATAATAGTATACTTCCAATCAATTACCAGACTTCAAATCAGCGATGCTGCTTCGTTCCAAATGCAAATATTTAATTCCAAAACGCCAGATCAATCATTCGGTCTTGTTTTCTTCCTTTCCATGCTACTCAATATTCGTAATTTCGCTCCTGAGCACTTTCTTCCTCTAATTTCAGTTCCAAAATGCAAAAATTACGTCGAAATCCTTGATTTCTTTGGCAAAGCCATCGCATTGGAAGCAGTGAAGAACATAAACAAGGAAATTGCTAACGATTACGAAAATACTCTTAAATATGTTTTATCCCAAATTGTAGAGAAGCTTCCACCGAATTCCGACAGTGTTTTCTCGACCACTGGGTTCATTTTGATACCTTTCAACCTTCAAAACATGAGCACGAACCAGTTACAAGCTTTAATTTCGAATATCTTCAAAGTCGCCGATAATTTTTTCGAAGATGTCTGCGAAGTTGCATTTATTGAACAATACGTAACATTCTGCAAGAAGTACGGCAAGCCATATCGTAAAAACTACTTCATTCAGTCATTAGTTCCCGAAATCATCTCAAAATTCCAAAATTACGACATTTCCCACTTGGCCACACAAACATTGGAGTCATACATCAACTTCATGACCGATTTCATTGCAAATGACGTAATTTCTGAAAATGACAAAATTATTTATTACTTAACTGTTAATAAATGGCTTGATCAGAGGGATAACAGGCAGATCTACGCAATTAAAGCATCAATGGTCATTATAAAGTGTCTGAATTACCTATCCTATGAAATTATTGTCAAAATTTCAATTGCTTTGACAAATATTGACAAAAAAGATCTAAAAAGTGACATTTTATTAGATCCTTTGAAGTGTGCCATTAATTTAGTTTCTGAAGTTCTGTTTTGCTGCGACGAGATGTCAGAAGTCAACAGAATGCTCGTAATTAAAAATGTTGACATGTTTTTTGACGAAATTCTGACATTGGCAAAAACAAATCAAAATTTGCCAATAATTCAGATGGCAGTTTTACTTTTGACATCTATTTTGTCATTCTCCAAAAATGAACAGAAAATCGTTTACTTTTTAACGATGAAAAACGTTTTTGGTATTTCAAACCATGTTTTAGTGAAAAAGTGGACAATTTTAGGGCAAAATCCACAATTTTTGAACCAAAACCAGATGATAAAAGACTGTATAATCAACGCGTTCGACGAATTCATTTCTCCAAGGAATTCCCAGTTCTTGACAACGAAAATTATTCTGGAAATTTGTTTGTTCGCTGGAGAAATTTTGTACCAATTTTCTGATGATCAAAAAGTGACAGAAAAGTGTCTAAATATTTTGACACACACATATGAAAACAACGAAGAACTGAAAATGATGCGAGATTACGCGATCCACTTGATTTCGTCGTATAAAAACAGTTTGCCGAAAATAGAAAATAATTTTGAATTTGACAAATTACATTTGACAGTTTTGTGTCAAGATGGCAAAATAAAGTTGACAGGAATGACAAATTCTGTTCGTAATCCATTGAATTTTGTCAAAACTGATTTATTTAATTTTGATTTGTCGCATATAGAAAATGAAGTTAAATTTGGAGAAAGAACTCCTCATTGCAATTTATACTATGTTTGTAAGGACCAAAAGAAGTTTTCTGATATAGAAAAGAACGATTGGAGTGTTGTTTCCAAACATTTCTTTTCTTTCGCGACGTCGCTTGGCAAATTGAAGAAGTACGAAATAGAGTGGACTTATTTCACACACAGAATTAATTTTTCTTTAGTTCCTTGTTATGTATCGAAACTGGAAGACAAAACAGAGTTTGATTCAGTGAATATGAACGGAATAAGAAGGAAATGTGGAATATTCTGGATTGGAAATGGAAGAAGAGTTGATTTCAGAAATTTGATTCAGAAAAAGAAATTTGATTTAGTTATTTCTATTTCTCAAATCAATGCTGAGTTGTATTTCTTGTCTTGTCACTCTTCAAGAGAACAGACAACTCAGATATTCGATGAAATCACGCTCAGAATAGAGTGCTTGCCAACAATCATTAGATGGATTGTTGATAATTATAATGTATGTTAAATATAAATAATAAAAATATTACCTATTATTGTATATGATTAAAAAAAGTTCTTTTTTAGGAACATAGAATTTTAATGTCATTCAATTGTATAAAATTTAGGTGAATCAGAAACAATGTATACAATTGAAACAACGATTGTTTTTGATTCAAATTATGTTCTTTATAGAAGCAAATATTATTATAACCAAGTTAATTCCAATTTTATAAACAGGAGCAAATTAGAAATTGATAAAGTAGGTGGCAGGCATGTATATCGGCGAAGAATGGTCACTTTTTACAGAAAATATTGTTAAGGGTGCCGGAAAGTGAAGTGAAAGCTATTATAAAAACAACACTTTTCAAACCCATAAAATCATTTTTATTTTGTTTTGTTTATATGAGTATAAACCTTAAGTGATGATGTATCATAGTATCATATTCAAACTAAGTGAAAACGATGTTTATGATTATAAGGTTATCGAAAAAATACAAAAATCATTCAAAATTTTTAAAATCTGGAAGGAAAAAAGTGCATTTATCTCAACATATGAGAATTGAAAATAAAATTTGTTCTGTAAAACTTTTAGTATAACTATTGAAATTTTGTGTTTAATGTATCTCACTGGCTTAAACACAATATTGGAGGACTAGATACAAATCTAATTAAACTTTGAATGAGACCATTTCGACTGGAAACCACTACCATTGTGTTTGTTCCCTAATGGTAATTAGCAGAATCCAGTGAGATGGTAGTGCAATCGGTCTTAGTTTTGAAGTTACCCACTAATTGCATCTCGACACTTTTTAACAAGTGCCAAATGTTTTCTATAAAATATCTAGTATCTTGTACCTAGATATTATTCCTGCAGTACCAGCCCCTGCCATGGAATAACCAGGGACTAGATAGGTCCGCAAGTTCGAAAATTGCGAAACAGTTTTCTTCATACTGGAAGTATCCAAGACCTCAATATCATAGAAGTAAAAACCTTAGTATATACACTACTAATATATGTTTCAATATCATTAATATCTTTACTACAAATGAAGTTATGAGCAATACTCGTAATCGCGTCACCTCACTTTCCGGCACCCTTAATATTATCTGACAGTAAGCATTTTCTTGATTGCTAAGAAAGCAATCATTCAAGGATTATACTGAGTTTGATTTATGGAACTCGTATTATAGTGTGGGGCTTGATAAGTTTTACGTTTATAATGATGAATTTAACAAAGTTGAAAATTTAAATTTCAAGAAAGATGGCATAAAGCTCTTGCATTCACTTTGCACGTTTATATATTGTCGTTCTAATGTGAATGGTGGAGCAATCACCTTTATTGGAAGTAGTTCTATAAGTGAAGATAAATTTTATGACGAAGGCTCGATTAATTATGTCCAAGCCAGTAATCGATTTACAACAGCTCATCATACATATGCATATTTGAGTTCTTCAGAAAATTATACATTGAATGAAGGTTGTCTATATAATTCCAAATTTAAATCCACAAATATGGGAGGTATTTGCATAGAAAAAGGGAGCAAAACTATAAAATATTATAATTGCTCGAATTGTGAGTCGGGGTGTAATTCCTGTCTTTATATGAAAGACTCGGAAGATGCCCCTAATATTTCATTTTGTAACTTCATTAGTAACGCAGCTGTATTAGATACTTCATGTTTTGTTGTTCAACAATCACCACAAGGAAATAAATATTCTGCTGATCATTTTGTGATGTTGAATAATACGCATAAAGGAAATGGTGGAATTATTGAAAGCTATTACACCAATCTTTATATAGATAATTCTGTAATTCTGGGAAACCCAGGAAGTAGCTATATGTTTTATACTTCGAACGGAAAAATTATCATCAGTAATAGTATTGTCGATTATATGACATCCTCATCTGCAAATGGTGCATTTGAAAGTTCGAATATTTCTCATAGAACTCCCAATGGATGGGAGTTTAAATTATTATCACCATCCTATTTGAGACATTCAAAAATATGCACAAAATGTGAAAACAAGTTATTTTGTTCTTCAATTGACTACATAATGATATTGTTTTGTTTAGTTTTAAAGTAAAAATCATATATTAAATTATGAATTAATATAAAGAAATTACCAATGATGCAAATTTTGTTGTCTTTACATATGAAGAATACTTCACTAGGTACAGGATTTGAAAATGAACTAATTTAGCAAAATTAAATTTGCATTTTTCAAGTTGTATGAGTATCATTTGCACCATGAAGTCTGATATAACTACTCAAATCTAAGTTTTGAATTTTAAACAATTCTATGTCATTTCATACATCTCAAATACAGTTAATATCTTATATTTCTTTCAAAGTAGTTTATTTTCACTAGAAATATAATAATCATGATCATAATTTAAAACATCAAAGGATTTAGATATTTAAAAGACATTATTATCGAATTAAGAAAACAATCATAAATTCTTAAAGGCGTACTGATATTAATGTGAATGATTCTTTGAGTTAGCTCATATTCCACACGCATTCTTGACATTAAAAAATTAAGGCTTTTTATTATGAAATCTGACAAAAATCTGTGAGAAATTTCGAAATCTGAAAAATTATTATAAATCAGTCATATCATATAATAATGATGAATAATACACAAATTGGAAATGGTGGTATTGTTGAATGCTATGATACAAACTTATTTATCAGCAATTCTTTCATTTTAGGGTTTCCTGGAAGCTCTTATATATTCTATGCTTGCAATGGAAAGATAATCATCTCTAATAGTATTGTAGAGCATATGACAACATCATCATCCGGTGGGGCTTTTGAAAGGACAAATGTCTCATCATCAACTCCATATGGATGGAATTTTATTCTATTATCGCCTCCATATATGAGACATACAAAGATATGCACAATGCCTGCAAGACAACTGTTTTGTGCAAATTCAATTAATATTATTATGTTAATTTGTTTGTTTCTTGATTAAAAAATTTCTCCAATATGTTCTCCATTATTTTGTTCCAACTATAAGAATTCTGTGTCTTATATATATATATAAATGATTATCTTTATTCCATAGTTTTCTATAAGCTTTCCTTTTGAAGTTCGATTTTTATATATATATATATATATGCCCCTATGACGGGGCCTTCAATTTAGATGTTTAAGGTTAATTTTCAATGACGCTTCACGCCAGTTATCAAAAATTTGAATTAAAGTCAGATGGGCGTAAGTGCAGCCTTAAGAGTTCACTTACCACTTTCTCACATGCTCTTTAAAAATCATTATATCTTTATTTTAATAGCAGAAAAATATAACATCCATATCAGCTACTATACAATGATTTATAATAACTTTTTCCCGACCAAAAATATTAACTTTTGACATTAGAAAATTGGGATATAAAGCCTGAGATTCAAAAAAATTGAGAGAATGTCAGAAAGTGATAAGTGAACTCTTAATTTTTGAAAATCAAGGTATAAAGAGCGATTACATAAAGCTTATCCAGAATTCGATTTATGGGAATCATGATATAATGTCGAACTTGATAAGTACTATATTTATAAAGACGATTTTATTAGAGTTCTTCATTCCCTCTGTATGTTCATTTATTGCCACTCCAATGAATATGGTGGTGCCATCAATCAATATTGAATAATCAAATAACTGTTAAATATGTCATTGGGATGAGATTTTTTTTCAAAATAATAAAAAAATGCGGGTTTTCCTACAAGTGCAAAAAATGCACAAAAACGATTATTTTACATTCAATTTGCGCGTTATTTGTGCGTTTAAAAATCTATCCGCGTAAAGTAGTCAAAAGATGTAAGCATTTTTTCTTTAATATATTTTGCATATGCAATTGTGGCTATACTTTATTAATGGTTTTGATTATTTATAATAGTCAACTCCAAATTTTTTCAAATGCGCAAAATATGCGCAGATTCAATTTTAAATAATCGTTTTTGCGCATTTTTTGCACCCCATGTAAAACCCAAAAAATGTGACATAATAATCCGAATTTTTGAATACCTTTCTCAATTTTGATTATCCTGATCATTTTTTTTCCCTATAAAGGTTAATTGAAGCCGATTATCCTGAGTTTGATCTATGGAAATCGTATTATAATGTTGAACTTGATAAGTTCTATGTTTATAAAGGAGATTTTATCAAAGTTGAAAACTTAAACTTCCAGAAAAATGGAATCAGATTCCTTCATTCACTTTGCATGTTCATATACTGTCGTTCCACTGCAAATGGCGGTGCAATCACCTTCATTGGCAGCAGTTCCATCACAGAAGATAGATTTTATGATGAAGGATCTGCAAACGTAGTTCAAGCAAGTGATAAATTTACTACCGCAAATCATGCATATTTATACTTAGATTCAACCGCAAGCTATATTATGAATCAAGGATGTGTTTTTAATTCTAAAACAAATACAACAAACGTTGGAAATATTTTAGCTGAGAATGGCGATAAAACAATAAAATTTTATAATTGTTCTTATTGTGAATCTGGATGTAACTCTGCTCTTCATCTAAAGATTTCGTCAAACAACCCTGAGATTCTTTATTGTAATTTTATAAGTGCTTCATCAATTAAAACAGCTTCTTGTTTTGTTGTTGAAGAAAATAGTCAAGGATCTAAATATACTGTAAATCACATGGTAATGATGAATAATACTCAAAAAGGAAATGGAGGAATAATTGAATGTTACAACTTAAATTTATACATAAATGATGCAGTTATTCTTGGAAATCCTGGTAATTCTTATATGTTTTATATCAACGGTGGGAAAATTATAATTAGTAATAGTATTGTCGATTATATGACAACCTCAACCGTAAATGGTGCTTTCGAAAAGACAAATGTCTCACAAAGTACTCCATATGGATGGAAATTTAGGCTATTATCTCCTCCATATATGAGGCATACAAAAATATGTACATATCATATCCAATTTAAATTTTGTGCATTTTTAAATTATAATATGATGTTGATATTTTTGTTTCTAGATTAAAAATTCTTAAACGAACCAAGATATTTCATCCTAATTTAAAAATTCAAGCGTGAATATTATTGACCTAAATACTGAAACAATTTTTAGTGTATGTTCAGTATATAATCACCAAACTCTTCAGAAATTTCATATTCCATTTTTATTTGAGAAGCATCATTGAAATTAACAACAATTAAAGAGGAAAATATATTATGATAAATTGGAAATTGAAGAATAATCTAAAACTGGAGCATCAATTGAACTTTATGTGAAATATGGTATGAGTGATCCCAAGATATCATATTGTAATTTTGTGAGAGTTTTGTCAAAACCAGGTGCTTCATTTTTTGTTGTTTCAGAAGATTCACTTGGATACAGATATTCTGCAGATCATCTAATAATGGTAAATAATGCCCAAAATGTGAATGGCGGTAAAATTGAATGTTATAGTTCTAGTTTATTCATAGACAAATCGGTCATTCTTGGAAAGCCTGGAAGTGCGACCGTGTTTTATACTGATAATGGAAAGATTATAATCACTAATAGCATTGTTGACGATTATACATTATCTTCATCAAATGGCGTTTTTGAGAAAACGAATGTCTCAAGAAATATACCAAATGGATGAAAATTTAAACTTTTATCTCCCTCATATATGAGGCATACCAAAGTTGGCACATTTCCCAATAGGAATTTGCATTGTTTATATTCAAATATAATTTTATGCTTGTTTGTTTGTTTCTAAATTAAAAAATATACGAAAATTTATATAAGACGCAACTAAGATAATCAATATTGGTTTCAGAAATCTTAGAATTTGTAAAAAGAAATTAGATCTTCCTGGCAAAGTAACGAGTATTCACAGGTCGACTTGATAGCAGCTTGATGAAAATTTGTATTTATATAGTTCGATATATATCCTTTATAATATCTTATCTCCTATCGTTTTTTTTTAAATTGAGACATTACATTGACACTTTTTGAATCATATGAATCCTTTGTAAACTTCTCAACATTGTATTATAACCCAAGATGATACAACTATGAAGATCGCTATGATAAAAATTGAACTTCAATATAATTTTGAATCTTCCTTTTTTTAACGATAATATTTTTGAATGTCTGGCAAATGACATTAATTTTCTATAAACTATTCAAATATTTGTAATAATTTAAAAATTTCATTGTTATGCTGTTAATCCTTGCTCTCTTTTCCCTAGCTAATAGCTATGAAGAAGATTACTACATGGAGGAGAATGGCCTTTTCTCGAAACTCAAAAAGGCCCTTAAGAAAATTTAAAAATGGGTTCATCATAAACACGAACGTACAACAACTGAGCCTGTCAGAATAGTTAGGTTCACTCCATCAAATCTTGAAAAAGAATACAAAACAAAGAACCTTGAATCCCTAATCAACCGAATTGCCAAAAGTTTCCATCTTGATGTTCAGAAAGTTGCCATGTTCTTCAAACTTTCCAAATGGTCAAAATCTGCAAAGCAATTGTTCAACAGAAATGACTTTGGCAAAGTTCAGAATAAAGATCAAAGATCTGTTTATCTTGGCGGCACTGTCATCAAAATTACGAAGTCCAATGGCCAATACACTGTCAACTGCCGCCAGGCAGCTGTTCGTGCTCTTGTTCAGGCCACACGCACAAGGCATAAATACAGAACTAATTGGGGCCGTACTCACAAGACTCACATACAAAAATGGCGCGCACTTACAGCTGGTGAGATCCAAAAGATCTACAAGGAGTGCAACAAACAAATCGCAGGCCGCATCAAGGCTTATAAGCGCATTTAAGATAGATATTTTTAAAGATATCTTAGAAAATGCTTCATTATTAAATCACAAAGTTTCGAATGAAACATGTGATATATTTAGTTGAAACATTTTTTATTTTTATGCTTAAATAATGAAAAACTGAATTTTCAAAATTTAAAATTCAATTCAGTGATGTCCCATAACACATGGAATGTTAAATTAATATAGAGAAGTTGTAGCATTTTCTTCTTTAAATTGTGAATTTAACCTAAAATAAAATATATTATTTTTTAAATTTGACCATTTTTAAATAATTTTTATGCTGATCAAAATTTTTGTTCAGTGATAATGTCTTATATTAAGTCTGATATGTTTTGATAGCTTTACAAAACATATTCGTCGTATTTGTAAAGTTTTCAACTATTGCTTTAAATTGGATAATATAAATCAAATCTTCAACTATATGTAAGCAATTTTTCTGCCATAAACAAGATTGAATTTCATAGTCATTGAATTATTTGATCAGTTTGTAAATCTTTGTTTGAATTGTTCTCAGGTTCCGATATTCTTGAAAGTTAAAAGTTATGAGATTTGAAAACATTTTCAATATTTACGGTTTTTAAGAGTATGAAGAGCCGATTCAATAAGGCTCATTAATGAGAGTTATAGCCTTCAAGAGACATTTAGAAGCTGATTATCCTGAGTTTGATCTATGGAAATCGTATTATAATGTTGAACTTGATAAGTTCTATGTTTATAAAGGAGATTTTATCAAAGTTGAAAACTTAAACTTCCAGAAAAATGGAATCAAATTCCTTCATTCACTTTGTATGTTCATATACTGTCGTTCCACTGCAAATGGTGGAGCCATTACCTTCACAGGAAGCAGTTCTATAATTGAAGACCGATTTTATGACGAAGGTTCTATCAATTATGTACAAGCTGAAGATAAATTAACAACAGCCCATCATTCATACGTATATTTGAGTTCCTCAGATAGTTATACCATGAATGAAGGATGTCTATTCAATTCCAAATTTGAGTCCACAAATGTGGGAGGAATTCACATTAGACAAGGGAGTAAGACTATAAAATATTATAATTGCTCAAAATGTGAGTCAGGAACTAATTCTGGACTTTTCTTGAGAGTTTCGTCGAATGCCCCTACGATTTCTTATTGTAATTTTATTGATAATTCTGCAGTATTAGATACTTCATGCTGTGTTGCCTCAGAGAACTCTGGAAATAGCTATTATGCCGATCATTGGGTGATGGAAAATAATACACAAAAAGGAGTAACTGGAATAATTGAGACTTATAGCACCAGTATTTATATAGATAATTCTGTCATTCTTGGGGATTCAGGTAACGGTGTTATGTTTTATACTTCTGGTGGAAGCATTACTATAACAAATAGTATTGTTGAGCATTATACAACATTGTCCTATAATGGTGAATTTGAAACATCAAATATTAGTGATAAAACATCTAATGGATGGCGATTCGTACTATTATCGCCTCCCTATATGAGACAATACAAAAATATGCTCAAATCCTGCAAGACAGATGTTTTGTAAATCATCAAAATATAACACTATGTTGTTTTGTACGTTACTCAGGTAAAAGTATCAGCAATAACTCTTTTAACAAAAAAAATCACTTGAAACAATCAGAAGAAAATTGCAACAAATCGTTGGTTGAAATCATTCACTCTCATTAGCTCATTATCAAATAAAAAGATATTAGATGGCATGTATATAAAAATATAAGTATGTGAAAAATATTGGAAAGTATTCTTCTTCGTAGATGGAGTTTTTCCTATCGCTATATACAAAACATATATAGAAATACAAAACATATATAGAAATACAAAACATATATAGAAATACAAAACATATATAGAAATACAAAACATATATAGAAATACAAAACATATATAGAAATACAAAACATATATAGAAATACAAAACATATAGAAATGCAAAGCATATGAATATATAGAAATACAAAATATATGAATATATAGAAATACAAAATATATGAATATATAGAAATACAAAATATATGAATATATAGAAATACAAAATATATGAATATATAGAAATACAAAACATATGAATATATAGAAATACAAAACATATGAATATATAGAAATACAAAACATATGAATATATAGAAATACAAAACATATGAATATATAGAAATAATCCAAACAATAAAATCTATTTATATATATATATATATATATAAAACAAGTAAAAATAAAATCTATAAATAAAAATTAATCAGAAGTATATTGAATCACAGAGAAATTCTCTATTTGTTTGATTTCAGATGATTTTGCAACAACAGCAATGTGTATCTTAGAGCTCATGAATGATCTAATTGCTGTATAAATGTCACTCAAGTTCAAATAAAAGAGATCTCTGAAAAATGTTGTTTTGTTTTCAATTGAAAATCCACTCAAAAACGTATCAATGTTTCTTGTAGAAGGATCTCGAGGAGCATTGATTCTCTTAAGGATTGCATATATACACTTCCTCATGTCTTCTTCTGTAAATGTTCTTTCGTTTATACTCTTCAATTTTGACATCATTTTGTCACTCATTTCTGTCACGTTTTTGACATTTTCAATGGTGAAATAAATGACACTTATCAATGGATCACTTGTATTTTCATCGACTCTTTCACCGTAAGAACTATCGACAATCTCGTTGAGATACCCTTTGCATATCATTTTCGCTGTTACATAGTAAGCTGCTGCGATTTTTTTTCCAATAGGAGGAACAGGAATTGAAAAAGTGACAGATGAAAGTGAATGGTCGGACTTGAAAGCTGATTTTTGGTAAATTGACATCTCCGAAATAAATAATCTAATTGTGTCAATTCCTTTTTCGATCGGTTGGTGAGAATTTAATTTTTCCATTAATGAAAGGAGTCTTTTCTCAATTCTCTGGCGGCTTTCGCAGTTGCAATGAAGTGAAGCTGAGAAATCTCCATTTATGAACTTCTTGTCGTATAATCTTGAGATCAAATCCAAGATATTTTCTCTTTTGTCATTATTCAAGTATTTTCCGAGCCTTTTGTAAAAAGTAACGCCAAATAACATCTCTTGCAGTGCTGCCCCTCGCGAAAGAGCTGCAGCAGAGAACATTTGGGAGAATAATGTAGCATTTATCATCAAATGCTTAGTATACAAATCATACGTCTCTTGTAAAATGTCCATCATCAAGATAGGATCAATCAAATTGGGTTTACTAATGAGAGAAGTCATGTATTCGATTAAATTATTCGCATTCTTCGAAAGAGACTTTCCTTCAATGATAATGGTCAAGTTTGCGGTATCCTCTGAATCATAACTAGCTGAAACCAAGTACTTAATTGAGATTCCTCCGGTGAATTTTTCGATTAAATTGTCAAACTCTTTTTGTGACATTCCATCGACTCCTGTCTTACCAAATATAGTCAGAAAAATTGGAAAATCCTCTAAAAGTTCTTCATCCAAGTTAATTGAGTTTTTAATTCTGATATAAACGACGTCATTCGTTGGTTCTTCATAGGAATACACGAACCCGTTACCTAATACATTCCCTGGTTTGTAAAAGCTGTCAAGTATTTCAGAAAATGAAAAATTTGAAAAATTATTTTTTTCATTTTCTTCATTTTCGGTGTTTTGTATGAACCTCTCTGTTTTTGAGTATTTAGAAATTATTTGTGATAAATTGGAGTTGAATTCTGACTCAAAATTGTTATCATTTACAAAATCTATGTCAATTCTGTTTTGGTTCTCAAATAAACGCCTTCTCATGACCAATTCGAAGTATTTAGGCTGCACAGCGAGTAGTTTCTTAATTCTCTCCACTTCCCAGGTCATTTTTATGTAATTTAATGGAGAATAACCATAAATCCACGGATTTACGACATTTGAAAAATAGTCATGGCCAAGATGTTTCGAATTTTCTCTCAGAGATATTTCGTAGTTCTGTAAAACTTCTTGAATTTTTTCTTCGGAAAATCCGTTTTTTAAAATTGTTTCAAGTGAAATTTGGAGCTGATTTGAGAATGTTTCGTCTAAAGAGACTCCATCAGCACAAATGGTTAATCTTGGAACTCCAGTTTTGAAATAAAATTTTGATTCGCAAATTTTATTTGCATAAGCTTTCGTAAGCAACTGGTATTGTATAGAATTGTTTCCTGGCTCTAATAGCAAGTGGGAAAGTACATCAACATCAATTAATTCTGATAAATTACTCACATCAGAGATTAGCCACGTAACTGTTGATCTTTTTTGGTAATCTGATTTGGAAATGTTAGTTACTTGAATCTTCTTGTAGATTGGTTGTATCAATGGCTGTAAATGAGAATTTAATTTAAATCCAGATTTTGAACCATTGTTTTTAACTGTAGAAGCGAGAATTCTGAGTATTTCTTGTTCATCGTAATCGCCAAAATGGTAAAATAATGCATTTTGTGGCTTTATATACTTAAAATAATCATAAACTGTTTGATTGTAAGATGTAGAGGCAAATGAAAGCGGATTTCCGTATATTCCGTAAGGGAATCCACTCTGATTGTAAATAGCATTTAAAATCGCTTGTTTTGTCACATAATCTTTTTCAAAAATTTGATTTTTTGAAGATTCAAATGCGGATCCGGCAGCGTATATTTTCTTTTCGAAAGGATCTGATGATTGTTTAAGATAAAATGTTGATTTTATGAAATTATTTTCTGTAATATTTGGTTCAAATATGTTATTTAGAGTAGCTTTGAGTTGCTGTTCGAATTCTGATCTGTAGATACTAGAAAATTGAAACTGAATTGATTCTTGAAAAAAATCTTTAAAATAATCAATGTTTTGATATGGATTAGCTGCAAATTTTGGTATATTTAGCAGTATATTGTGTACTCCTGTGTGATTGTACGGTAAATATTTAAATGCTACTGCGAAATGATTTTCTTTTTCTTTTGTTTTAATGTTTAGGAATTCGTATTTATATTTTCTGTGTTTGTAAAGTGTTGCCACATAATTCAATTCTGTTATATTAGCAACACCCTTGATTTCAAACTCGCCAAGGATTATATTTTCGTTTGTTTTTCTTACAAGGAATATTGATGCGGTTACTATTAGTATTGGGGTAAAATATGAGAACATCACCCGGAAAAGGACCCGAGATTCTGTGATGCACTCATTCTGCATCAAAAGAAAAACAAGAAAATAAAAGGATTATAAGTTAATTTGTATTAGCTAAAGTATGTATGTGTTTAGATATTGTTAATTACAACTTTAGAAATCATTTTCAGGACATTTTTTTCTAAACTGTAACAAATCTTACAAAAAGTGAATGAAAACACAAGGGTTAAGCAAAAGGATGTTACTGAATCTGATTTATTCTCATTAATTTTTTTTTACAAATTTTCAAAATTTTCTATTTTTCTATCGTGGTGACTATCAAATTTTACATTTAGATTTGTTATATGCCTTGAAATAGTTCTTTTCAATCAAAAAATGGGAGATGGAGAATTTGCAGTTTTTTGTATTTTAGATATGCTATTTGTTTCAAGTATAACTATAGAGCTTTTATATAAAATAACCGCAAAAACCGTGAATAGAATTCTATCGAATTTTTTTTTACTTCAAAAATAAAATATGGCAGCAAGACTTGATGACTTTATTATTTCAGTCTTAAATGCCCCAACATTTGATGAGCAAAAGATAGTTATTGCTAATGAGCTTGCCGCAGTAAGAACATTCATTAGAGATTGCGACTTAAAATATAAACCTTCGTTAATAGCGAAGATAATGTTTCTTGGAGTTCGCGGTGACAATGTTGCCTGGGCAAATATCGAAATTGCTAATTTAATGGCAAACGAACGCCCGTCATACAAAAGAATCGGATATCTTGCCGCAATCAATTTATTCGAAAACGAAAATGATTTGATGGTATTGATTACCCATACTATGGCTAAAGATTTAAAGAGTACAAATCCTTTAGTACAAATGCTTCCTCTCACATTATTAGCTCAAATAGGAACAGCCGATATGTGCAGAGAGCTTTCAACGCATATATGTGATTTACTTAGCTCCGGAAACCAAAACATCATCAAACGCTGCTGTGCGGCTATGTATCATTCTGTACTTTTAGTTCCTGATCTTGCAGAAAGATTCAGACCATATGTGCATAAGCTTTTAAGTAGCTTTTATCATTGTGTTGTAAGTGCGACTATAGACCTCGCAATCGCTTTAATGAAAATAAATCCAGGTCTAGTTAAGGCTTGGCAGCAATTTTCAGGCCCATTCACGAAAATTATCAGTACCTTATACGAGACAAAGCCGATTAAGGAGTTTGATTTCTTCCATTTCAACGATCCATTTTTACTTACAAAAATTTTGAGAATTGTCGCTTGTTTACAGACACAATCCGACGAACTTGACGATTTGCTCTCAACGATCGTCGCAGGAGTCGATGTTCGTCGTAATACAGGCAGAACAATCTTATTCCAAGCGATTCAGACTATTAAAATCTGCGCGAAGAAGCCATCACTCAGATCTCTCGCTTACAATCAGATTGGACGCCTCTTCTCCCTTAAGGATCCCAATGTTTTGTACTCTGCCTTGTCAACCTTTTCCAGGGTTCTTTATTCGACCGGTCCTCTTGATCGTTCTAACGCTGATAGTGTTGTTCTACAGAGATACAAGTCGCAAGTCGTCACTTGTTTGAGTCATAAAGATCCATCAATCAGAAGAAGGGCTTTGGATGTTGTTGTCGCTCTGGTTGATGCGAATAACGTCGAAACTCTCATACCTGATGTCATGGGATATCTTTCTATGGCAAATGCTGATTTCAGAACAGAATTAGTCGCAAAATTATTCACAAGTATAACAAGATTCGCTCCGAACGAGAACTGGAGGTTCGAAACAATCAGAAAATTAATTATCGATAGCGGTGCTTACGTCGGTTCCGAGGTTATTACGAACTTTTGCAAATCTATCATGACAAGTGACACATTACGTGATATTGCAGTCATGCAGCTTGCAAAAGATATAGCTGAGAACCCGGAGAACCAGGCTCTCATACAAGTTGGAGCTTTCCTTTGCGGAGAATACGGAGAAGATGCGACAATCTTGCAAACTCTTAATAAGATCATGCTTATGCCACAGACAACCGTCGAAACTAACTGCTACGTATTGATTGCGATCGCCAAACTTGGTGAACGCCTTGGACTTTCTGATCAAGCTGCAAATGTTATCGGATACTTCGCTAATTCAAACAATCTCGAATTACAACAGCGTTCTGGAGAACTCATACGTATTCTAAAGCACTCCAGACTTAGCGCTCCTTTACTTGCTCCAGCAGATTACGATGCTCAGCAACCATCAACGATTAAACAGCCAACAGAGGACGTAGATTTACTTGGTGGATTATCAGAACCATCACAGCCACAGCAATCTTCAAATCAACAAACAGATGCCGTTGCAGATTTGCTTGGTCTCTCTGCTTCACCAGTTAAAGTCACTCCTCAACCACAACAACAACCGAAACAAAATACACAGCAAATTCAGCAGCAAAAAGTCAAACCGCCAGTTCAAGTTCAAAATACAGCTCCAACAGTTGTTCAACCACCGAATACAGTGCAAGTTATTAAGACTAACGATTACGTAATATACTTTGAGCTTCGAAAGAACGCCGCAAATCCGAATCAGTTGGCAATTCGTGCTCATTACTTCAATCTTACTAAAACTATGTTGGGTAAATTCAAGATAGCTTACCAAGTACCAAACAACTTCATTTTCCGGGTTTTGCAGCAGTCAAGTGAAGATTTACCTCATGTTGGCTCTCCTGCTGTAACTCAGGTCGTTCTGATACAGGCAAAGACACCAGGACAACTAATGATGAAGACACAGATTACTTATCTTTTCGGATCGCAACCTTTGACAGATAATGCGATAATTCCGAATACTGTTTTCCAATAACTTATTATATTTATTATCTATGCATATTATTTATTTTAAATATCTGTTTCTATAAAGTATTTTATCCTTTCTTTATATTTTTTGTATCTTTGAAAATTATTAATTTTTTGTAACAATGCATTATTCATTTGGAACTAATTTATATCATGGATTAGGATATGGTGGAGTTATTGTGGAGGTTGTACAGGAACTTGTGTTTCAAATATAGATTGTAGTTCATTTTTCTCCAGATACTACCATCTCAGAACATTACCATATAAGTAAACCAGTGCATACAGACCGGAAAGATTATTATTTAGGCTATGTATTTTCGAATCCTGTAATGTAGGATGATGTCGCAACAAAGTATCTAGGATTTGGAATGGTCGAACTTCGATAATCCATGATTGTTATTCTAATTCGAAAGTTAGTTGCACAAGCATATGTAATAAAAATGGCCTTAGTATATTTGTATTTGCCCTTATCTATTTTGATAGTAAATGTAATTGAATAAATATAAACCAAATGAATGCTACCAATAGTAATTTTTCGTAGAACAAGTAATTAGAATAGCTGTTTTAATGAGAATTGATATTAATGAAAATGTTTTGTGATATGAAGTTGATATTGGGATGAAATATTTTAAAATCTGAACAAATGCATCTTTATTAAGATATTGGTGAGTCCAAAACATAGGCAAAAATTGCAAAATTTATTAGAAGCTCCTAAAAAAATGAATGTTACGCATCGAACAATATGTGATTCCCCAGCCCCGGAATCAGCAATTCGATGCCACCTTCCGTTTTCAAAGGCAGATTGCATTGTTACTGCCAATGGAAACAAGCTCCAAGTCTATTCAACGAAGGAAGATGATTTAAGATTAGTATGGGAAAAGAAGTTTTGGGGTGAAATTTTCGGTGTATACAGGCATAAAAGTGGTGGAGAATACGATTCAATCATTGTTGGCTGCGATACAAGTAAAGTTATTGTTCTACAGGTTATAGATAATGATTTGAAAGAAACAGAATATCACGAATTTAACAGACCTGGCCCACCAGAGCCAGATCCACCAAAACCAGAACGTCCTTTCGATATTAGTACAAGATTACGCAATAAAACAATTATGGATGCCGACCCAACAGGTACATGCCTTGCATTACTTCTTGCTCAAAATATTCTTTACGTTTTACCTCTTGCCAACAAGATTAAAATCGAAAGTACCGAAAAAGCTGGTGATGAATACCATTCCAGCTGGAAAGTAATTAAAGATGCGTTCGCGTATGATGTCCACACAGATTTTAAATCGCCGTTATACAGAATTCGAGATATGGTTTTCTTGGACGGATATAAAAATCCAACTCTCGCTATTATTCACGAATTAATTCCTACATGGAGTGTCAGATTACCACTTCAGAAATCAACTGTTGCGGTTTCAATTGTTTCTCCTCCATTAAAAAAAAAGGAAACTGTTTTAATTTCAGCATCAATCGATAAAGTTACAATGTGGACATCCCGTGCATTACCACATAACTCATTTGGCTTAGTTCATGTTCCAGATCCAATTGGAGGCTTCCTTGTTCTCTCAAAGAACGCAATTATTTACATGGACCATACAAACATTGTTGCTTTAGCATTAAACAAGCTCGCATACTTAGATGATGAAGTTCCAGTCGATATTACAGCAAATGGACCTGGTTGTCACGAATTATATTCAAAAGTTGGTACAGCTATCGATAAATCACATATTTTATTGACCGTTGACCAACATTATTTGTCCATTTTGACTTTACATTACAATGGTGTCAAAGTAACAAATCTTTCTTTAAATGTCAACTTAAATCTTGAATTTCATCCATCATGCTTCCTTTCTCTTAACTACACGAACAACAGGAGCCTTGTTTTCATGGGATCTACAACTCATGACTCAACTTTGTCCGAAATAATTTTAGAAATTGAAGAAGAAGAACTTGCAAGCTTTTTGGTCGACCATGTCATGACAGAAACACAAAATGATCTCTACCAGAAGTTCTTTAAGTCATTACCAAGGCCTAAAACCCTTTCAAAAGTCAAATCATTTTCTGTCAACAACATTTCTTACATCAGACAGCTTGGAACTGTTGCCAATGCCACTCCTTGCCTCAAGCTGAGCCAGATAGATGAAAATGAAGAACAGATCGCGATGGCTCTCGCATGTGGCTTCAAAAAATACGGTTGTTTGCATTTCGTTCGTAGTGGTATCGATCCAAACCTTGTCAGTGAATTTAATATCCGCGGAGTTACTGGAATTTATTCATCAGAAAACTTCTCATATATCTTGATCTCAACAGATGAAGGAACATCCGTACTTTACGCCGATAGCCAGAACCTTCCAGAGATCAACGATGAGTTTACGAGCCAAGTAAGTAAGGAAAAGACTCTTTTTGCAGGAGATTTCAACAACTTCTTCATCCAGATCACTAAAACAGTCGTAAGAGCGATCAAATATTCACAAGAAGATGGTTTCTCCCACACTGACCTCTATTCTGGCTCTTCTCCAGCTGTTTTGGATGCAAGAATTTCTTCAAATGCCCTTGTTGTTCTATTTGACAACTATACAATATGCGCATATGACAGAGCGTTGGAACCAATGACACCTCTCACTAACAAATATTTCAGCCGAATCGCAATTTTCGGTAAATATTTATTTGTTTATTGTACAAACGGCGTTTTGAGAATGTTTTCCGTAGAAACGATGACGGAAGTTGCCACATTTGATAATTTCAAGGCATTTCCTGATTTCATTGCTCCTCTCGGAAAAGATGAGATTCCATTGCAGCCATCTTCAATTGGTATCGTTGATATCTCGTTCGTTGTCTTCGAATCAGTTGTCCTTCTTGTTCTTACACCTCGCGATGGCCCTGCTTTCTTCTATCAATGGGTTGAATCTAAATTATTCTTCAGAAGGATCAAAATGCACAGATTCGCAGTTACTTCACGAAAGAATATTGATATCATCCCATTCAACGGCATTTCGGATGTTTTCGATGGTTGTTTCGTCACAGATCCATCAAATCCTTTCTTTATCCTCTCGGAAAACGGTTACCCACGTATCATCCCACTCTCCGAGTCATTCAACTGCAAACCACGTGCTTTTGCCCCTGTAATGCGTGGTCCTTACAAGAATCACTTTTTAATTGCGGACGAAGACCAAATCAGGCTCTGCAATCTCGAGAATATTAAGCCAGAACACAATTTCTTCATCATTGATGGCTGTATTGTCGAGAGAATCCCTGTTGGAATGACTGTAAGAAGAATTGCCTACTGCCAGAACCCGAATTGCGTCGCTTTCATCGCTTCCCATCCAGAACCATTCACAACAGAGAACGAAAAGAAGATCGATGTCGAAGTTTATGAGAATCTTCAGGTTCATTACCAAGAACCACCTTCTCCAGCCAAAGTTTACCCAGATGAGGACTACGAAACAATTCCTAAGTGGAATGAAGAGCGATACTCCCTGTTTCTCTATACAAAAGATGGTTTGCAACAAATGGTCGATTACGCAAACCACGAAATCGTCAATACAGTGCAATTTGTACATACTACTCCGATGCCAGAGGATGGAATAACCCTCCTTAACACGTATTTGGCCGTAGGAAGTGGATTCTTGTCTCAACCGGAAAAAATGATGAGAGGAGTCCTTTATATTTACCAAATCAGGTACATGCAGAACGATGAGGGATTTAACGAGATCACGTTAAGACCTTTGTACAACGAAACAAACAAAATTTACAAAAATCCGATTATCGAAATCACGGATAACTCAGGATACATGGCTATTTTCTGCGGTAACCTTTTGTATCTCATGAGGTTCTTCAACGAAAACACCGTAAAGATCGAAGCTTTCCTTGTTGGAAGATTCTTTGCATCATCTATCGTTTCCCTCAAGAATTATCTGCTCTACGCTGATTCCTACGAAGGCTTTGAGGTCGCCAGATGGCGTAAATACGGAAAGAAGCTCATTTCAATGGCAAGAGATACGATGACTAAATTACCTCTCAGTGCAGCATTCCTACAATACGAGGATTGCTTGGGAGGTGTCGTATTTGATGATGACGGCAACGCTCATATCTTTGACGTTGACGAATACGCGATTCCAGCAGATGCAGTTGTCAGAAAGTCAATTTTCTACATTGGAGGCCGAGCAATCAGTTCTGGTCAGTTCCCAATCAAGGCTGTGACCCAGGCAACTCAGCAAAATCCAAATGAAGAAATTGATGAAGAATTATTGCAGCTGCAGACAAAGATTGGAGGCCACATCGCATGGTATGTTACTACACATGGTAAGATCGGTGCATTCACTCCAATTGATGAAAACGATCGACATAAATTGGTCGGAGTTCAATCCGCATACGAAAAATCTCTTTGCGGACTGAGCCACTTAGAATACAGGAGTGGAAAGTTCAAGAATATGATTGAACAGGATATTTTCAACCAATCTCCAAAGAATGTCATTGATTGCGACATGTTGATTGATTTGATTGAAGATATGCCTGATCACTTGAAGTTTGCAACAAAGGGATTAAGAACACAGGACTTCTTATCTGAATTAAGAAAGATTTACAATAATGGTGTCAATGTATTCCAATAAATAACTATATATAGATTTTTATTATTTATTATATTAAAATGATTTAATATTTTTCTGAATAAAGCAAATTTTCATTAGAAATCTCACCTTTTTTTCTGAATTAAGGGTGCACACGAGAGGATCATGTAAACTTCAGAATTTAGAACCTTATTTTTAGGCATTATCTTGGCTACCTATTTAGGCTCGAAAAGCAAAAAATATCAAAAAATACAACTTGACTCCATTATGACCCTTTCATGGAGGTAGTTTTTATCCGCTAGTATTTTCCCTTTGAATCTCTTTACAATTCGAAATCAAATTCAAACCTCAGTAGAAGAAAGGAAGAATCGACTTACTACGGTTGTAATACGAATAAATACATATATTTAATTATTTTTATTTACATAATAATTGTTTGAAGCTCATATTCCAACAAATTTTTAAATAAAAACATTAAAATGTTGAAAATGTTGAAAATGTTCATATATTTTAATAGGGTTTTGGCACTTTATTGAGGAATTACTACATACATAGTCGAACTGAACTTGATATTTTGAAATTTAAATTATTTATCAAAATTAAAATTTAACTTGAAATTTATAATTATTTAGTCATATTTTGCATAATTCTAAGTAGATTTTGTAAAAAATCAAGAAAGAAAAAATTTAACGTGCTTTATTTTTTCTTTTTGAGAAAGGGACAGACTAGCCCATTGTCACTTTTTAATTTAGCAAATGAACGCTTATGGAGTGGAGTTTTTGGGTAAATCTGATTTGCTTATAAATGAAATAAAATCAAAAGAAACCATATTGGTATTATATTATGCAAAAATAAATGATCTTACTTAGTACTTTTAAAGTTAATTTCAGAAAAAATTTGACACAATGGTATCCGGCACATACAAGTGGTGTACAACCAAAATATAAGTTGGTTTAAACATATATTGCTATATCTCATGATCTTACTTAGTACTTTTAAAGTTAATTTCAGAAAAAATTTGATACAATGGTATCCGGCACATACAAGTGGTGTACAACCAAAATATAAGTTGGTTTAAACATATATTGCTATATCTCATGATCTTACTTAGTACTTTTAAAGTTAATTTCAGAAAAAATTTGACACAATGGTATCCGGCACATACAAGTGGTGTACAACCAAAATATAAGTTGGTTTAAACATATATTGCTATATCTCATGATCTTACTTAGTACTTTTAAAGTTAATTTCAGAAAAAATTTGACACAATGGTATCCGGCACATACAAGTGGTGTACAACCAAATCTTCGACTCGATGAACTTGTCATCGAGTTATATTCCAGTGTTGTTCCTTCATTCCTGATTAAGTTGCAAATTAAAGGTCTGGATTCAGAGAGAAGTGTTAAAGTTATCAAAAAAGTCACAAGAGATTTCGAAGAAATGACACAATTTAAAAAAGTCGCATGCATCAGTATGCTTGAAGCTGTTCAGAAAGGTCTGAAAAATGATACACTTGATCCCAACATTGTTTACTCAACATTAAAAATATTATTGCAAAGAAAACATTTGATTTAATAAACATTTAATTTATTATAATTAATTTTTTATTACAGTATAGTAAAAAATGCTATAAATAAATTATTATATTTTATTAAAATGTGACTTTTAATAGTAAGTGAATAAAATAAATCAGGAATTGGGAAAGAAATAAGGTTAATTAAAAATAATGAAAATTACAAGTTTAAGGTTAATGAAAAGTGACAATGGGCGAGTTTGTCCCCCACTCTTTCTTTTTTATAATAATACATATTATTATATAATTAACATATTCATAATGTTTCACCCTTTCAAAAATATAATACTCCTCCTCTCAAATAAACGTACATACGGGTGGTCTCTTTTTTCAAAAAATTAAATTTTGAAATTTTGGGCTCAAATATTAGAGATTTTTCAACCTTCAACGATATATGTTGTCTATATCAGACCTCCTTTCTTTTTGATACTTAACATTGTTCCTAAATCTTAGCCGTTAAGGCTGTTCTGAAAATATTTTTTTTTTCGAAAAAATTCGAAAAAAATTCTTAAAATTCAAAAATCCCTTAATTCCTGAGGATTTTGGAAAAAAGTTTTTACATGAACATGTGTATATTATATGAAGTATATTGATAAGGTATGGCATTCCAAACGGGAACCGCGGTTGGTTACCATGGATTTCCGTCACCGGTCACATTTTAAAGATTTTTAAAGCCTTATAAAAATATGCTTTGTAAATCATTTTTTGTAAATCGGCAAAAATTTGGTAATTTTCTTCAACTAATAAATCTGCGAATAGCATTTATAATACAAGAACATCTTTTTAAAATGCGTTTGATTCATTTTGTATAATTTCATATAGGCACATATATTCTTCCGGGACTTTCCGTGATTTTACCGTAAAATCATTAGTTTACACCAATTTTTCCGTATTTTGAATAGTTTACTGCACTTTTTCCGTAAAATTGAGTTACGGGAACCGCAAAATTTCCGGACCTCATTTTTCATAGAATATAATAATAATATTTGATAAAAAGATATATTATTTATATTTTTGATTTTTGAATTACGGAAAAAGTGAATTGATAACTTGATTTTTTTATATGGTTAATTTTTCAAATGATATTATGAAGATCTAAAATATTAAAAGTAAAAAAATTGAATTATGGAAAAAGTGAGGTCAAAAGTGAAATAAATTTGCAGAACAATTTTCATTGAAATAAGCTTTATTTTCATTATTAATAACAATGCTGTAATAAACAGAAATTCATCAAAAGTGACAGCTCTCAATTTTTTGACATTTGTAAATTCTAAATTGAATGAAAAAATGAAATAATACTAAGCATAATAATATTCTAGATTTAATTATAATTAGGAAAAAGTTAGTTTTGAGAGTACTTTTCATAGGCATATAGAATGAATATCTTCTGAAAAATAATATCATATAAACTCATATTATTTTTCTAATATATAACTATTTTATATAAAAATCAAATTCAATGATCTTAAAAGCGAAGGATAAACCTCAAAATTTACGAATATAATGAGTGGGAATATAATGCTTATCTATCATAAAACCATATGAAATATCAATTTTTGCTTTACGCCTAATTTTTGACGACAATTAGCAAAAAATGTTAAATGTTAAACTCAGTCCATTTGAATATGAAAAATAAAATTGACTTTGATTAAATGTTTTTATTTATCATGCAATTCTTCTTGCGACCAAAGATTTGAATAAAATTTCAAAAAATAAGATAGCTTAAAAAATAATATACGGTAGTGTTTACTAATAGATGAATAGTATATAAATTCTATTAAAATGGATTTGATCCAAAAAATATATAAAATTTGATCATAAATAAAATCGTTTTAAATTACTTCTTCATTTAAATTATAACAATTATTTTTGGTTTTATAGTTTTTAAAGCTCATGTGGTTTTTTTAACCACAGAATACTTATGTGCTGTAGCAAGCTTGCAATCCAAAGCTCACGTTAGACAACACGAGTCATGAAGTCTGATACTAAGGGATATCCAACATATATTTTAATAATCTAATGTTTGTGACAAATATTCAACATAAAATTAAGTTTTCGTTTCGTTACAAGGCATTCATTACTTTGGAGATATCATATTTAATGTACAGAAAAGTTAATATTAAACAATACATGCTAAAGAATTAATAAATAAGATAATAAAATAAATTTATACGTAATTACTTTCATTTAATATGCTTTATGCTGTATAATATTGATTAAGAGGCATTAAAAGGTTCCATAATCTGCTTTTATAGGCAAGATTTTTGATAAAAATTTTAAATTTTGAAAAATGATGAGAAAAGGAAAAAAAAGGTAAATGAGAGCAAGAGGAGGGAAAAAAAGAAAAAGAAAAGGAAGGGAAGGGAAAAATAAAAGAAAGAAGGACATATAAAAATTTAGATGCGCATTCTTAATGCCGAGGCGGCTTGCCGCCGAGGCGCGATTTTTTTAGGCCTCTACGGTAACCCGGCAATGTTTTTTTAAATCTTGTACAGCCCTATGATAAGGTAAAAATCAAATTTTATTGCATATTCATCGAGAAAATAAACTAATGAATCCCTCAAAATTGAGAGGGTAATCCTCCTCCTCTCAAATAAACGTACATACGGGTGCACCCTTAAGAAAGATTTTAAAATATTGTGTCAAAGATATATTAAAATGACTTTAAACTTTTATATATAGACATGTAGAAAGCCATATTCCATAACAATTCGTATAAAAAGAGAGATATTTTGCTTTGCATTTAGCTTAATCTAGTTTTATTGGTTCATTGGTCAATTCTGATTTCGAATATGATCAATTTCAATACAGATTAATGTCATTTTTCATAATTCAAACCAAAATCATCTTCATTTAGCCTATTTTTGTGAATTTAAAGCCCCACTTCATTATAATGGGCATTATTGTATATATAGTGATTATGAGTTAAAGAGAAATTATATGAAAGAAGAAGATTTTTTCCAAAATCAAAGTTTTTTGTGAGAAATAAAGCAAAATTAATTTAATTAAGACTCAATGAAATAATAAAGTGTTAAACAAAGAAAAAAAGTATGTTTTTATGAATCATTTGAATGATTTTCATCTTCTTGTGTTTCTTGTTCTTCACTCTCCACAGGGAATGTTTCATCGGAAATTAAGTGTGGTTCTGTGTATGATCGTAATGTATTTTCTTGGTATTTCATGGCTGGAAGAGAACGTCCTTCTTGGATAAGGTATTGGTTAAGTTGTGCGATATCCGTTAATGATTTGTTTGTTAAATCGAGTTTTTCTTCACTTTCATTAACATGATTTCGAATAATTTCTGTAAGTCGTGTATCTTGAGCCAATGACTTGCTAAGCTTGTCAACATTTTGAGCTATGACGGAAAGGTCAATAGCTTGCTGCATAAACTCTGGCATTTTAGTATAAGCCACGTGATCTATTTCATTCTTTGAAATCCATTCGGTCATTCTTTGTAATTCGTCTAATGTAATATCGTGTGTTGGATGGATACCATGTGCATAGCAAAATCTGTATAATTCTTGATATGTTTGAACATTAATTTTGTTTTCTGGGATTTTAACCCTTGCACTTCTAGAATTTTCTTCCATTTCATTCAAAAATCCGTAAGAATTCGGTGAAATAAGATTGTTCTGAAAAAGCTCATTTATTTTTGCTGTTGCGGCTTGTTTAGGCTCTGAATATTCGTTCATTTCACCAATAGCATTTAAATATAATGTTTGTATGCCAAGAAGATATGGATCTTCCTCAGCAGTTTGCTTTTGTTGTTTCTTTAAAATTTGAGCTCGGGCTTCAGTCAAAGATGCTGGTGAAGATTGAATTAATGGCTCATTAAGATCACGTCCAACAAACGTAAGTCGGAAGTTATTGAAAAAATTGTCTAAATCGAACATAATGAATAGGAATTTAAGGGTCTCGAAAAATTAGTTAGGGGTATGATAATTCTATTCAATTTTATTTTTAATAAAATGCATGTCTATGATCAATATATATGCGAAACCCCTAATGAAGACACTGTATCTACCTATCACCCAGAGCAACATACAGTTTCCAACTGGGTCAGGCAATATTGCTCAAAAAATCCTTGGTTAATTCCTATCAATTCAGCGTTTATTAATGATAACTTCAATTTATATGGACTGAACAATGTCATTCAAAACTATCAAATCGCATTAGCCATTATAAAGGATAAAGATCCTAGTGATGAAATAGGGAATCTTGAAAATTATGAGGATGACGCAATAAATTTGTATCATTTAATACATCAGCGTTATTTATTAACGCCTGGAAGTATACATTTAGTTCAAGAAAAATATAATAAATGTGAATTTGGTAGATGTCCGAGAGTTAATTGTCATCATGCACGACTTATACCAATTGGCATATCTCCAAAGTGCAAATTCGCAAACATTAGATTGTTTTGCTTTTCTTGCAATGATGTTTACAATCCTCCACCAGATATTGTCTATGATGGAGCAGCTTTCGGTCCATACTTCCCTATGTTTTTTAAACAGGCAAGTACGTTCAATGTCAATAATTGCATCGCGAAAATGAAAAATTTGGAAATTTCATATATGGGAATCCCTATGGAATCAAATGATTATCTCAATAGATCTGCTGTTATTCATCCGATGCCACCAGAAAAGAAAGAAGAATCAAGCTCTTAATTCCCAGCTAAAAATATTTCTGTCTGTGATTAATTTATTATATAGAAACAATATGTGTAAGACTTATATTGAATGATATTTTATAAATCAATGTGATAATTTGCAATTAGAATGATATTGAAAAATAACTCAAAGATAACAGGTTATACATCAGATCATTATAAAGTATGTGTCTTTTTGGAGCATTGTAATATAATGTTAAAGAAAGATTAAATATATTCTTAAAAAATATATTCAAAATAATGTTAGAATTAAACTTGAATGCTTAATACGATAACACCTCGTCAAATCCCTTTTAATGATCTAAGGTCTTTTGCCTTCATATCATTAATTTCATGGTGAAATAATGAAATATTAAAAAAAGAAGGGGGTGAATTAATTTATATCAGGGGAAATTTTTATTTTGAAAAGGAATGCAAAGAATAAATCGGCAAAATACGATGCTTGAGAATTATTTGATTCCCTTAGCAGGTACTACACCCGAGGAAAGAATAGATTTTTATTGCAATCTTTTTAATCCTTACTCCGAAATTATTTATCAATTTCAAGCAGCACTACTGCTACATAACATTCCTCTTTATATACTGATCATCTTTTTAAGTATATTCTTTATATATATTACGTATTTAATAGAAGCTTCACCTTTTCCAACATTATTATTTTTCCTTTCTCTCATTCCATTGGCACAATTGGCGCGAGAATTAGGAAGTTCATCGATATTCAAGTCATTGATAATAGAATTACCGCAATTGCCAGCAGATGCACCAAATCGAATTAGAAACCTGGAAGAAATATTCGATTTACTTCATCCGCCATTTACATTCTTCTGGAGACTCGGTTTCTTTATATATAAGTCCATTTTATGTCCAAATTTAGTTGATACTTTTGCTCTCTTCCTTATCATCATAGGATTAGGAGTTTTACTGATGATAATCAGGATATGGGTAGTTCTCACAATATTTTTGGTCTTCGTTTTAGCGATGCCAACAATTTTGACGCGAAAGTTTGTTTATGATAATGTTATGTACCATTTGGGTCATCCATTCCCAGAACTTGAACATCAGAAGGAAGATTAATTCAAGTTTAATGATAAATTCAAAAAAAATAATTGTTATTTTGGAATTTGAATAGTTTTGTTAGTAAAAATTGTATAAATAATTTATCTAATCTAGACAGAAAGTTATTTTTTAACAATAATTTTAAATAATAAAAAATATATCAATAAAACATGTAATAATTAAGAAAAATTACTCTGGTTTCTCAGTATCTTTAGCTGTTGTATTATCTGTTTGTGTATCGTTTGATTTTTCGGGTGTATTTTCTTTGATTTCTTGTGATTTTGTTTCTTCTGATTTAGAAACACTTTGAAGAGTTGCCTGTTCTGGTAATTCTTCAAACGCTTCAACATTTCCAAGAAGAACGGATCTAACTTGTTCCGCTGATTGTTTTGCCGCAATGGAATTTCCTTTTAGAAATATAGATATGTTCGTTAACTGTAATATCAAGATGAGTGCATTGATCGATGAGTAAATCCACCTCTGGAAAATAGATGATAAAATCACAACTAGAATCCAAAGAATAAGAACAAGTGAATTTCCTATCCAAAAAATGTTAGAGTAACTTGGAGAAGGCATATCATCCTCTGCAGTTATATCAAATTTCAACATTGAATCTCCACCGCAGTTTAATGACCATTTGATTCCAACAAGATACTTGCCAAATGATTGTTTACATAGAATAAAATCTAATAACTCTAAAGTCAAAGAAATATAGTTGATTTTACAGAAAAATAATCCCCAAATCGAGGAAAATACGAGAGAAATCTTGATCAATGAGAACCACGATGAAGAGTTAGCTGTATTTTCTTTAAATTCGTCTTTAATAAGATCTTCTTGATCGTTTTCATGATGGATATTCCCTGATCCAGACATTTTTTATCAATAAAAAAATTTTCATCAAAACATCGAAGTCTTTACTTATCTTATTATGATATAAAAGTTGGAATAGAAACTAATTTTATGCTCAAATGTCCCGATAAATGATTGAAGTCATAATCGGAGTAAGTTTCTCAAGGTTCAAAGCATTAGCAACGAATATTCAATTGGAAAAACGTTAATGATGAAAAGATACATCACATGCTTGTCTGAATTTGTGCAATTTCAATTCTAAAGCAAAAATCGAATTAGATTGTATTACATTCTTCTTCTGAACTTTATTCCTGGAAAAATAGCAAGTATTCCAATAAACAGTATCATTTTTAAGGTAATTAAAAACAAAATTATATTAACTAACAAATGTTAAGTAGCTACTATTCTTTTTCGATATTAAATCGTTTAAGCAGTGCTTCATATTCTTCATCTTTTCCAAATATTTCATTATCATATTCGTTATGTAATGTTTTCCACGTATCGTCTACTTCATCACTTTCTGATATAGCTACATCTTCTGTTGGTACATCCTGGAAGTAATCTTGCTCAACCGAATCTAAATTTTGTTCTAAAACTGTCAATAAATCTATAAGTTTTTCAATTTTGTTATCAACTTCGTCAATTTGCGGAGGTTTATTAATTTGTACAGTTACATGAACAGCGCCTTTCCTAGGAGTGAGCTCTGAAATCTCTTCTATATTAACTTGTCGATAGAAATGCATTTTAAAAAAGTGACAAATAAACATCTTTTATTGTAGAATCTCTCCATCCTTATCTCCGAGATATCATCAGTATATGAAGTCGTTAAGCTTAACAGAACAATTACAGACTTCAAAATAATTATATCATTACATAGATTAGTCAAACCTACAAAATTCTAAATATATAAGTATATGCATTTGAACTCTCATGCTAGAAGATAATTCTAAAAAATTAGAGTTTCAAAACCAAATCAACCAAATATCTAACCAAAATCAGCTAAAAAAATCAAAAATACTAAAAATATATTTTTCTGAAATTGATATGCTAAGACATATTATATGTTTTAAACCAAAATTAAATAATAACTCGTCATTATTGCATACTAACCCATTGATGTGTTTTTCCTCAGATTATATTTTAAAAATCCCTACATTTTGTTCTTTAAAATTCTGATACTTATGAATAATTTAAATTGTTGATGCATATTTGCGATAAATTCTGTAAAACTTTTAGATCGCATTAGAAAGTATTGAAATGAGATAAAATAATACTTTTACAATTGGACATTGTGTAAAAAGTTAAATGAAGAGATGTATATCCGCATTTATCTTTTTCCAACTTCATCTTATTCAATGATATATTGCTCCATGTGAAAGAAGAAGTTTTGCTAATTCTGAATAATTACGCTTTTCTGCAATTTGGAGAACAGTTTCTCCAAATTCATTTATTTCATTGATATTTGCCCCATGTGAAATAAGAAATTCGGCTGTTTCTATATAATTTGACTTTGTTGCCATATAAAGAGGAGTAAACCCATTAACATCTTTTTTGTTGATATCAAGTCCATATGAAAGAAGAAGCTCGACTGTTTCTTTACAATTATGTCCTGCTGCAAGATGAAGAAATGTAAATCCCATATCATTTTTTTCATTGATATCTACACCATGTGAAATAAGAAGTTTGATTATTTCGTTACTACCTGCTTCTACTGCATGAGACATAGCAGTTGTTCCAAGTCCATCTTCTTCATAGATATTTGCACCATGTGAAATAAGAAATTCAGCTATTTCTTTGCTATTATTATCTGCAGCAAAATGAAGAGCGGTTCTTCCCAATCACCTTTTTCATTAATATTTGCACCAAGTGAAAGGAAGTATTCGCAAAGGGAAATAATATTAAATTCCGATGAATAAACAAAGCATTCATTAAAATTGTTTGTTTGGTCGAAATAAACTAAAAAGGAATCAAGATTATTATACCATCCACATTCCATTAAAAGTATCTTTATATTATACTCATTCATCAAGAATGTAACAAAATCAATATTGTGTGAAATAATTGCATATTCCATGCAGTCATAATCTGGTTTTTGATATTTCAGACATTCACTCATGATCTCTTGATTTCCTCCTAAAACTGATAATTCTAAACATCTTTGAGTTATTTCTGAGTTAAATTTCGTTCTTAATAACTTGAAACAATCAACTGCTCCATGATAACAACATAATTCAAGTAATGAATATCCTTTGCCAGTATATGGATATAATTTGCTTTTAAGTTTTTGATTTTTATCAAATCCATCTCTTTCCGTAAATATGATGAATGATTCAAGGTCATTATACATAATTGCCCTATAAATTGTATTTTCTGAATGAATATCGAGATTTTCTAAATCATGGTTTCCAAAAAAGCCAGATTTGTCTAATTTAATTCCATATTCTTTATAAAACAGAAAGTCTGGAACATAATATATATTAATGACCCCTTCCACATGATATTCATCATATATGAGTTTAGCAAGAGATAAATATGACTTTGTATAGCGATTATTAAATTGAATGATTCCTAAAATATCTTCCATAATATTTTTGGGGTGAAATTTCTTTGAATCAATTAAATTTGCTTTGATCATTTTGTAAATCTTGTTTAATTCTTCTTCATTATCCGTTTTTAGCTGATACAACGCATTGTATGAATCAATGTAGTATCCATAGATGCTTCGCAATTCACTGTATTTATTTGGGTGAATGTCTTGATCGGACATGAAAAATTTGAAAAATTAATGTCATATTTTTGCTTATCATATAATATATCTTTAAAATATATTAGCACAAAAAATTATATGTTAAACATGTGGAAAACGATGATCATAAAGATTTCGAATATAATTTATGAATTTTAATTAAGTTAATAGATATACAAAGTCACAATAGCAATAGCAAATCCGAATGTCATAAGATATTTGGCTTCAGAAAGTAAGTATATGCAAAAAATGAATGATTCCTGGCCTCTATAGTAAAAAATCATTCCATGAATTTGTCGTTTAGAAACTAGATAAAATGTAACTGTTAGTTCTTCTAGAATGGTGATCGTGGCACGAGATAGGAAGTGCAAAGCAATTTAATTAGTGTTTTCTAGCCTCACCATCATGAAGTTGTCCGATTGGAGTATCATCTAATAACTTCTGAGAAGAATATATACACAGGTATTGAACTATATATCTCGAAATTGACAAGATATTTTTCATGCAATACTTCTGATATCAAATATCCATTTACTACATAGAAAGTATCGATCTCCAAAATCCAAAAATATTGGTAACAATTATCCTAATCTCAACTCTAAATTATTTGTTTATTCTTATCTTGTAAACATTTCAATCTTCACAAAATTTGAGAATCTGACACACAAAAAAAAATCGTTTGCAAGCATTCAAATTTTCAGAACTTTTAACGTTCATGAAAATTAGAATTTGCAAACGATTAAAGAAATTATTTGCAATTTGGACGGAGCTTGCCTACGGCCAAATTGCAAATAATTTTTTAAATTATTGATTGCACTCCATTTCCATTTATTTCTAGTGTAATCTGGCAAAATTCAATGGAACATAGTTTAAATATTTAAGTTTACTTTAAATTTTGAAGTAAAAATTTTTTATTGATTTGAGACTCTTTTTGTCTCTCTTTGTTCTTTTTCGATTGCGATGTGCAGCTCCTTTATGAATTCAGAGTATTGTAAGGGAATTTTGAACCGAGATTGTGAAAAAGCGAGAGTTGGAAGTCTTCTCAACTGTCTTCCAGACAATCCTTCAGCTTCTTCTGCTGCATTGTACAACTCGATTGATTCACCAAATGTTGCACCAATGTCAGAAGAAGATCCTTTGAAGATCTTTATTGACTCAAAGTCCATGATGACAGAGTTCATCATTAAGACTGCCTTTGATGTCAATTCATTGATACAATCCATGAAAATGTTGTATCTTGCTTCGATCGAAGGAGGACCAACGTATTGTTTGATATCTGATCTTGAAAGGAACGCGAGATCGATGCATTCGGTTAAATTCGATGTCGCCATGATCATGATATTCTCACATTTCCTGAGTTGGTCGATCTGTGTCAATAAGGCATTGACAACACGAATTGCATCGCTTGGATCAGCTCCGTTCATCGAACTTTGTCTGGCTGTTGCGATACTTTCGACTTCATCGATGAGAACGAAGACAAGAGTGGTCGAATCAGCGGCCAACATGTGGATTCTGTCGAAGAGTTTCTTCACCATCTTGCCTGACTCTGCGAACCACTTGGAAAACAAGGAATGAGTGTTCACTTCCAAGAGCATTCCGCGGCTGAACCTTTCTGAGAGTCTGATCGCGAGTTTATGGGCCAAACCTCTGCAGATCGTGGTCTTGCCTGTACCTGGTGGTCCGTAGAGTAATATGATCCTGTTGCATGTAACGATGTCCGATGAAATGCCATGGTCGGCAAAAGTAAGTGAAGTTTCCATGAAATGGATCAGCATCTCTTTAACGCTGTCGTCTGCATCACCAAGGATGATGGAATCCCAGAGTTTGGCGTAGTTTGCCGATGGTAGAATGGTCTGTGTTGATAGGGACAAAACTTCATCTTCATTTTCGATCTTATCTTCAAAGGATTTGGAGTAATTGAGCTTGTAAACGTGGACTTGGGCTGGATATCCTGTGCCTGATACTTGTAATGACTCAACGGCATACATATACATAGAGTTCGGAAATGGAATCGACTGAATGCTGAGTTGTTTGGCTTCAAATACACTTAGATTGGTAGCAGCAATCTGCTCGATCACTTGTTTCATCTCTGGAGCAGTAACATTGGTTACTTCAGTCAGTTGGACTTCAATATGCATTTTAAAAATTTTTACTAATCAACGTGATGTGTGTAATCGTTTTCCCCTCAATTTTCTACTTCCCCACTTCCCTCTTACAACATATAGTTTTGATAAGGTAAAAATGTATGTGATAATATGTTTGAGCATTTTGTTGAACTAAAAATGATTTTTATCTAGATTTAAAAAATTATATTTTCCTAAGAGCAATATATTTCCAATACTATGTAATGGTTGTATTAGATTAGGTGAAATATTATCATGTGCTTGCTAGAAAATCCATAATTCTTTAGTGTTTCCGATCTAATTTGATATTGAAATGGAAGAAGACTACAAACTAAATGGAACACCAGTAGATAAGGTGGATGTGACAATGAAAATGCAGGATTTAGATATATATCAGAAATTCAATCAAAAATTTGAAGAAGCCAAGAATATTTTGCAAGAAAATTCAAATCCAGAAGAAATCATCGATGAATTATATGAATTAAAGGCATTTTGTAAATATCATTTTTCAACAAAAGAAAATAAATTCGATTTTGAATCAATTATACCAGAAATTATGCAAATAATTACAAATACAGAGCCAGAAATAGCTATAATCTGGCTACAAATATTGATTGAGTTTGATTCACGATACCATTCATTAATTTCAAAATATACCAATAATTTTTTATACGAATTTCCAAAACATCTACTTGAAACTCAAAATATAGACCAAGAATATATGAAACCTCTTCTTAAATCAATGATTTCTGGTATAAAAAATTATGATTCAGAAAATCCACAAGAAACATTCAATTTCAACTTGATACCGATTAATTTTGATGATGATATTGAGATATCTTTCTTAATGCATTATTTAGAACTTATAGAAATTCTTTTCCAAAAAAATTGGGAAATTTCAATAGAAATTGGTGAAATAATAACAAATATTGTTAGTATATATGATACTTTCAAGTCTGTAAGCATTGAATCTGACGATTACCTTTTTTATGATGTTTGTTACACAATTATTCAAATTTTATTTTGCAGAGTGAAGAAAAACCCTGAAATCATGGTCAACGAACAGATCATTAATATTCTTCATGAAATATGTAACAAATACTTCTTTAATGATGAAACTCCAAAAAATATTTTAATTATTCAAATTATTTTGTCATTATTTGTTGAAATGATGCGTATTGACGTAGAATTATCATGTGATATTCTTCCTGATCTTGTTTTGCTTGATGAACTTGTTGAACTTTTCATTTTCATGAATGAACAAGTTCAGAGACTTGTTTTATTTATTTTTCTTCATTTGATAAGACAAAAACCAGAATTTATTAACAATGACCAAGTGCAGAGACTTATTTTGTATGTTTTGCCGCTTTTTGACATTATCATTAATTTTGATTTGAAAAAGTCATATTTACTTATTGTCTGTGAGCTTGCAAAGAACTGGAGTGTTAATGATACCTTTGTTTCTCAAATAATTCTTGGAGATTCTGAAAATAAAAATATTTTCATTGAATTCCTTCCTGAATTGATTGACATGGGAATTCCTGAGATAACTAAAGAATCAATACAGATTGCTTCGATAGCAATTCAAAGGAAACCGGAAATGATCGAATATTTTCAGAATCTTTTCCAAGAATGCCTTGAAAATGATAGAGATGACTTAGATCAGTTAAGAGAAGCTCTTGGATTTGAATAACTTTATTGTAATGTTATGAATAAATTGTTTTTATTAAATATTTTTGTAAATCTCTTCATTTCCCATTTAGAATTGACAGTCTTTACAATGCCATCATAAATGTCCATGTATTTTCTATATTTAATGAATTGAATCAGAATTCAAATGAAATGTAAGTTAAATTATCGGAAGAATGGATGAATCAAATTTGTATCTTGAAAGTATTATGTGTTCTGTTGGAAAATCATCAATTGAGTGTTATCTGATCCAAAAAACAAGGTATCAAAACTCTATCGTACTACAACAAGGAATCATCAACTGAAATCAATTCAAAGTTATTATTCTAATAGATTTCTAAGTCGTTCAATTTCGTTGTTATTTTATAATCTCCTCATTCAAAATTTGAATGCTCTAACGTCCTGAAATTTCGTTCAAAAATTTATTTGAATGGATGAAATAAAGAGCAATATTGCTGGTGCAACCAAGAGAATTATCGATGATTTAACCAAGCTTGAGGTCATGCCTGAAGAAAGAGAGAAAATAAACAAAGATGGAATAAGAGAACAGCTTGATAACATGTTATCACAACAAAATCAAATGCAACTGAACGCTTTACTACGATGGGCTAAGATACAAAAGGAGAAATGTAAAGATTTCGATGATGAATTAAAGACAAGAAAAGCAGACGCCGATAAAGCTTTAAATGATACCGTAAATTCTGGTCTTCGATCCTTATTTTCATCAATGGATCAGTGGAGCAACAATTTAAACAATGCTCGCCAGAATTTTGACAATATGTCAGTGAAATTCATGAATATGTTTGAACTTTTAAAGGACAATCAGAATATTTCTACCGACTCATATTCTAGTATAACGATTCCTACACTCAAAATTGAAACAAAAATCTTCAATAACGAAGAAATGGTAAAATTGCCAATAGAAGAGCAGTTAGTTCATCTTAAAACGAGAGAGCAATACTACTTACAGATTATTTCATCTGCACAGAAGCTAGTCTTACAAACAAGAATGGATTACGAAGCTTTAAACAACACTCATATTAAACTTCAAAATGAGTTTAATGATCTAACGATAAATTGTCAACAATTAGAATTAAAATTAGAAGATCAAACAGAAAAGGCAAATGAATACTATAAATCTGTTGAAAGACTGAAATATCTTTCTAAGAGTCGCGAATTGAAAAAAGGTGATTCGTTTGAAATACCAAAGCCAGTAATTCCTCTTGAACTAACATCAGATACTATTTTTAATAACGAACAAGAAGAAATTTCCCAAAATAATGAAAATTACGAAAATGAAGACATCGAAAACCTTGAAGAAGAAGCAGAAGGTGAAAATATCAATGAGAATGAAGAAGAGATGGCAAACGATGAAGAATTACGAGAAAATGAAAATGAAAATCCAGAAGAACAAGAAAATGAACAAGTAATAGATATCACAGAAGATAACCAAAATACAGTAACTAGTAATATCTCAAACAAAGTAAATCAGAAAATTCAAAATAATAATTCAAAAATTTTAACTAAAAAGAACCAAAAACAAGTTGTTTCTTCATCAAGTAACAAGAACTCTGCATCAACATCGTCAAAACAATTAGTTACATCGAATAATAATCAGAAAACTGCTTCTTCTTCAGCAAAGCAAATTCAAACGAATAAATCTGCCAATACTTCTAAGAAATCAATGAATTCGAATAAATCTTCGACATCAAACAACAGTAATAACTCTAATTCTAAAAATTCTGCCACAAACAGTCATAAATCTCTGAATTACGCATCTGTCTCTGCAAAATCTCTTTTATCCCAAGGAGTTGATCAACAAAATTCACAAAATAACCAACAAGTTACAACAATTGTCCAAAATGTCGAACTTAAGCCAACAGAAGTCATTGTAGATCGTGCAGATTACTCTGATCAATCAATTCAAACTGATTTGACTTCAAAAATCATTAATTCAAGCATTGAAAAGTCAGAAAAATATGAAAAACTTGAAAAGAACAATCCAGAGATTTTATCTCCAAATTATGTTCAAAATCTCAAGAATTCATTGACAGATCAGCTCAAATTATCCATAACTCAGACACTAAAGAAGGAAATTGAGTCAAAAATTGCTGAAGAAAGAAAATCTGTTTCATTCCCAGAAATTAATAATAAAACTCCATCACAAACAGAGAATTCGCATAGTTCTATTATGGATTCTCCATTATCTCATGATCAATACGATGTAAACTCAAATTATCAAAAATTAAATCTTCAAAAGAAGGTAAATGAACCATTAGATCCATTAGATGCTTATAGGTCACCTCGTTTCCAAGTAAATAAGAGCGAAACGATTGAAAACGAGTCGCCACAGACAGAACATCACAACAGGAGAAACAAACAAATTGATTTGAAGCAACAGAAATCGCTGAGAAGAATTGTTCAGCCAAATGCGTCACCAAGGATCTACAGACCTGGAATGAACAATATAAGAGGTTCTAAAGCTATCATGGAATACATTGCTCAAGAAAACTCTAAACAAAGGCAAGAATTCCTTGCTAGATCTAATCCTTTCCAAGTTTTCAAACTCAACGCATAATTTATTTATATTTTTTTGTTTTGTATTTTTAAACCATTTTGTTATTTTATTTTCATTGCTTCGATATCAATATATTATTGATTATTTGCTTTGTTATCAACAAATGTCATAGCTTCGTTTAAATGCTCTTTCTATTAATTGATATTGGAGACTCAAAATTTAGATATATTATGTAAATGATGTATTTGATTTATTTTACCATGAGATTAACTAAACTATAACTGGTTAGTCTCAATAAAAGAAGTATTGTATGTTAAGTTGGCATAAATTCACTTTAATCATTATAATGGAATCAATACCTCTATGATATAAGTCTGGCTTTTCATCAATCATTGTTATGTCCATTTAAAAGTTATATGAATGATTGATAAGATATTAGCTCAGAACAAGTGAATAAAGTTCTTCTACTCTATTTTGTATCTTATCATGATGTTGTGTATATAGAAAAATAACTTATTAATGATTATATAAAAACATTGCATTTTTAATGAAATAAAAACTAACAACATAACACATAAAACTTATATAGAATGAAAGATAATTACTGAACAAAATTCTTTTGGGCTAGTATAGGATTCAGATCGGTCCTTTGTGAAGCACCAGCATTATAAATTTTGTACTTAAGAGTTTTATCAATTTGGAATTGTGGCTGGACAGGCTCTGGGAAAACATAAGGTTCTAACTTTGAAATGATGGGCGTTCTTTTAACTAAGTCTCGCTGCATTTCAATATTTAAGTTGATATTGCTCAGAATATCAACTGGAGAATAAAATGTAGGATGTTGCTCTGCGTTAATTTCGAGAGTTTTTTGATCAAGCGAGAGTTCAGAAACTCCTTTATCTGTAGGAAATTCTACGAAGATTGCAGGGAGCTGAACAGATCCTGATGGTCTGATCTTTGTCTGGTTTCTTTCGACTAAGGATCGATATAAGAGATATGCTTTGAGTTTTCTAATAACACTTTCCTTTAGTTGTTCGCATCTGTTACATAGTTCTTGATCTTCTTGAGGTATTTGGGGAACTTTTTGTATGAAACCTTGTTTTGCGTAATAAATATTTTTTGATTCTTTTGTAATCAATCCTGCTGCTAAAAATACATTCAAAACATCGTATACTCTTCTTCTAGTTGTTTTTTCGTTACCCATTTCGGATCCTTTACAATTTTGGATCACAAGATCGGCAACTTCGGAAAAAGTAGTTGATTGTTTTGTTCGAATAATATTTAGGATTGATGCTGATAAGCTGTTTAATGTGACTGACTTATTACTTGAATAATGCGTGTCTGGGAACATATTTCTTAGCAAGATTTTAAATCTTTAAACGTACATATTGAAAATTAATGTAATTTTATCAATTGAATGCGCAAATGTAAATTTACGCTATTTATTTATAATTCAGAATATATCAGTTCTTGCATATATGAATTTCGGAGATTTCTATGTATTGATTTGGATTACAAACAGAACCAAAACAATCGAATGCAATTGAAAAGCCATTTTATTTATACCATGTGGATGAATGGTTCCAAAAATAGGATCCATAATGGCAGTTGAGAAAAGAAACACCTTCATTTAGGATAATGTTTTAAATTTGTCTAATTTGGACTATGCAATTATGAATTATTGGATATGAAGTTCAGAAATGTGCATTTACTAGGCCAATAGAAGAGATATGAAATTTAATATTGATTTGATTTTTTATTGTTTAAGAGAAATTTGATGAAAAATAGATGCAGTAGACGGATGAGATGAATTTGTATAGACGATTCATTTAAATTAAAAAATATATAAAATTACAAAGAAAAAAAGATAAGAAAATGAATGATGAAACAAGTCAAGAACTACTTAGAGGACATTTTCTCTGATTGCCTGTAAAGCAATCTTTGAAAGCGAGTATAAATCGTTTTCATCAGATTGGAAAGCTTCAATTACAGCTTCTCCAACGTCTACAGCTTTTGGAAGATGAAGGATTGTTGGTACGCAATAAAGGAAGGAAATTCCTGTTAAATAAGATAAAAATGAAATAATATTTCCAGAAGCGATTCCAATGATCAAAATATCAGCGCAGTCGCAGAAAGGAAGGTATTTGCAGAAAGAAGTGCAGAAAATTGAATACAATGTGTCATATTTCGGAGGACCTTTAGAACGAACGAGATCCAGGGTCAAAGGTGAAAATCTGCTGACTACCTGATTGAAAACAACTGCTGTATTTTGAATGTATTCTTGGCCGCCCGTCAAAAACATTCTTGCTTCGGCTTTTTCGAGAAGAACGATGACTGACCAGTAGATTGCTGCTTCTAAGGCTTCCTGGCTCATGATCATGTTCTCGCCAACGATGAATGAATATGTTCCGTCAGAATTTTTAATCATTTTTCTCGTAAACATGGCGAGGAAGACTCTAATCATGTAAATTAAATCCAATCTGTATGAATGAAGCTCATAGAATGTCTGGCAAAGAGACATCAGTACGTTAAAGGCTAATTTCAAAATTTGACGATCTGGAATTACGGTAAAAAACAATTGTTTCTTGAAATTGATGTCCTTTTGTACTGAATTTTTGTTGGAGTTGAATTGTTTGCAACGGTTAAGCTGTGATTGCTTCAAATTTGTCCATTGTTTTTTAATTGTCTCGTAATAGCCAGAAATAACTGGATTAAGTTGTGGTAAATTGCCTATGTATGCAAGTTTGCACCATATTTTGGCTCTGTGAGAAGCAGGAATCTTATTATGTAAAACGAATTGAGAAAGATTTTCATTACTTTGAAGCGCTTCCTCAAATGTGAGATTGCATTGCTGTCCTCCGCAATCTTCTGTAAGTTTTTCGAGGGCTTCGCTGTTGTAATTTTCGATTTGTTGAAAATCGATTGGAGACATTTCATTTTGACGAGGGTTGAGTTGTTGCTTGCATGATTCTATCTGTTTGACGATCGGTTTCATCTTTCTAATGATTTTATAGTAGCCAGGAAGATCTTGCTCTATTACTGAAAGATTTTTAATGAATTCTTCATGAAAATGTATAAACTGGTCCTTACTTGAGAAGTTTATTGTGATACCTGGGTCTTGTGTAATGTCATGGAAGCAGAATCTTGGGGGTTCGTTCATAATCGTGAAAGAATTATAGAAAGAAAGGTCGAAATAGTGATGTCCGTTGATAATTACGTATGGTTGTGTCAGAATGTTAACAAAAAATCGATTATTCACATGAGGAGGATCACTATTTACTTCGGATTCTCTGAGATACATGCAAAAGGCAAAACCTGTTTGAACTATTTTGAGCACACCAGAGACCTTCTCACGACCAAACATAAATAATGAACAGTTCTCGTATTCTGCTGATAATTCCTTGATTTCCATAAAATTTGGCAGAAATTTTATATTCGATAGATAAAACATGAATAATCATGCAATACCTCAATATCAGAGTATCTTGAATGTGAAACATCTTATTTTTAGCTTTTACAGCCAGAGGACCAAGAAAAGACCATCAGATCTCTCATTAATGTTCATCAAATGTATATGCTATTTTATTTTCATCAAAATGATTGGTCGATCATAATAAATATAATTATTTTCTTGGACTCTGTTTTATACCATTTCCGGTAAATGAAATCGAATTATCGAGAGTATGATCTTTTTTTAGAGCTTTCATGAGTAATATTATTTGTTGCATATTTATTTTAGGTATTGTCGTAAAATGTTAATACAAAAGAACATGTTCAAATTGCTGGATTATTCAGATGTGAGATAATGTTAATTTATGGAGGCAAATGAAAGCATATCATTATCTGGTTTCATTCAATAAAGAGTTTTTCTAAAACGTCGAATGTGGTGGTAAATTGAATAAGAATCTTAAATTTTTCGAGAAGGTTCAGAGATAATTAAGATGTTACATTACGAAGAGTTATAAACCAATTGATTCTTCAGAAATCAATCGAGAAAAATTTGTCACTTTTGAATGAGTAAGATTGAGAAACTAGTTGAGCATGTCAGAAAAATTACTAACGAAACCATGATCTATGCATATGAACTCACTGATGAAACTCTAGACAAAGCAAAAAACACATTACAATATGCGAAAAAAGTTCAAGATTCGATTTCACAAGCATTACTAAATGAGCCAAATGCTGAAATTGATGGACAAGATGCTTTTATTGTTGTTTCCGTAAGTATCCTCCCTCAATTAAACAATGCTGTCAAAGAATTAGAAGATGCGATTCAAAATTATAATCCTAATAGTGAACAAGTAAATGAAGAAGTTGTTGCTGACCAACAAGTTGATGACGAGCTTGATAATTTATTCAAGCGCGATATTACTTTCGACAAGGAAGAATAAGGAATTTTTCGTAAATATTATTAATAGAAATTATACACATATCTCTAATCTTAGAGATTCCCATATACATTTCGTTCTATTTTTCTACCTGTTATGACCAATAAGATATTAATGTTATTTTATATAAATTCTAGTTGTAAACCCTATTACTGTTTATGTCTTACTTAGAATTCATTTATTTTAACAATTTTCTAAAATCACAATGTAACGTTTTAAATCTATTCAAAATAAAGAGCATTCAATGTGTTTGGAAAATTTTATATTGATTTTTCATGCTTGTGCCCATTAATTTATAGTAAAATGCATGAAATTGAATTTCATTTGTGTTTGAAAGATTAATTTATATGAATAAAAAGGCTATAACCTAGTGAACTTACATGAAGTAATTGATGCAAATCAGAGATAATAATATCATTTCAAATATAACTGCAATGACTAATTGGAGAATGGGGAGCTACTATAGTCATACTGGTTATTGTTCTTCTATATGCAATTGCCATGATCTCTTCAAGTTCTAACATAAATTACAAATCATATCATTTTCAAGAAAAAAACAAGATTACTTCAAATCCGAATATGCCACATTCCTCAATTACGAGCATTACTATACTGTTTAATGTTTTTTTAAACAATTGATTGCAATTGGTCTAATTTTCAGAAGAAAAGTAATTAGCAGTTCAAGTATGTGGTCAATATGGCAAATAGCAATGGAACACTAATAAGCATCTAGTAATCGCAATCATTACCAACTTTTAACAAATTCTCTCCAGAAATATCATGTTTGTTATTGCATTTATAGTAACATTATATAAACGTTAAGGAAGATAGTATGTTTGATAAAAAATAAGCTATTTTTGGTCACTCTTACGATAGAAAAAAAATTGAATAAGCCTTTCAATAAATCTGTACATTTACGATAACTAACAAACCCGATTTATCGCAATTAAAATCTTTTTTCTTTTGACGAATTGATTTCTAATTTAGATTATTTTTCTCCAAAATTTTGACAGGAGCTTAAAAATTGAAATAATCATTTCATTTTTCAACAATGATGAATATTGTCGATACATTTATGAAAAGACATACAGTATGCGATTTCACTGGTCCATTGCCAGAGGATAAGCAGAAGGTGCTTGAGCAAATCATAGAAAATGTTAATAAAATCACACCTCCCCATAAAACCAACGTAAAATTAGCTTTAACCGAACCAGGCATTGGTACCAATGATGCTATGTTAAATGAAGCTGGATGGATTGTTCAACTTATTCCAGAAAGCGCCGATAATACTCCAGATCTTGAGAAATATCAAATTGATGGCACATTCTTAGCATCATTAGCCGTAATGGAACTATTCCGTCATGACATTGGCACATGCTGGGTTGCAGGAACATATAATCGTCAACTTACAGAAAGTAGATTCCCAGGCTATAAAATTTACTGCGTAGTTTCTTATGGACTTGCTGCTCCTGTGACTAGAAAAGGACATCACGACAAGCCAAGAACAAGATTTGAAATGAGTCAATTATTCTACGATTTAAAGAAGAAGTCCCCAATTACTGATGAAACTGGAACCAGAAAGACCTTGTTAGAATGTCTTCGTTGGCTTCCATCAGGAATGAACAGCCAATCGTGGCGTTTAGCAGTAGATTTTGAAAACGGAATATTCAAAGTTTACAATAACTCTGGAACTTACCCCAGAGCTTTTCTTAATGTTGGAATTATGCTCTCTGGCTTCTATTTCTCCTTTGATGGAAAATGCACTTTTACTGTTTCTCCAAATGAAGAAGAATACCCAACTGGCGGAAAGTATTACTGCATTGTCAATGTTGATCCTTCTCTTATCCAGTAAAAAGTTTATTCATTAATTTTTTTATTCAAATATTTTGATATTAATTTGTTAATGAAGGATATTTAGAAAAGCCTCTTCTTCTATAGTCAATAGTGAATTCCTCATATGTTTATTGAAGAATCAAAAATTTAAAATCACATTCTCAAGAAGTAACATACAAATAGAGATAAGACATAAAGACAAGCAGGATGATAAAAAGTTAGAGAGAAGATGAAAAAAAAAAAGAGAAAAATAATGTTCATAATTTGCATAGGTGGATAATTATTTTGTGTTGTCATTGACCAGAGGCTGGAATAGACCCAAAGAGCTAGTGTTGCTGCTGAAAGTCCGATTATTTATTTAGATTTTTTTTATTAAAACCAAATACTTCTCCCAAAATTCTAATTTATCGGCCAGAATCGACTGACTTAAACATGTTCATTATGTTAAATGTCAACTGACTCTTAACAAAGTTCGAAGCTATGTTTTCCTCCAAAGTTCAAATTGAAAAGGAAAGAAAAAAAAAATCAGATGAGCGACAAAACAGTGACAATTGCCGACTTCCAGGCACTTCAAGAGCAAGTAATTCAACTCAAAACAGAGAACATTGAGCTCAAAGATCAAATTGAAGCCGCTAAGAAGAGGTCAACTATGAGTGGACAACAAATTTGTGAAGCATTGAAGAATGATAATCTTCAACTTCGTGTTACAATTAACCAAGTCATGAAAGAAAGAGATGTCATTCTAGAAAAGCTAAAGCGAGTCTCAATTATTCAATTTTTGCAACATCAAAATCTTACAGAAGCTTCGAAGATTCCAGATGTTCAATCAATGCCTCAACAAGTACAGCCAATAGCGAATGAAGTATTAGATCTCATGGAAGATGTAAAAAGGCAAATATTTCGAAGAGCATTTCTCGATACTCAAGTAAACGAGCTTAGTAAGAAGACAAAAACATTAGGAAGAGTAGGAGAACAATTACAAACGCAAATCAATGAGCTCAGAGAGAAGCAAAAGAGCGAAATGGCAGCTTTAGATTCTTCTCGTGATCAATTACAAACATTAGAACTAGAAACGACAAAACTTCGAGATTCAATTTCTGCAGCTACTATGCCAAGGCAAACTCAGCTTACTCAAGACGATTTGAAAGTTTTGAAGAAAAAAGTAACTAACCTCGAAGAAACAATACAAACGATGAAGACAGAGCAGGCAGCAATCATTGGTGACTTGGAAGCTAAGATAGCTGAATATGATAGAAATATTGAAGACGCAAATGCAGCAAAATCAGTTATTACAAAGAAGATGCAGCAAAAAATCAGCGCAATACAAAACGAAATTAATAAACGAAGTGGAATTGTTGTCCAATCTACGAAATCTGGTTCTAGAGCAGATTCTGCTTCATTATTTATGAAATCAAAGGAATTAATCGATGAAATTGCGAAATTACAAGAGAAGAATTGGGAACTTGAAGAAAGAGTTGCTTTCTCCCGTAATTCCCTCAAAATGATGGCAGATGAAATCATTAAAAACAGATACGGAAAAGGACTTGATCCAAAGAACAAAGATATGTATAATAAGTCACATCAGATCATTTTACGTATTGCTGAGATCGATAGACTCATGAAAGAAGCGTCTAAATAAGAAATTTAGAAAAATCTTCTTTCAACCATTTAATTTTCAAATGAAAAGACTCAAATCTGTATTTTTTCATATTAACAGTTATAAATATTTGTTTATTTTAGATTTTTACAAAATACAAAAGAAATTCAATTTTTTTGCATGCTTTATATTCCATTAAGCACTAAAACTGACTGAAATGGTGCTTGAAGTTTGTAAGAATGCATGATTTCATGATAAATGCATTATACATATATAACGTTATATCGAAATATCATTGCGATACATAAACCCTAACGCATACACTTCAATTGGGTAATGAACATCGTTATTTAGATAACTTTGTTATTAATCAGTATATTAAATAATTTTGAACATTTATATTGTAAGCAATTCTAATGCATATCATTAAGTAGTCTTACATAAAACTGCTCGATGTCTCCTTACAATGTTATGAAGAAATAGAATAAAATGAAATAATTTCAAATTTTATCCAAAACAAATGAAGAAAGAAGTTAAAACTCTTAAAAATAAACAAAAACACAACACATTTATTTTTTCTTTTGATTCTGAGTGAAGAAATTAATAATATCTTGCAAGAATCTTTCTCTTTCGCGTCCTTTAGTAATAAGGTGACCAGAATTATATATTTTTCCATCGGCCGCTTTCACTGCGCGTTTAATTCCATTCATAAACTCGATAACTTGAGTAGAAATGAAAACTGTATCATCTCTAGCGCAAGCAACGTGTAGGCGTATGTTATTAGGCCAAGTTTCGTATCTGGCACGAACATTTGTAATTGTTTGCATTGCTGATATGTAAAATTTTGGAGTCATGTAAGGGAAGTATAAAGGGCATTTTTCGGACATGTCTATAAATCTCTTAAATGTTTCATTTGTATATCTTGTGAATTTCAAGTCGAAAATGTAGTTTGGCATAATCTTATTCATTAATAACAAAAATGTTGTTTCGAAAACTCCTATTTCGCGTTGTTCCCAAGCTCCAACCCATGGAGCTTCTAAAACAACTCCACTAACATGTTCATGATTTTGTGATTTCTCAAGTATGAAAGCTAAAATCGCAAGAGCTCCAGCAGCTGGACCATATAAATAAACTGGGACGTTCTTATATGTACTAATAGCGTAAGTTATCATTGCTGAGATTTCTTTCGTTATATCATGTATTGTTAGTGCTAATCTTGGTCCTGGGGATCTTCCATGGCCCAAGTGATCGCAAACAAATACTGCACCACCACGCTGGTTTATTGCATCATATACATCATGGTTTTGGCTGCCAAATGATCCAATATCGTGAACATAAATTACCAAAAATTCTACAACGCGATTTTGAGGAATCCAATAGCAGCCTCTTAGAGATTCATTTCCCACTTGTACTGTGAAATCTTCTCCATCGTAATCAAATGAGAAATTAGGTTCATTATTTTCCATTTTTTTATAAAAAAAAATTATTTAGGGGATTTATCCAAAATTGCATTTGACATGTAAATAAAATCTTTTGTAAAATGTCAAATAATTTTTTTTATTTCAGTATAAATGACTGAAGAAAAAGTAGAAACAGAAGAGCCACAAGTAGAAGAAAAGCCTGCTGAATTACCAAAAGATCCAAATGGCGAACTTCTCAAAGAGAATATGGTTTTACTTCTTAACGCTGCTCAAGGAATTTGGAAAGATGCTCTTGAAAGTCAGGCTAAATTGACCGTTAAGATAGATTATCTTCAAGAAAGTATAAATCAAATTAAAGAATTATCAGCCCTTCCAAATTATCCTCAAGGAATTAAACACATTCAAAATTCAATCAATAGAACACAGGCATGCAAGAAGAGAATTGCTATGGTTCAAGCACGACTTAATAAGTTGAATCAAATTCTTAATGCTCCAAAACAAAAGTAAGCATTTAATGTTAATAAAATTATATTCATCTTTCTTACTTGTTTATTTCTATCATTAAGTGTATGAATTTACTAGAATTACGATAATATTTCAAGACGCTACCTTATATTTAACAACTATACTTGAAAGTACTTAAATATTATGAAATTATGAAAATCATTGAGCAATTCTATTACGATATTAGCATATCTAAGCTATATGTGATTGGTTAAAAGAATTATTCATATCAATACATCATAATTATGAGATTAATATTTGAAATTATTGAATAAGATTTTGAGCAAATAACACTGTTATCCATTCATTATATAACTTAAGGTTTGCATGTGGATGGAATCTATGGTTAAATTTTCTAATTTAAGTAAAATAGATATTGTAAAATCAAACAAAGCAATTATTGTTAGGAGATAAGCATTTTTCCAGATGATGAAACATGTAATTGACATGTTTCATGACAATATCAATAGATTTTAAATCAATATTTTTTTCAAAAGAATTTAAGGAAAACAACCGAAGAAAGCGAAGATAATTGTAACAAAAGCTCATTACTAACAGAAATCAATATGTGTCGATAGTATTTGAGCTCAATTTCTCAAAAAAATCTCAAAATATCTTTTTCAAATCTCAAATTTTTGATAGTTATAATCGCAGATATATTTGAGGTCTCATTTGAAGTTGTTTAATCCGAATTCAAGTCATTATTAGAAGATAATTTCTTCAGCGTATTGAAATGTTTCGAAAACGCTGTAATCTTCGTTATCCCGGAACATTCTTTCTGCCATATCCAATTCAGATGAATCATTGATGAATGTATCTTGAATGGATGGTACATTTGGAAGTTGTTCTGGGACAGAATGGATTTGACTAGGAATTGGCGGTGGAATAATCGAAGGTCCATGAAATTCATTGACATTTTTGAACTTTTTGATTATTTCAGCAAGTGTCTGGCCAATCTTAGTATTGACAAATGAGTAGCCGTCAACATTTTCGTTTTTTGAGATTGCATTAACGATCTCATTTGAATTGGAACGCATAAAGCAATTTGTTTCGTGGTTGTTGAAAAAATCGCAGTATTTGTCCCAAATGGATGATAAATACAAAGTGAACTTCTTGTCGCTGAGAATTCTCTCGTTGAACTCGAAGTTGATTGCATACCATCCGATGAAATTGGAAGGATCTCTAAGCGCAATAGAGATTTGCTCCCAATTTCGCTGTATGAAACTTAGCATACCGGTTCTTGTACGCCAATCAGTCCGATTTAGATGTATACCGAATTGACGTGAGGCGAGTTTAACTAGTACACAGAGAAAATCGCGCCTAAGATAGATTGAAAACTGCTTAAGCTCAGTTTTGAGATTTTCTGGTGTGATGTAGCTTGCCCGCTGTGATTTATTGTTATGTGTTAACGAGTTGTAGTTATTGTTGTTGTTGAAGCACATCATATCAAGGTTGCTTACGAAAATCTGACATTAAAATTTTCAGGAAAAATAAAATTCTGAACTTTAACAGCAAATACAAAAAAATTTCAATTTCTTGCTTAATATTATATTCGATCATAAATATATTTTATTTTCAGTCATAACAGAAAAAATTGAATAGTCACAAATTTATCTAAAGATTTACACCTTCAGAATATTTAAAACAATGATGTCGTACCAAAATTTCTAGAATTTAGCTCCAAAATTGATAAAGTGATGGTACCTAAATGGATGTTTGTTTTAAATCAAAATTTTATAAAAAGTGGGGTAAAATTATCAATTTTTTTTCCAATTTCATTTTTGAAGTTCAATTATTATTGTTTCTATTAATTATTTTATGGTCAGAATGAGAGAATGATAAAGGATTTTGAGAAATTTGATTCAATTGTTTAAATTTGGAAAATCATATGAAAATAATTGCATTGCTAACTTAGAGATGATATTCCAATGTTATTGCAGCAAAATTAAATAAACTGAAATCAACGAAAGGAATTGTGTTATATAACATGTATTCATTGAATATGTATATGTATATCATCATGAAAACTATCAATGTACACTCTTTCAATAAAGATGTATTAAAGCTTTATCTTGTGAGAGATCATTTACCAAATCAAGAATGTCACATTTTTGAAAAGTGAAGACTTTATATCACATTTTCAAAATACTGTTATATTTTTAATGAAAACGAAAAATAATTGAATGATTTTATGTTTGGTCAGGCAAAAAAAATCATGAACCTTGAGAAAATAGAGATTGATACATTTTCATCAGCTATATCCATTTGACAACAATAAGGGTTTCGTTTTGCGAAAAAAACGTACAATACGCAATTTCGCTAAAAAAACATTTAGCTAGCAATTTCGACCTTTGACTCCACTCAAGACGTCACTTTTTTAATTTTGCGGTATCATATTTTTGGAAAATCTTTATGAATATTATATAAAAAGTCTCTTTAATATCTATATTTCATATTTTTATCGATTTTTAAAGTTTTTGCGAAAAGTATTCAATTATTTTTGCTATTTGGTCGGGTCAATGTCAGATTTGCGACATTTTCTGATATGATATTCAGATTCTACGTTGATAATAATGCTTATAGAACCCTCTTGCTATTGTGTCAAAATTGCGAAACCGATAGCAAAAATATCTCGCAATATCAAAATTGAGATATTGAGTGAATTATGCATTATAGAGATTAAAAATCTGATTTGTGAAAACATCTCATCAGTTTCTAGCTAATTCAAAAATCTTTACTATCTTATTTGATTAAAATGAAAAGGGAATAGTTTCATTATGCTTTAAATGACAGCCTTATAATATAATCATAGTTTTCGCTCAATATGCAGCATTTTTTTTTCGAAATCTATGGTCAATATCCTAAATACTGATTGCTTTGCATTCATATCTCTTACATTTTCTATACCCACATCACTATTCATTGCTATTCCTATCTTTTTCATTTTTGTTTGTTTCTCATAATTTCTCAAAAAACACGATAACTTGATATTTGTAAATATCATACTTTATAACGTAAATAAGAACTTGACCTATTAAGAAAAGCAGTAATGAAAAGAAAATCTGAAATTCATAAAAATTACAAGTTTCTGATGACAATTAGCTTAATTAAACCAGGTACAAGATTATATAATTGTATTTTCTATCCAATTATCCATATAATATCTTATCCAGAAAAAATAACTTGATCAATACCAAATGATTTTTTAACTAGTAAATAAAGTATTTTCTTTACACACACATTGTATATCATAGTTTTTTTTTTTTTGGTTTCGCAAAACATCCAAAAACAAATATGCTATAAAAGTGACAATTTTAGCAAAACGAAACCCTTAACAACAAATGAAATTAATTGGGGATCAATCATAAATTCAAAATGAATTTCGAATTTACTTCTGATATCAAATCGATTTTCGAGAAAGACCTTGTAATAACAGTGATGAAGAGATGTTCTGCGCCTCTTATCAACATGATTCAAAGCGGAAATAATCTTATTAACACAATTCAATTAGCTTTTGCCGATCCTGAACAATTAGGAAAATATTTATCGCTCTACAAAGGATGTTTACACTATATTCTCCAAGGACCTGTTCAAATCAGAGAATATATTGCTTTTTCAGCAGAATTTATTTCCTTCATTAACGCTTTTATCAGTGAGATTGGTCAAAAAACAAGAAAACAGGTTGTTGCTTTCAATCACTTATTCTGTTCGTTTTTAGAACTTACAGAATTTTCCTTCATTCAAAAAATTAACAATCCACTACCTTATCTTCTTCCATTTATTTCTGATTCATGCATAGGATTCGTTGTAACGAAAATTTTGCTGTCATTCGAGACGATTCCACCTGAATATATTGAAACCTTCTTGCAGTTCTTTCCAAAGGAGGATTATGCTATATATTGGTTCAGATCTGCCCTTCACGAGAAGAAATCCCTCGTTTCTCTCGATGATGCTCCACGAGTTGCTGAAAATCTGTTATCTCTTGCAGCAGCTAAAGAGAAATCGATATTTAAGATACAGTGCTATGAAATATGCTACATTCTCAAGACTTTCTCGATGACAAACCAACTAATGGAAGTTTTTGCAAAATATAAAGAAAATCACGATGTTACATGTCACTTTGCCATCAAAATCTTCAACGACATATCAATTGACATACTTCTTAAAGCATTCGAATTACCAGAAAACAGCTTTTTGAATAATGCTGTTGTATCTAACTTCAGAGCTTTGCCAAAAGCAGAACAATGTAAAATGGCCGAAACATACGATCTCTCTGACAAGATTATTTCACTCTACCAGTCTTATTCTCGTTCCGCAGTTGTATTCGATCTTGGACTATGTCTCAAAGCTCTTGGAAGTGCTTCCCCGAACCTTTCCAGTCCAGCCTGGGCTTATCTTTGCCGTAGTGTCCTGTCAATCAAACATTTGACATCAATGAACTCATATGGCGGCCCGTTACCTTCCCCAGTTGCAATGGGAGAGTCCTCATCACCAATTATTGGCTCTCCTGCAATTTCTGGCCTTACTGTCCAACAACAACCATATTCTCCATTAGTCGGAAGTCCAATTTTCGTTGCTTCTGATCCACCTTCAATATTATATCAATGAAAGACATATTTCACTATTTTTGTTGTTTTTGGACCATTTTTTACTTCATTGATATTATTTTTTGGATTTTAATTGGTCAAGTGTTTTTTCTGATTTGGAAACAACATTAGAGATGCTTTTTAGTTGTTTTAATCATTTCTATGAATAATAACTTCAATTATTTTGTTTTGTTTCATAGTTTTTATTTTAATAGCCTAAATTATCTTGTTCTATTCATTCCTTATTATTTTTACTTCTCGCTTTTTATTTGAAACAAAAGAAATCAAAATATATTTTGCAGATATTGGGAATACCAGCTTGATAACAATAACCATGAAAATACCTATTGTTTTTCATAAGGTTAAAGTTCAATACATCATGACATTTCATTGGTAAATTATAATTTGATTTTAAACTTAATAGTTAATATAAAATACTTCAGATATTTAATAACAATTTGAAATATTAAATATATTCACCAATTTGGATTTCCTCTTATTCATTAGCATTTATAGAAATTTGAGTTTGAACAAGAAAAAATTCCAAAAAAAAAATTAATAATAAAAAACATTATAAAAAAATGTTGCATCATCCATTGTCTCGAAGAATTTAAAAAAAATTTGGAATTTTTCTTTATTCAAAGATGATTTCAAATGACTAGTTCTAGCATCCTTGAGTCAAAAATCATCTGATATTTCTTTCAGAAGTTATATGATCAAAAAATTTCTCATTACAATACATAAAATTAACCACCAATCAGTACACATTAAACAACATCCTTAATTTATCAAAATTTCCAGATTGAATCTGATACATTGACGTTTAATTAATAACATTCAACATCAAACTACATTATTACCTAATGATCAGCATTCGATCACTCTAAAATTCTATACTAGATTGTAAAGAGATAAATTTCCTCATCACTTATTGAATGAAATTTCGAGATTGCAATGACTTAATTTCAAAGGGTATATAGACTTTATTAACAAAGATTTTATTTAACCCACACTCATGTAACTTTAAATTGTTATACTAAAGCTTCTATTCTTTTTTTTGAAATGAGGAAATTTGAAAATTACACCATTTTTAATTGACACTAAGGGCTAATGAAATGACCAGTTTAGTCAATTAATATTTCAATAATGTATATATAAAAACGATTTTTATTCGGTAATAATGTTAAATGAGAGTGAAATTAAGAAGTTCAATCGATTTTGAATATAAAATAACACTTGCCTGCATTTTATATTTCTAAGTTTTAAATACGAATTATCATTGATGATGGTTTCATGAAAAATAGCAAATATTGTCCATGAGAAACGTTCTGTTCGTATTTGCTCTCAAAATATTGAATAATACGAGCAATACGTAGGAATTTTATACAGTTGAACCATCAAATGAAATAGAAATTTTATTGAAATTTCACTCTTTTATCAAATCACAAAAAAGAACAATATTTCTAAGAAGAGTCAATTTGTAACGTTTAAATATAGACTTGTTTCTCAAAATTGCAAAGACTGTTTGATATCGTATTTTTTATCAATCAAAATCGAGATAAATTTTGCAAATAAAGATAATTAACGGAGTATCAATTGATACGCTAATTGATTTTTCTCAACTCCATATCAATTTAGGTTTTGATGCCGAATCTGCATAATATTGATTATTAAGATCATGCTTGTAATATTAAAAGTTTGATTTATGATGTAGGATCAAAAGTGAGATGATATTCTTCTTGATTGGTCACAATTTTGAAATAAATTCAATATTGTAAAAACGATAGTATTCAAATTTTTGATAGAATAGAGAGAAAGATAGCCAATTATTGAGAGAGAGAAATTTACAAAATATACTATTTACATTAACAAACAAAAGCTAATTAATGAGAAGAACGGAATGAATATCCGTGAGAATGTGAATTTTTGCCATGATGTTGAGAAGAGCAAGACATTCCATGGCGAACTCTATTATTTGTGAACCAAACGTTAATCTGATCACGATTTAGGCCTGTTTTATCCATTAATTCTTGCTTTTCTGTAGCTGTTGGGTAAGGATTACTTTGATGATTCTTCAACCAGTGCATAAGGATTGAACGTTGAGAATCAGAAAATAGGGTACGCTTACCTTCTTTTCTTTTCTTTATTGGTATCTCTACATTTATTTCTGGTTCTGGAAGTACGTTTTCAACTGGGAAAAGAGACATCATTGACTTATCTATTGTAACTCCACGGCTCATCATAAGTGTATATATATCTGGAAAGACTATATGATGATCATATTCGTTGCTATCGCTGGAGGAATCAATTGGTGAGTACATTTATGAAAATGATTTGATCAATCAATTCAATATTATTCAATTTCCTGAAGAGTATTTTGTGAAAAATATCTTTATATTAGTATTAGCACTAACTTATTGATTGAAAAAAAAATTGAGTACCGTAAAAAAACCGCAAATGATGGGTTATTCACAAATATCCAATCAAGAATGTCACTTTTATATGTAATTAAGTGATATTCTTTTATATCTTTATGTATTCATTACTTCATTTTTATTTCTCTCAAAATTAATATCGATCACGGGAAAATTTCATTTAAAGACACTATGTTGGATGTAATATATGAAATTACGATTTACCATTTGGAGATAATCCTTCAGTCTCATCACACTTTTCAATGCTCGATTTTTAAAAACTGTTTAAAAATGGAGCTTATATTGAAATAGTGTAGAGACTAAAAATTACCACAGACTATTTCAGAGGATTGAGTTGCCGCTCAATCCTCTGAAAATTCTGAGGTAATTTGCAAAATTTCTCGCTTCAATTATTTCTGAACCACTTTTGAAAATTATCACATCAATTTTCTTTAAGAAAAATATAAATACATTAGATAAATATATAATTTCTTATTCGAATACTTTGACGTTTATCTCACAAAAATTCAATAAGAATTGATGGTTTGTTCGGCCTCTCACATTATCGCCCTGTGCACTTATCCATTTTTATTATTTAAAATTTAATTGTCCCTATACACATTGCAAATACTTATGTTTATCCTTTACTATGTTATTTTTCGCATTTGACAAATGTATTTTCAAAAGAAAACAATAATCAAATAGCACTTTCTTATAAAAATGATCAGAAATGCACCATATATTCAAGATACAGAAAACAAATCATTGAACTCAATTAACCGGGCGCGTAAAGGGTTGGCGTCCTAAGGCGTCCTGATGTAAACTATTCAATTTTTGAGAAGTTTACACCATAATTGAATAGTTTATGGCGTCCTGAGAGGAGATTTCAATGGGTATGGCGTCCTAAAAAAATAGAAGAAAATGATTTTTTCTCGATTTTTCTAGAAATTGAATTTTTTAAAAAAGAAAAAAATCAAAACGTATACATTCAAGAAAGACTATAAATGAAGATTTTTCTATTTTTTTTTCATTCTAAAACATCTTTTTTTGGATAATTTTTTTTTTAATAAATATGTAAGAAAGATTGAAGAAAAAGTAAATTTACTTTAAGAAAATTCGTTTTACATGATGTAAGACCCATAACAACTATAAATATTCAATTATTTAAAATAAAAAAAAGAAAAACAGATTAAATGTATCTCACATCAAAATCCATTGACCTAAGGATGTTAAGTTTCTGTTTTTAAAAGTTGATATTTTTTTTTAATTTTAAGAAAATTAATAGCATGTTATTAGACAATAGGAGTGTAATGATATTGACTAAACAGAAATGAGAGAATAGAGATATAATTTTGATAAGCAATATTGCGAACAAATTCTGAAGTAAAATCGCGATCAATAATTGAAAATTACGATCATGTACTGAAAAATGACGATCGAATTGAATGAATAGAATTATATCTAAGAAAAAATAAATTGTATTTAGAAGATGAACAAAGAAAGGTGTATGCTAAAAATCATTTAACAATAAATGGAAATAAAACGAAATTGTTAAGGGTGCCCTATAGACGATAAACCACCCTCAGAAAAGCACTTTTAAGGCTATTATATTGAGAACTAGAATCTGGATAATCCATTCATTCGAGTTCTAATAAGGTTAATTTTGTGATGTTTACATTATCGTTATAGGGCACCCTTAAAAGAAAAAAAATGAAAATTAAAGGTAGTCTCACGAAAATACGTTATTTTCCCGATGCCTTGGAAGCAGCTTTGCAGGTTACCCGTAAGGTAACCAGTAGAAGTTTCTGAGCAAGGATGAAGAAGATTAAAGAGCCTTTTTATTGCAAACGCTATATTTGTAAGTGTCTTTGTAGAACTTCTCATAAATTCAAAGATTTCCAAAAACGAATTTTTCGATTTTGATATAATAAATGATATTTAAACAAATTATAGATGTGTTTGCAATTAAAAAAATCCGAGTTAACTACAATATCTTCAATTTTTGTCGTTCACTTTTTCATGTCATACTGATAGCAAGAATACTCACCCAATTTGGTTACACTTCATGATAGTTTGAAGTAAAAAAATGCCACAGTTTTTTTTATTTGATATCGTTATCTAAATTTTGTACAGAAATGAAATAAATTATAATATGAAACGTGTGTTATTATGCTTGTTCGGAAAAAATCCAATACTTATGTCTGAATGAAATGATTATTTCTACGAGATTTTTCATATTCAGCTAATAATGCTATCAAAATCAAATAACAATAAAAAGTTATTTTGTACATAATGTAACTTAATCTTTAATACTATATAGAACTTCGAAATACGACTAAACGGTGCGAGTTACGCGATTAAATACCTTTTTTTCGATCGAAACTTGAAAGTGAGGATAACTCAATGGGTAGGGGTATGGGTTCGACTTTTTCTATTGGGCAACTATTTTTTTCTTTTCATTGTTTCAGCATTTTTTTATGCGATTATGCATAATTATTTGATTTCCTATATATTCAATAATAAATTTGTTCCGAACTCTTAACAAATAAATAAATTTTTAGAATATTTAAATTTATAGCTCCCTACATTAATATAAAGTGTTCGAATAGTTCATATATAGTTTCTTTAAAATAATTTGTTTCATTTTAAATTGGTTTGGCACAATGCTTGACATAACATGCACAAAGCTATGCCATTTTAAAATATGTATATCAATCAAGCCGATTAAGTCCATCCTAAACGAAAATCATCGATACTCATGAATTTATGATAGTCGTTCTTGATATAATTGCGCGTTTTAAAAAATGCTTACTTTTGAACACAGAACTTATCTATCCATATTTATCAATGAAAGTTTATAAGATGCATTAATGACAAAACCTTACTTTATCAATTATAATCTTATCGTAAATTTCAAACTACAATACTGTGGGGCAAATATTAAATAACCACTATGTTGCGGATTTTATGTAAGTCTGCAAACTGTAAAATGTAATTAAACACAAATAAAAAAAAATGTAAATTTTAATCGAGAAATTTAGCAATCTTGAAAGCCTTGATCGGCATCTTTTACAAGATGTCAGTAATGCATATTCAATAACTATGAAAATCTAGCCAAGCATGGATTTTTTTCGAAAAAAAATTGTATTAAATTTCATTTTTCATTCTTTATACAAGTTTTAACCTTTGGTGCAATTATATCCTATCGCAAATGCATTATTGACGTTATTACTTGGATACTTCTTCATAACGCTAAATCTTCAAATTAGTTATGTGTTTGTTACTAATAGAAGTTGGAAAGGTATTAAAAAAGGAAATGTTAATAAATATACATGTTTAATTAAAAAACAAACAAGAATAAATTAAATAATTTTATTTCTTAGGAAAGTCTAAGTTTTGTAATAGATAAATTGCTTTTTGTGTCTCTTCTTCATCAATTTCTGGATGTTGATTCTCAGGTGGCGGACTAATTAAAACATCATGGGCAATATCAAACCATTGTTTTAGTTCGTTGGCAGAAGGAAAATGATCTTCTTGTATTGGCGTTATTAATGATTGAAAATCATCAGTTGATTCTGCATTTTGGGAATTTTCCAAATTTTCATTTGGAAAATTTGAATTTTGAGATTGAATTCCTTGAGATGTAGAATCTGTAGTTGTAGAGTTTTCTGTAGAAGAAGAGGAATTTGAGTTTGCGAATTGTAGTATGTCATTGAAATTCTCATAAAGAGGTGTTTTGGCCATCGGCACTTTTTGTAACTGTGTTTCGTATGCTTGAGATGGGCAATAGCCCCTATTTTCTGAAAAAGGAACTGGAGCTTTTATTTCAATAATTTGATCCAGTTTTTGTCTTAAAATTTCCACTCCATTACGCGGAAAATCTTTGCTGTAAGGTTCAAAAACACTTAATGGTTGTGTGTGATTGTATTTTATTAATCTTCCCCAAACTGAAAATACCTGATCTTCGTGCCAACCAACTAAATACATAAGATCGGTCGTAATACTGGCAATATCTTCATCTGTGAATATATATTGGGACTTAATATCTTCTGGCATCTCCTCGACATTTGCCATATTTGCTCCTGAATTATCAAGTCTGCATTCTGACACAAGACGATCAAAATTTTGTTCACGGTAGGTTTGGTTCATTACCAAATGCGCTCCCGCACTCATCAAATCTTTAACTTCTTTTTTTGAATGCGCAAATTTTCGGAATAAGGCAAATAAATGTTCAACCGGAAGGGTTGTGAGATGTTGAAAATTTATATTCGGGAATTCCTCTAAAAATCCATAAAGAGTGAGAAGAGATGTCGCCATTTTCAGAAGATGCATTCTTCTGGCAAAAAGATAACCTTTGAATTTGAGACGATGATCTGGTGTCTCTATATTAGGAAGTCTATCAGTGACTCCGACCACATCTTGCAATCTGAGAAAGAAATGCAAGATGAAAAAAGCAAGTTTGAACATTGACAATCTTGCTTCAACTGGTAATATGGTATTTCGGACTCCCTCAAACCAAAGTGCAAGTGGAAGGAGCCAAGTTGCTTCAGTGTAGCAATTATTATCTAGCATATCCTTGACGGTTTGAACGTTAAAGATTGTTACAGGATATTTGTCATTGAGTGTGGTAGACTTATCACAGTTGTTAATTGCATCTCCAAGTTTGGAAAATAATCTAATTTTTGTAATATCGACGTGCAGCGTTGGATCATAAGGTTGCAAAAAGATTAACTTATTGGGGAAAATTAATAACGTTCTGAGGTTTTTGCCTATATGAACGACGTCCGCGATGAAGATAATCTTAAGATCTTGGAATTTTGCACTTTTAAGGACTTCTACTAATCCATCAAAGCCAGTAACTAGGCTGTACCAATGGTGAAAGAATATCTGATAAACAAAATCGTAAGATTTGTCACCATCAGTTGTAAAAACTGGAACATTCAGTGTTTTCTGAACTGTAGCAATGTAATCCAAGATTTCACTCATAATTCCAGATGCAAGACCATTTGTATGTTGTATTATATGCAAACATATTGATGGACCTTTGCAATCTAATGGCATCAAATATAATGCAAATAAGTCCTCGATTTGATCGTCATGGCCGGACTTCTTCCATAATTTGCCTGTGATTGCATCTATTCCAATGCAAAAATGGCATTGTTCACGTAATTCCTCATCTGTATATGGATATAATTCCCTGAATCTGAGGAATACTGGGAGTGAAGATGATTTTGAAAGCAAAAGTTCCTTCCATGCTGCAATATCTTTACCAAAGACTCGAAATAGAGTTGCTTTTGATGGCAACATAAGTTTCTGTCTTGCCAACAAATATTCTGAGGGTTGTTTGCAATACAACATAAAGGCAAATTGAAGTGTCTCCGCATAGTATCGTCGGCTCTTTGAGTTTGGAAAATTTAAATTATATAACATGTTATTAATGATAACACACGTTAATTTATCTGCAAACGGAGGGTACTTAAATAATGGGGTATAATCATCTAATAATATTTCGCTTAAACTCAAGGATTCATCACCATTTGTTTCATCTTCATCTTGATCATCAGAATCATCTTCATTGTCATTGAGAGTTTCAAGATCTGCCTTTTCTGCTTCTTGTTCTAATTCGTCTGCAGTTCCATCTTGTATTTTTCTTTGTTCATTGATTTTTTTTCATTTGCAGAGATCTTTGATAGCTTAGAGCACGGTTTTTGGAAGCTGCAATCATTGATTTAATAGTATTCTCTTGTAATAGTTTTGATTGATTGGGACTTGTTTGATAATCTGCGATATTATTATAAATAACACCAGGAAGTTTTTCTTTAATAAGCTTTTCAAGCTTCTTAAATGTGGCAATATCTACACATGATAAATTAATTTCTATCTTCTCACTGTTCATAATGATTTGTGGGAAAATGATTAAGTGGCCGAACACTTAAAGCATTTCTTTTTCGTTTTATATCAAAACAGATTTAGATAGCTTAAAACAATATAGTTTACTCATAAATTAAGGGTTTCGTTTTGCTAAAATTGTCACTTTTATAGCATATTTGTTTTTGGATGTTTTGCGAAACAAAAAAAAAAACTATGATATACAATGTGTGTGTAAAGAAAATACTTTATTTACTAGTTAAAAAATCATTTGGTATTGATCAAGTTATTTTTTCTGGATAAGATATTATATGGATAATTGGATAGAAAATACAATTATATAATCTTGTACCTGGTTTAATTAAGCTAATTGTCATCAGAAACTTGTAATTTTTATGAATTTCAGATTTTCTTTTCATTACTGCTTTTCTTAATAGGTCAAGTTCTTATTTACGTTATAAAGTATGATATTTACAAATATCAAGTTATCGTGTTTTTTGAGAAATTATGAGAAACAAACAAAAATGAAAAAGATAGGAATAGCAATGAATAGTGATGTGGGTATAGAAAATGTAAGAGATATGAATGCAAAGCAATCAGTATTTAGGATATTGACCATAGATTTCGAAAAAAAAATGCTGCATATTGAGCGAAAACTATGATTATATTATAAGGCTGTCATTTAAAGCATAATGAAACTATTCCCTTTTCATTTTAATCAAATAAGATAGTAAAGATTTTTGAATTAGCTAGAAACTGATGAGATGTTTTCACAAATCAGATTTTTAATCTCTATAATGCATAATTCACTCAATATCTCAATTTTGATATTGCGAGATATTTTTGCTATCGGTTTCGCAATTTTGACACAATAGCAAGAGGGTTCTATAAGCATTATTATCAACGTAGAATCTGAATATCATATCAGAAAATGTCGCAAATCTGACATTTACCCGACCAAATAGCAAAAATAATTGAATACTTTTCGCAAAAACTTTAAAAATCGATAAAAATATGAAATATAGATATTAAAGAGACTTTTTATATAATATTCATAAAGATTTTCCAAAAATATGATACCGCAAAATTAAAAAAGTGACGTCTTGAGTGGAGTCAAAGGTCGAAATTACTAGCTAAATGTTTTTTTAGCGAAATTGCGTATTGTACGTTTTTTTCGCAAAAGGAAACCCTTACATAAATACATCTTGATAATTCACTTCTTCAATTTTCATAATCTTATATCCTGACCTATATCCTCTTATAAACCATATTTCTACTGAGATCTTCTTAAAGCATCTTTTTATCCCTATCTACGCCTCGAAACCCTATTTTTCCGGCGGAATATGAATCTTCGGGTCTCGCTGATTCGATTTCTGCAGTCAGATCGTAAAAATACCACTACATAGCCTGATAATCTCAATTTAAGTTCCTTAATTTTTTTGAAAAAAAAATTAAAACTCCCTTATCAAACATCATGCTCATTTTTACGAATTTCATTTTTCCTTTAAGTTTAAAATATACGCTTTTTAGCATGTTTATAATACATTTTTGTTGCATGCTAAGTTCGGTCAACGATAGAAATTGAGTGGAAATTAATCGTCGAGGAAGTACGATTATGTAAAGTAAAAAAATGTTGTGGGATTTTTAATATTATTATATATTATTTTATAATAAAATTTTTTTGAGTCATTTTAAGAAGCACATATAATTTTTTGAATTTAAAAATTAAAGTAGTGTCAAACGAATTTATCACTTAATTTAATACTCAGATTTCTTAAAATTAATGAAAAAAAGGTTTTCTGAGAACTTTTGAGATTGGTTTTCAAATTCCATTATTGAAAATATATAGGTATTGTATGAAATTCAAACTCTATATTTATTAAAATTCTAAATTTTTAATAAAATAACTTTTCAGAGGAATATGATTTTGAATGGTTGATTAATAAGTATAAAAATGTCTACGATTTTAAGGAGGGAATTGTTCCTTATGAGGTATACATCATAACTATATACCTCATAAGGAACAATTCCCTCTTGATAGCTGGGAAACTTTCTCTGAATAACTTATCATTTGGAGAAAGTTTCCCAGCTATCTATTAGAAACTAAAGGCTGTGAGGCACTAATATATAATCAGTGCCTCATATCCTTTAGTTTCTTATTAAAAACGAGAAAACTTGTTCGAAATGATAAACAATTTCGAACAAGTTTTCTCATTTTAAGGAGGGAATTGTTCCTTATGAGGTATACATCATAACTATATACCTCATAAGGAACAATTCCCTCTTGATATCCTGGATATTTTTGAATATATTTTTTTAATTAAAGTTCTCAAAAGTATTATCAAAAGTGATTTTTTAAAAATATCTCCAATTAATTAACTAATTAAAAGTATTATATTTTTAAAATTAAATAGTTTTTCAATTTTTTTGAAGGAATTGAGATACTTCCCACGACAATAAAATTGAGAGGTTTACATTATGACTGATCTTAGCATGCAACATTTTCAATTTACATTTACATTTTTATTTTTGAATTGTTTATTTATATTTCCGTTTGAACAATAATATTTATTGAAAATTGTGAGAGAAACGGATATAATAAAAAACACCATACAACAAAATTCACTTTTTTTCATACTTACGCGGATCACTCCTTTTCGGCCCAATATGCCGGAAATGATAAAACTCTCAGATCTAGTTGCTAAGATCCAAACTCTCGACTCTCAAATCTACTTCCTCAGATCTTGTTGCTAAGATCTAAACTCTCGACTCTCAAATCTACTTCCTCAGATCTTGTTGCTAAGATCTACTTCCTCAGATCTTGTTGCTAAGATCTAAACTCTCGACTCTCAAATCTACTTCCTCAGATCTTGTTGCTAAGATCTACTTCTCAGATTTGTTGCTAAGATCTAAACTCTCGACTCTCAAATCTACTTCCTCAGATCTTGTTGCTAAGATCTACTTCCTCAGATCTTTTTGAAAGATCTACTTTTAATGTTTAAGCACTCAGATCTCATTTTTAAAATATCTGCACCAAATTCTTACATCTGATAATTTTCATGTGTAACCAATGTTTCCCAATCCATTTGCCATACCCTACTAATCGCAAATTCATTCCCTTTAATTTTGTATTAAATTTAAATTCCAATCTTAATTTCTACATTATTTATGCTAACCCTTTAAATTTTGTTCTTATTTATTCACCCTCAGATACAAATTTATTTAGAATGTATTCCTCTGAGGTCTATATTTGTATTCGAAAATAAAATCTTTAAAACTCTCTAAGTTATCATTTTCTCTTCAGATATCTAATATTTTTCTAATGACATAACTACTTTTGACGCATATCCAAATTCCAAAAAAAATATGGAAAAAATAAAAATGAAATTGAAAAATGCAATTTTTGATATGTAAAAAGAGATTTTGAAAAAAATTGGGAAAAAGAGTATCTAATAAAATTGTTTGAGATCTATGTAGACATAGTTTTTACAGTAAAAAATCAATAATATTGAAATTGATCTGAATATATCTTTTTTTTAAGTTTGAATGCATTAATCTCAAAGCATTTGATAAAATACTGGTTTTATTTCAAAATTCTAAATAATTTGTAATTAGATCTTTATGATGTAATTTAATTTTAAACAAGTACAGATAAAGAGAATCATAATAAAGGTGATCTATATTGCATAAGTAAAATTGAGTATAATAGATCGATCTTAGCAACAAGATCTGAGGAAGTAGATCTTAGCAACAAGATCTGAGGAAGTAGATCTTAGCAACAAGATCTGAGGAAGTAGATCTTAGCAACAAGATCTGAGGAAGTAGATTTGAGAGTCGAGAGTTTAGATCTTAGCAACAAGATCTGAGGAAGTAGATCTTAGCAACAAGATCTGAGGAAGTAGATTTGAGAGTCGAGAGTTTAGATCTTAGCAACAAGATCTGAGGAAGTAGATCTTAGCAACAAGATCTGAGGAAGTAGATTTGAGAGTCGAGAGTTTAGATCTTAGCAACAAAGATCTGAGGAAGTAGATCTTAGCAACAAGATCTGAGGAAGTAGATCTTAGCAACAAGATCTGAGGAAGTAGATCTTAGCAACAAGATCTGAGAAGTAGATCTTAGCAACAAGATCTGAGGAAGTAGATTTGAGAGTCGAGAGTTTAGATCTTAGCAACAAGATCTGAGGAAGTAGATTTGAGAGTCGAGAGTTTAGATCTTAGCTACAAGATCTGAGGAAGTGGATTTGAGAGTCGAGAGTTTAGATCTTAGCAACAAGATCTGAGGAAATAGATTTGAGAGTCGAGAGTTTGGATCTTAGCAACAAGATCTGAGGAAATAGATTTGAGAGTCGAGAGTTTGGATCTTAGCAACAAGATCTGAGGAAGTAGATCTTAGCAACAAGATCTGAGGAAGTAGATCTTAGCAACAAGATCTGAGGAAATAGATTTGAGAGTCGAGAGTTTGGATCTTAGCAACAAGATCTGAGGAAGTAGATCTTAGCAACAAGATCTGAGGAAGTAGATTTGAGAGTCGAGAGTTTAGATCTTAGCAACAAGATCTGAGGA